GCTGGCGTCAAGGCAACGTGAAGTCTTTGAAATGCTGAAGCTTTTCGCCAAGTTCGATTTCATCAACATTGTTGATGATGTTTAGCAGGGCAACACTTGCGCAAGCGTAGCTTGAAGTCTAACAAGAAAAGAGAAAGTCTTCAGAGGGTATTCTTTCTTGTACATGTCCTCAATGGAAGGCGGAGGCAAACCTGGTTCGCAAACCAAATGCCCTCTGGACAGCTTGACTCCTGTTTATCTGGGTCATCTTCCTTCCATCGAAAGAGGAATATGAGCCCATAGACCGGTTTGCTGTGCATTGATTGGAATTAGTCAAAAACGACACAAATTTATTATAGGAGGCCATTGAGCCAGTAGCCCGTAGCACATACTGGAGGAGCGCTAGCATCTCATCCTCCAGAGATACAATTTCCTGCACTTTAACCCCCTTAACACCAAAGTCACGGAGCATAACATTAAAAAGCGCCTGTTAGATGCCGGTTTAGCTTCGAAAGAATAAATACTATACACCTAAATCGTAACGTAGACATACCGGTTCTGATTCGATCTCGCAGAAGCCATTCCAGCGAGCTTTGTCGGCCTTTGTTAGTGGCTGGAGCGGCAAAGTCTCAAAGGTTGTTGGCGGATTAAGCCGTCGTCGTTTTGTCCGAGCCGTCATATCTACTGCTCTGAAGGATGAAGTGGGCTTCAAGTCCAAGGGATGAGCATGGTGCAGGCGAAGCGAGTTTATCCGATGATAACTAACTAATATGTTTGCTCAACCATTAAGAAGGAATGAGAAGTAGATTGTGTAGCCAGTATTCGGGACAACAAATATATATATCCCTTCCGCTCTTTCGTCCCTCGGAATTTGCCCAATCTTCAACAATTTTTATGACGTCCATCCGCGACTATTTTATTTACACGCGATGCTGATCAGATGCGGACAAGAGCAAAAAGATTGGCCCTGTCTTGGCGTCAACCATCCTGACGCGTTGGACCGTTTTTTTTTTTTTTTTTTTTTTTTTTTTTTTGGCGCAAACACCAGACATATACATACTGTGTGCAGTAGGATATTGACTTGAGATCCGCAGCCACAGGTGGACAGACCGCCCTATCGACTAGGAAGGAGAAAGACCCTACATTCATCCGTCCTTTTTTCTTTATGCGTTGTGCGGACCAACCATTGCTAGGCGTGTTCCACCTCTCCAGCGTTGCCTAGGTTGACACCAGACTTTTTGCGATAGCGAGCTTTTACCTGAATTTGCTCTCCCTCCTGGCATATTCGGAGACAATTCCACTACGAAAGGAATCGCAAGTATATGGTAACGACAGAGTGAGTGAAGAATCGCTCGAAAACTAATGGTTGAAGTATAATAGTCCCTCTCTAACTTCTCCTTGTTTTAGGCTTGGATGGGACCTGGAATGCTAAGTCGGTTGTCCTGTGTATCTACGGCTCCTTCGCCATAACCCGCGCCCTCTAAGCATGCCATGAACGGCACTCCTCGACTTCGATCTTCCTTTCCCCAGACGCCCCGCAAATCTCCACATTACAGAACTCTCAACGACGGCCAGGATGGGACTCCACTCGAAGCCCGGTTGCGGACCCTTCGAAACGAGAAACCCGCACCGGTGAGGCTCGAACGAAGGGACTCAAACGCGCCACTTATTCCCTTCAGTGTTGTGGATGCGCCATCTCAGAGATTATATGTGGTGGCTTTCTACCTGGCCTTGAATGCGTGGCGGATGTATGAATTCTGGACGTCGACAGACGATTTCGATTCAACCTGGCTTTTCTTGAAGTGGGTCTCAATTGACGGCATATTTTTGTTCGGGCTCCCTGCTCTGAGAGTACCATGGCTAGAATGGTCGTTTGCGACTACGTTGGCGGTATTCATGGTGCATGCTGTTGCCAATGCCTTCTTAATGTTTCGTATCCCTGTAAGTCTATGAATGAAGCGCCCCAAGGTGAACCTATAACGAAACTGTGTTCTGATCTTAAAGTAGATACCCATAGAGTCATGGATGGCTGCTCTCGTTAAAGTGGCCTATGACAGAGAGCTCTCCATATCAGAAAGGAGGGTTAAACCGGCTGACATCCTCCGTAATTCGTCTTTGATTCTGGGCAAGCAAATCATCCATATCCTTCCAGAAGGGTGAGCTATTTGTCCCCCAAGCACCCTACCCTTGTTTATCCATGGTGATGACTGACACGGAGTTTTAGTTCTGCAGTATTGAACCCAGAGCAAGCCTCCTTTTGTATAGACAGCCAGACAACCCAAGCCATGCTTCCAATTCGTGTGAACCAGACTACCCCGATAATCATTGATCTTTTACGGTTTGATCTCGAGTCTGGAGAGAGCGAGACCATCTCAGTTCCACCCAAACAACTGAAGCATATGGTGAAGCAAGCGAATAAGGGCCACCCGAGTTCGGATAAGTACAGCCCAAGAGATTTACTATTTCCGGTCAAAAAAACGGGAATTTACCAGTTACAAAGAGTCGTGGACGATTCGAAGCTTGAGGTTAGACGTCGTCCACTTGACACCCTTGTTGTGGCGTGCCCGAGAGCGGTAATTCGAACCTCGGCGGATAGCCGATGTAAGGGTGAGCTGTCGGACTTGATGCTTGTGGTCGAGGGGACGCCACCTTTAAAGATCAAATATAGCCGCAAAGTTAATAATATCGATCACGGCGTCTCATTCCAGAGCATTCAGCCAGAAAACTTTAGATCACCCCTCATTAGTCAAACCCGTGTCGGCCCTCTGATAGACCCGAATGACCTAGATGTTAGTTGGGCGCAACCTCAAAGAATCGAAGTTCCGCTCAATGAATCGCTGAGCACTGGGGGCGAATGGATCTATTCTATCGAAGAGGTCCACGATGCTTGTGGAAATGTTGCAAACTATTCTCTCGCTCTTCAAGATGGCGATCAACAACTTTCGAAAGTTTCATCACAAACTCAACAATTCTTAGTTCATGAGCGGCCTCGCGTTTCGCTGTCTGGATGCAACGCTCAATCGTATCTCCAAGTGGCGAAAGGTCATTCCATTGATCTACCACTTCATTTCCATTCCGTTGGGCGCGATCAGGCAGCTGATGCCCCGTATACATTGACGTACTCTTACAAGAGTGAAGCTACCCAGGACGACAGTTCCATTTCTCCGTCCGTGCAGCAAATCAGCCTTCAAAGCGTTGACGACAAACCTCGAATCCAGGAGCAGGGATGGTATAGTCTTACTACCATCTCCAGCCAATTTTGTTCAGGCGAGATATTCGAACCTGCGTCCTGCTTCCTTCACAATCCTCCTGAGCCAAGTATTAACTTACGATACGAAAAGCTGTATGACAAGTGTGCAAATATTTCGGTTGGCCTTCTGGTCGACCTCGACCTGATTGGAACCCCGCCGTTCCAAATTCGGTATCATATCGAGCAGGCAACCGGAGTTCAGACGCGTCTCATCTCCATCGATTCTCTAAGGAGGCAAATCGATTTTAGGCCAAAAGAAGCAGGGCATTATAAGTACGAATTCATTGACATTTCGGATCGCGTTTACCTTCCCCAGCCATTGAAAGGGAAGGTTCCGGTGTTGGAGCAGGACGTGAAACCTCCCGCTTCGGCACAATTCTTTGGCTCTGTAACTAGTCGCAAAGCCTGCTTTGGCGAACCTGTTTCGATCGATGTTTTGTTCGTTGGGGAAGCTCCATGGGAACTGCAGTACGAGCTTGTCCATAATGGGAAGAGGAACAAACATACGCTTCGGAGTGAGCATGAGATAGCGACCGTTGTTACTGAAGATCTCGTTGATGGTGGTGGATATACTTTAGGCTTGACAAGTGTGAAGGACAAATCGAATTGCAAGAAGTTGTTAAAGGAGGAGATCAATATTGATGTCCGGCCCAAGAGGCCTCAAGCTGCCTTCGGTCTGATCGACAAGAAGCGCAGCATTCTTGCTCTGGAGGACAAGAAAGTAGAGCTACCGCTACGGTTGGAAGGAGTTCCGCCGTGGACTGTCAGATTTCGGAACCTTGACAACATTTCGATACCTCCCATCGAGAGGACGCTCTGGAATGAGAATAGTCTTGTCCAACTCACCCAACGTGGCCGATATGAAATTGTCGCAGTTAGTGATTCTACATGCCCCGGCTCTGTTGATAAGGGAGCAAGCACATTCGAAATTTCTTGGATTTCTCGACCGGCAATTACAGCTATCGATGGTTCTCCCGTTGAGGATAAGGATGTTCTAGCAAAACGAGAGGTTTGCGAAGGCGATGAGGATCTCATGGAAATGAAGTTTGATGGCACCCCCCCTTACACGATTCGATACGAACAACAGCGCCGGCCAATCACTGGCGCGATCTCCACAAGCATCAAGACAATGACGGCGGCACTGGGATCTGCTTCTCTACAAATGGACACATCAAAGCCGGGTGATTATTCTTATAAGATTATAGAACTTGGTGATAATCTCTATAGCTTCGATCGTAAGAAGCATGCACCAGTCACCATTACGCAGCGGGTTAATCCTCGACCTTCCGCGCGCTTTGAACAGCCCAACCACATATACGGATTTTGTAAAGAAGAAGGCAATACGGAGGAAGTGATCCCTATAATTCTGGAAGGAATTTCCCCGTTCTCCCTGGAGATTGGGATCAAACATTCTTCTGTATCGAAACCGGAGGTGTTATCCATTCCACACATAGACTCCAACCGACATAACTTGCCAATCCCCCGACGGTATCTCAACCTAGGCCAACACGTCATAAGTATCCAGAAAGTCCGGGATGCACGCGGCTGCCAACGCACAACAGAATATGAAGGCTCCTCTGTTCGAGTTGCAATATCAGATGTCCCAACGATTATACCACTGGAAACACAGGTAGACTATTGTGTTGGAGAGCGACTCTCGTTCTCATTATCTGGCCACGCTCCGTTCGAGGTGTACTATACGTTTAACGGCGTGGATCGGAAAGCAACAGTGCCGAACTCCAGTTTCCGCCGCATTGCGGAAAAGCCAGGTGAATTTGCCATTACGGCCGTGAGCGATGGGGCGAGTGGGAAGTGCAAGGCGTACAAGAATATTACCAAGATTATTCACGAGATGCCTAGCGTTAGAGTCAGTCGTGGATCTGTTTCCGTTGTCGAAATACATGAGGGTGGAGAGGCTGAGATGATTTTTGAGTTTTGGGGCACTCCCCCATTCGAGTTCACGTAAGCTACTTCGTTGATCCTTTTCCTCCTGTTTGTTTTTGCCGTCTTTTCATCCTCCTGCGTCTTGTCTTTGTTTGCGTTTTTTATTTTTTCCTATTATTCTTAACTTCTTCCTCTCTTTTTGACGAGAAATACTGATTTTGCTACTTCTTTTGAAGATATACGCGCAGTTCTATCGACAGAAAGGGCAAGAAATCACAAATTTTGGATACTAAACATGACATATCCTATGAACACACCAAGGTCATCCGAACGTCTGATGAAGGTAGCTATGAAGTTGTTGCGATCAAAGACAAGTTTTGCTCGTTCTCTACCCAGGATGCAACCGGAGCTGGCGAGAGGAACAGAGGTTAGTGAAGACGTGTGGCCGCGATATAGATTAGATGACCGCCCACACGTGTGACCGCAGAGTCACTTACATCTAGAGTTCCGAAGAGCTGATGGGTAGAATGTGTGGACTTTATGGTTTGTTCCTGGATGAAAGAATGGGTATTACATAGCACCGGCGTTTTTGGTCAACGTTTTCGTTTTTTTATTTTACATTTTTGCGTAGTCTATTGTTTCCTTTACATATAGAGAAGAGGTAGACGTTAAATTTTTAACGTACTGATAATGAAACTTCTACTCTTCTTTTCCTGCTCCTGTTGCTTCCTCATCTTCGTATGCATTTACCGATTAACCTGAATCTTCTCGACAAGCTCACCACCTATGGTAGCAATCTCATTCAAAATCGCCGTCTTATTAGGCGCAAGCTCCGTCCGATTTTCCTCTTCCCCTTCAACAATCGACGGAATAGTTGAATAGCCAATCTTCAACCCCCACGTCCGTGGTTTCGTCGTCTGCTGATTCCAAACACCAGCGATAACACCACCACCAGCTTCCTCATGATCCCCATGAAAAAATACAATAGCATGCCCATACAAACGTGTCAACTCGTCCGCAAACGCAGCAGCGGGTTTAACCCCCGTCATATCACCATCTAGAACCCCCTGGCACAGTCCTTGAAGATTCTTAAACACAGCTCGGTCCTCCCTCTTCTTCCGGCTACCAGCAGCATATTTTAAATTCAACCAAAGCACAAAATCATAATCCGTAAAGGGCGATATGAAAAGCTCTGGAGCATGCAAATCTAGCTTCTTCTCCGCCACGAGCTTCATGGCCGATTTGGATAAGGCGGATAGCCTCGCTGCGACGACTCGTGGTGGTTTCGAGAACTGGGTCCAAGTGACGCCATCCCGGTCAAGGTTTGACGCGGCGAAGAGGGCGACGGTGTTCATCATCGGATCGATATTTCGCCAGGCATCGAAGCGCGTTTGGACCTCGGACAATTGCTGCAATGTCAGTTCTTGGTTTAGAGCGACAATTAACGGCTCCAGTTGCCAGTCCCAGCGGGAGAGGAAATGAAGAGTCCTAAGAAAACCGGTGACGATGCTAGAAGGGGCATCCCAGGGGTATGGATGGACGAAGACCCGGCAAACAATTAATTCAAGAAGTTCCTCTCGGAGATGAGGGGTTAGGAGGTGGGAATTTGCCCATTTTTTCACGAGGCGGATGGTTGGGGAAAGCAAGGGAAACCGGGTGGAAAGGATTCGAATTGCTTGTGTGTGTCGGGGAGCCTGAATGAAAGCGCGCCTGTGTGTGGCGAGAGCAAAGGCTAAATCTTCCTTTTGTCGTGCTGCCAGATCTTTCTTTTTCAGTTGTTGCTCCAACAGAGTCTGTTCCCTGTCGTGGTAGATGCGAAGGCGGAATGTGATGGAGTTTGGGAGGACGATGTCGAGGAAGGAGGTGTTAAGTAATCTGCTGTTTTCATTCTCTAAACCTACTTGACAGGAAGCTACTTCTCCCGAGTCTTGTAGAAGTTCGGCTATCTTAAGTAAAAATGCCAGTTTTGTCATTTGGATGGCCGTCAGGTCGTCTGGCCATCGTGTCGAGCCTTCAAACTGGAGAAGAACATCGGCAGGGCTGTTTTGCACTAGCCCGCTATTTGAGATTTGAGTTGATGTGTACCTTAATAGAGGGCTAGCTGGGGAGAGTTGGTGTAATGTGAGCGGAAGCCCATCGATGCCTTGGAGTAATTTTTCAAGAGAGCTGAATGCATCCATATATGGCTGAAAGGAAGAAGTAGGGTTCAACGCGCTGGTACCGTTGAAGTATTCGTTGCCGAGGTCGTAGTTAGCAAATGTGATGCGGTTTTCACCAAGGCCAAGATGCAGCTTCAAGATATGGGCCACAATTTGTTGGACAATTGGTGGATCTGACTGGCGATCGGACCACACTAAACTTTCCACGATACTTCCATCTTTAAAACGCCTAAGCTCAGATTTATCGCCCCAGAATTTTTGGAAGGTAGCGGAGGCTTCTTTATCCTCGGCTGAAGGACCGTGGTCAACAATCCGGTTAGAGTGCTCAGCATCGAGTAATAAACCGAGGGTGATTGAGGGTCCATTTTCCTTTGTGAAAGGGGGTGCACCCGATCCAACGGGCCAGTCGGGGGGATCTGGAACGGAAAGATTGATGAGCTTAGCTCTATCACCCAGAGCTTTAAAAAGGACTTCATAGACAGACGATTGGTATTTCCTGATACGAAGAGTTGACGAAAGAGCGATTTGCGGAGATATTGAGATAAGGTGGTCAAATCTGCAAAGGGGATCATCAACCTTGAAAATGAAAACTCCGTTGAAATTGTCTCGAAGAGGGTCGTTTAACATTTTTAAGGTAGTAAGAGCCTCGTGGCGTAGCAGAGAGTATGACCAAGGGGACATTTTATAGAGGATGTTCATGCCTCGTTTTCCATCAAAGAAAATAGGCACGTCAGAGGGTGGGAGTTTCGAGATCCCATCTGCATACAGTACGAATGGTTGGATAAGATTTCTGCCACAAAGGAACTGAATTGTAGCTCTGAAGATTTGGTAGCTGCTGTAGCTCGGAGAGAGAAGCGGTTTCCCATTAGGTCCCCCCGCTTCGAGAAGTAGGGCTACAAGAGTAGCCCACTCACAGTGCCCAAAGCCACCTTGTGCAAAAGAGGTCCCAAAGCCTCTCTGCTGAAGCCAAATTCGGCCGAGGATACATGCATCTCGATAGGCCGTGCACTTGACACTGGCAGCATATTGAAGCTTCAAGAACGCCGAAACAGATGCCTCGGATCGGATAGCACTGTTGTAAATGGGCGTCGGCGTCGCGATATGGTCCCTTGGCTGAGTAGAATCTTGTTGCTGATCGTGATCCGCATTGTTTTTTCGGATGTTTGTTGCGGTGGGAAAGGTGACGGAAGTTGGGAAAACATCTTTATCGATGGCTATGAGGATGCGGATGCGGGATTTTGAGCGTATGAAGGATTCGTCGGCGCCTTCTGCGGGCTCCAGTAGAATCACAGGACGCAGTGTATCTCCTCCTTGGTAACTCCAACTTATCTTAAAGCCCGGCTCCAGGGTATCTTTAATGCCTGCCGCAATGCAGGCTATGTAATAGGCACGCTTGTGGAAATATCGATAATTGAGGTAATCCTTTTTTTGGAACAGCGAACCCGGGATAGTGATAGCCAGGTCGATTGTTGTGAGCTTTGATTTTATTTCCGTTTTGACCGCGAAGCTCCCCACGACGTTGATATTCACGGGTGCGGCATATTCCAGGGTATACTTCGTATCCTTCGCAGGACGGGGCTCTGGAAACGGAACAGAAACGCCTGATCGTTTGCCCAGATCCTTCTCCGCCTCCGACACGGTTTTGGCGGGGATATTTGGTATTTTTTCGATGATGCTCTTCAATGTCCGCAGTGGCTTTTCGACTCGGGCAAGCAGCTTGTCATGGTCCGGCCGAAGCTGAGAGAGCAATTCATCCACCTGCAACTTAAAGGCATTGGACTTGAACACTCCACTAGCAACGGCAAGCTCAGCGGTTGGGGCATGCGATCGCGACCGGCTTTGCGTCCATTTGACTCCATTTCTGGCAGGTTGTTGAGCTCCATCGCTCACGCTTAGCTTTCTTCGCTTTGCGGTGATTTCTGCCATGAAAAAGGCCAAACCTGTGAGCAGGTATTGGAATTGAAGTAAACAGAGGCGATGAAAGTAAATACCGCTGAACGTCAAGCCCAGCGAAAATGCCTTTGTGGCCTGCCGTCGTTATGGCGGTTTGTGAAATCCTTCCCAAATTCCCCGTCTTCTTGTCGCTGGGATGGTGTTGGAGACGGTTTGGAGGCTCCACCAACCCTTTATTTTATTTTATTTTTTTTTTTTGCGCAGAATAGCGGCGTATTGTACGGTATTCCGTATGTTACGGAAATATGCCCAGGTAATATATTACATCGTTACAAAATGAGTATGATACTCATAGAACCCTGTTCAAAGAAGATCCCCAAAAGAATTCCAAAAATAATAAATAAGTAAATAAGTAAATCTTTATTGTGCTTATATGTGTGTATCTTGTTTCTCATAAGTTCACAAAGTTAACATGGGTCCATGGACCTAGATGTTTTGGCGGCGTAATCTATATATGAGGGACCCGGGCTGACTCTTTCTTATCAATCTCTGCACTTTTTGCCCCTCACTTTTGTATATCATTTTTTCTTTTCCCACTCTTCAGCGACGAGTACAGCGCAATCCGGTGGTGGTTCGTACAGAATAGTACTCGCGACAATGCCTGCTGTATGCTTTTGAATTCCTCCTTGAATTGAAGCGCCTTTGTTCCCGCCTTCTGCGCTGCTTTCTGATCGTCCGGGGATGGTAAATCAACTACCAGTGGGAGGACCTGTCCCTCCAGAAACTGACCATGTATGTTCGCATAAAGAATAAGTGAAATTACATTCAATTTTGTAATGTTATCTAGAAGGGCTTTCAGCCATGGACTCTGCTCTCTTGGTTGGTTGCGAACGCGAAGAACCCCTGGACAGTGAAACGAGACAAATAAAATAATTCGCTTTGTCGCATCATCTACTCTCATTATCTTCTCAGTATCCAAATCGTCTTTCCAGATATATACTAACATAGCGGATATAGGCTGTGAGTGTCTCCCTCCCGACATGGGGAGCCAACATTGGGTATGAAAGGGGCGAAAAATGGGTAATAGATGCCATGACCAATGGCTACCCACGCTTCTACATCCACAAGAGCATCCGGGCGCTAGTGGCAGAAGTTGTCCGCCGCTTCGGTACGCCCGGGGAGGATTCGGCCACATTGTTCCCGTCTCGTAAGACTGCAGACAGGTGTTACCAGTTCATGACGTCGCGGCTACCAGCTGAGGAAGCACGAAAGCTTCGCGTTATTAGCCTCCTGCCGCCACGGAGACAGCAGCAGCAGAAGCAGCCGCTTTCAGATGAGGGTGACGGTGGTAAAGCAAATCCGAATATCGCATCGTCTCTGTTTTGCGTTTTTTATCCATCCGCACAAAGCAGCGTTGCAAAGGAGGTATGGCAACACACGGGTGATGGGATATCAAGCCGCCGAAGCGAATTCTGTCTGAAGGCCTTGGAAGATGGATATTTAATCGAAGAGAGCCGGCTGCAGCAGCGGGACGAGCCTACAACTCAATGGCCGCACAAGGGGCCGAAGCGGTATCAACGAAATGGGTCTCTAGGGAGCATCAGCAAGGACTTGACATCAACACAGCCACAACATCTACTGCAGAAAAGCGAAATCCCCTCTTCTATGGAGTTTGACCAATTCATTGAAGAGCGGTTTGGCCGTAACTTGAACCTGGCACATGCCAATAATGCCAAGCTCGCGGTTCGGAGACGGATTGCTGGCTCATTGACTTGCAATGGTGAGCTCAGCGAAGCACTGAAATCTGCATCCTCGGATGGGCGGATTTCCGGGTTGGCAGAAGAACACGTCTTCCTCTTTCCCTCGGGCATGAGTGCGATCTTCAACACCCATCGCATGCTAATGGCTGCCCGGGGTCCGATGAAGAGCATATGCTTCGGCTTCCCTTATGTGGATACGTTGAAGATATTACAGAAATGGGGCCCTGGTGTTCAGTTTTATGGGCATGCATCGTCTGAAGAGCTAGATGATCTTCAGAGACGGTTGGAGTCAGGGGAGCGATTCCTAGCGCTCTTCACCGAATTCCCTGGGAATCCCCTACTGAAGGCCCCAGATCTCGAACGTATTCGAGACCTAGCGACGAAATATGACTTCGCCGTGGTGGTGGATGAATCTGTTGGTAACTTTATCAATGTCAACGTTCTCCCATATGCCGATGTGGTCGTGAGCAGTTTGACGAAGGTTTTCAGTGGAGACAGCAATGTTATGGGCGGCAGTGCAGTGTTCAATCCGCATGGGCAATATTATCAGAAGATGAAGGCGGTGCTTGAGACGGAGTACGAAGATAATTATTGGGGAGAAGATGCCATTTTCCTCGAGCGAAACAGCCGGGATTTCGTATCGAGGATTGAGCGCATTAACGCTGCTACTGAGGAGATCACCGCACAGTTAAAAGCGTCGCCTTTGAGTAAGTACCGCTTTCGAAAGGGCTCAGGACTTTAACCCAGGAAGTATAAAACTAAAATCACAGGACTAATAATCATTTTAACAGTCAAGGACATTTACTACCCAAAATACAGCCCAACTCGACATTGGTACGATAAATGCAAGAACCCAAACGGAGGGTATGGGGGTCTATTCTCTATAACTTTCCACTCAAAGGAGCAGGCGGTTGCCTTCTACGACTCCTTTGAAGTCATGAAGGGTCCCAGTTTAGGCACGAATTTTACACTTAGGTATTTCCCCCCCTCCTAGAAAGCGTACCTCTAGACAAGATATCCACTAACATAAAGGTGCCTTTGGAAAAAAAGCTCTCCCTACGTGATCCTAGCTCATTACGAGGAATTGGAGTGGGTGAGTCACTTCGTATTCTCCATTTACTACCTCAATATATATCTTTTCATACCAAAGGGAAAAAATCCACTCACATATAATCTCCCAGGCGAACTCACTAGGCGTCCCTACAGAGTTAATAAGAACGAGCGTCGGACTTGAGGATCCTGTGGACCTTCAGGCTCGCGTCGACCGTGCCCTTGCAGCGGCCGCGAAGGTCTCGAATAAGTCGTGAATAAAACGTTTGATATTTCTCCTAGATTGGAGGGCTGGCTTTCGGGAAACTCCAGGGGAGGGTAGCCTTCTCGGGGCATGTTAAAGGAAGGAAGGGATCTTGAGACCTACAGAGAGACTCCTTATTCTTATTCTATCGCGTTGGAAACGCGCCTCCCCGAAAACGGAGTTGTCAGTTACGATGGGGTATCGGTTCTGCGCGGTATATTTCCCTGATAAAAACGTTTTTATTTGAGCCTTTGGCTTGTTTTGTTTTGTGTGAAAGTGAAGGGTATCCACATACGCGACCGTTTTCTTAGGAAAAATGGAAAGTTGACGGAAACCCAACTCAATTTGTATATGGATGGCGCATCATGAGTCGAGTTGTGAGAGTTTTTCTTCGTTGCTTTATTGCCTCGTCTTCATTTTTCCACGGCCAATACTTAGCCAGGGAATTTAAAAATGGGAAAAGAGGGATACCAAATAATACAATACAATTTCCCATTTTAGAGAGTTTAAAATTTGAGAAGGGAGGAAAAGGGGGTGGGGGGGATGGGTATATAATTTCAACAATTATCGGGTATGACAATATAAACATCCAGTCATCGACCCGAGATTTACCCTAGAAGACGTGACTTTCAATCTATGAAATGCGAGGAGAAGTGGTGGGCGAACTGATAAAGTATATCGACAGATAGATAGATAGATAGATAGATAGATAATAGAAAACAGACCGCTGTTCAATTTAGCCAGCCAACTTGAACATAATTCCTATAAGGATGGGATTTGAATTATACGGTCTTCCGGTAGAGTGGCGTACGCAAGGATTTCTCCTAGGGGAATCAGAAAAGAGGAGCAAGGGAAACGAAATAAAAATATTTCAGAAGCGGACATTGAGTGAAAACGCAAATGTCAAACTACAAGAAATAAATAGCTCGAAGGGACCAAGCTAGAACTAGACAAACAGATCATTCATGAAAATTAAAAGAAAAAGAAAAAAAAAAGAAAAAAAGAAAAAAAGAAACTGAATGAGTCCTCCCAAAGTGTTCTGTTGTATCAAAAATGTTATGGGAAACATGACAGCACAACCCGAGTTACGAACTTCCCGAAAAGCAAAACCTCAGAATTGAAAAGTACGAAACAACACCCATCTACCCCCTCTTTGATTAAAATCGGCTAGTCAAACGGAGAGTATAGCATTAGGAAAAAAGAAGTAACGATGAGAGGCGAAGCAATGGAAAAAGGAACAGAAAAATACAAAACGAAAAATACAAAGGAGCATTGAACCTCTTCCAAGAGTGGTGGATGAGTGACTATGACTATTTGAAAGGGCGATCATATGTCCCATCATCATTTCCAACAGCGCTCATGGGTTGACTGCGGAATCCACCAAAGTCGCCGGAGCCAGTCCGCCGGAGGGCCTGCCGCATGGTTTCGACACTTAACTCACCCCCAAAGGTGCTGGGAGGGGGGCTATGGCCGCAGAGCCGGGGGCTCCCCGCAACTCGGGTCCCGCAATTGGGAGAGTTGTCCAAACCCTTTGTAGAAGGCGATACGCTTGTTGGCGGTGACGTACCGAAGCCATGGGACGAGACCGGAGAGCGTATTGGGGATGGAGAGCGATTCTGCGTGGCGAACAATGCGGCGTTGGTCGACAGACCTGCCATGTACATAGAATCGCGGTTTGAGGCATGGTCTGTTTCGGCATGTTCGCCGTTGACGACGTCGGCGAATGATACGAAACTTAGGCGCTGGACGTCGGATGAGTCCAAGGCGCCGTAGTTTGAAACCGAATCTTCTACGTCTGGGGGTATATGTGGGTTGAGATCGTCATGCCAAGACGACGTCATCGAGTGTTCAAGTTGGCCACCTGTCACGCTGAGTGACGCTGGCTGGTGGAAGTTATGGGTAATGATTTCGACGGAGTCTGGATCAAGATGCTTGTCGGTTAAAGCCGCAGACGAGGCACCAAGGATAGGGGGGATATGGTTTTCTGTCATGATATGTGAGGGTATAGATGGTGAGGCTTGCGCTGGAGAAAAATCTTCCTGGACATTCCGTTCAAAAATTTGCGATGAAGCAGGGGAGTGCAGGCGCGGAGAAGCAGAACGAAATCCGCGATTAGGAGATGACGGAGATATATAGGGATTTCTAGCACGATGTGGAGATGCGGATGGTTGAGTCGAGTGGAGAGAATTAAGAGGGGAGACAGGTCTCATGGTGGTTATGGGGTTAGGGATGTTGGATGGGCGTTGTTGCGATTCACTCTTCTCAGCTGCGCCTGATTCAGGGTTCTTCTTTGGTTTGAGTCTCCATTCCTTATTCTCTTTTTTGTTCATTGCGTCCACCTTGTCCTCCTCTGCCGGGATAATATTTGGTTGGGGAATTCGTGGTAGCGCTTGCTGTGGTTCAGATACGGATAGAGCCGAAGTTACTGGCAACTCGTTGACAGGAGTTGTATCTGAGGTTTTGTCGGTTGATTGATTTGCTGCAGCCATGACTGCTTAAAGGATAGAAGTAATGGAATAGTCGAGACACAATAGTGGTGTGCAGAGTAAGGAACTCTCGCAAATAGAGACCCAACGACTTTGCGCAAAGGGGAAACTTCTCTAGAAACAGTGTTTCAGATTGGGGGGCTTAAGAAACACAAGTATTGATAGTTCCCCACTTCAGTGGAAGACCAAAAGGGAGAGAGCGTGTCTGTGTGCTGTGTGTGTATTCGAAGAAACGAGATCTTGATAAGGGAACACGATGGAATAGATGGACGTTGTCTGCAGGCAGAGAGATATTGAGAAGTGCAAGAAGCGGCAGCTGGTGGCTTGGGACAACGATGGGGGGGGGGGAGAGTTGCAATATGTAGTTGGTGAGAATAATGAGAGTCAGACTCAGCAGCGAAGGCGTTGGGGCCTTGGTGTCAAGTGGATCAACGACGTCATGCTGGGAAAAAGGGGTAATATTGAATGGAGTGTGCGGATGCAGGAGAAAACCGACAAAGGATATTGAGGAAAGGGATGGGGCGGATATAGAGGAGGCGCAGACGGAGAATGAAGAGGATGAAGGGGATGAAGGGGACGACGAAGACGCAGAAGAGGTTGAGCCGGAGCTGGAGATGAAGTTGAGCGTTGAAGCGAAATGATGAGGCTGAGGATGGTGAGGACTCTGGGGTGTTTGTGTGCGGTACGTGTGTATTATTACACGCCTCAGGAGACGGAAGGGCTGCTGTATTGTAACGTTATTTCATGCAGCTCGCCGTATTTCTCTATGAAGGCGGCGGAATAATGTCTTCTCACAACATGATCGCATAGAAATGCACACCTATTGGAACGGGCATCATTGAACGCTGTACCTAGATAGGGATCCGTAATTAAGCCCAATATCTATTCATATTATCGTCCCTAGGACAGCGGTATCTCAAGAGTTACAGCCCGTAATATGGATGGATCCGTGCCCTTCTCACATGATCGATATCCCAATCCGGCTAAGCGTCTGTACAATTTCTGCCCGTTGTCAATTTCTCTTCCGCAGTCGATTTTGATATTTGACTCGTTGTCTCTGCGACCGTCTCAACACCCTTTCGTATCCCAATCTCCTCTGCTATCCTCTTACTGTGTCGGACTCTGCCATGTCTCCTGGATGCTGATCGTTGTTCCCTTGAGGATTTCCCTATCGGCAAGCAGCCAATCCAAAATCCCTGGGTCTCCTAGAATCCCTTCCGGCAAACATACCTACTTTACATATCTCTCCATCCTCTTTTAGAATGGCTTGTCCCGTCACGTATTCCCGGCGCAATATCTTGATTCTGCCATTCTTACTTCCATCGTGGTCGGAATCAGCTGCTTCAACCGTTGTATGCCGGAGATACCAGTCAACTTTCCGTCGCCTGAAGCAACGCCTACGAGTGAAACCTGATGCCTCATTCAGCCCTCTCTCTGCTAATTCGCCTGAGCGAATTATCTACAATCCTCCCTCCAGTGCCCCTTCAGTATACCACACCCCTACCAAATTCCTCCCACCAGATGACGTCCGCCGGAAACTGCGCGCCTCTTCGTTCCCTGGAGACCCACAGCAACAACAGCAAAAGCACTCACAACTCCCACCGGTCTTTCGACAAAAAAGCCAAACCAAAACCATCTTGGGTGAACAGGAGATAGCGGAAATGCGCCAGCTACGGCTAGAAGACCCCATGAAGTGGAGCAGATATGCGCTGGCTCAGAAATTCGGATGCAGCACCCATTTCGTCATGCAGGTGTGCGATGCTGGTCCGCAAAAGAAGGCTATCCAGCAGCAGGTCCTTGAAGCTATCAAATCGCGCTGGGGCAAGAAGCGGACGATTGCTAGGGAGGATAGACAGCTCCGGAAAGAGTTATGGGCATCGGATCAATAATCTATTTATTCGGGCCGCTATACACCTTAGCTAGGTCGGCCTCATCGGGAGTTATTATTTGTGGAGGTCGCAGCTACTGTTTGGAGTGGAGATTGAGAGATTTAATGTCGAAGGCGGGCGAGAGGACACAACTCTGCTCCCCATAACTTCTGTATACTGGGTGGTTGCGGGTGGTGAGGAGAAGGACGAGTAGGACGAGGGAATGGTCATTGTAGAACTGATCACTGTCCCATTTTCTTTTCCCCCGTCCATTTCCGTCCCTAACTTTTGCTGTTAGATTTCCTGTATTTTTTCCCTTATGTTTCTGTACAGCATATTATCTATCTTCTGCCCTCAATGTATAAATATAGAACACTCAAAAAAGCTTAATCCTTTGCTCCAAACAGACGCTGATATCCTTAGATTGTAATCACGATGATATCAAGAAAAAGAAAAACATAAATTAATCAACCCCATGCTGGCGCTACTCGCAGCACGAAACTAGCTATTCAGAAAAGACAACTATTATCAAATCTAGCAGAGAAAAGTGGAAGATAAACAATACCGATGCAACCTCGTTTTTCTCGCCGTCAGCAATCGGACGTCCTCGTCTCCTGACCTTGCCGCATCTACCCAGAACATCCCGCCAAATGCTCCCCGCCTCGCTTCCCCTCAGTCGCATCGCAGCATCGCTCCCTGCCATCAAACACGGTACGGCGCATTTGATCATCCCTCCATTGCTCCACGCTCCGAGGTATTTCAGTGCTCATAGGCTCTTTTCCTTCTCTTCACCTTCATCCACTTTCTCAACTTTCGTCACAACACGCTCCTCCAGCTGTCGTACCGTCAACAGTCAACAACCTGCTTCGCTCACCGCAAGAATCCACAAGAGAGCCTTCTACGCAAATATCGACGATCCCAAGATGGCACCTCAGCTGGAACCGTTTTTCAAGGAGTGAGTTATGGAGATAGAACATATTTTTTCCCACTGAATCCACTGATCCGTGGAGGATATGCCGGTTGCTGATATCAAGGTGTACATTGCCTTACCATGTAGGGTTGACAACCTCCAAGACCACTTCATTGATCGTATGTGCGATGACCCAATCCTATCTAGAAGCTACAGGCTTGGATGACTGCTAATTAATTCCCCTCGTTTTGATACAGGCCTGAGAAAAGCTGTTGCTATCCCGTCAATTTCTGCCCAGGATGACAACAGACGGGATGTTGTCAGAGTACGTTGCTATACCTCCACAGCCGATGTGTGCCGCTGCAATCCTCAAAAGGCATCACATTTTCTAATTACTGCTTATTACTACAGATGGGAGAATTCCTTGTCGATGAACTCAAGCGTCTGGGAGCTGAAGTTGAGATCCGACAACTAGGGAAGGAACCTGGACGGCCTCATCTGGAACTGCCCCCTGTCATCCTCACCCGCTACGGCAACGACAAGAACAAGAGGACCATTCTCGTCTATGGTCATTACGATGTGCAGCCCGCCCTTCGTGAGGATGGCTGGAACACGGAGCCCTTCACCCTTACAGTCGATGAGAAAGGCAGAATGTTCGGTCGTGGCAGCACGGATGACAAGGGCCCCATCATGGGTTGGCTAAACGTCATCGAAGCGCACCAGAAGGCTGGAGTCGATTTCCCCGTCAACCTGCTCGGCTGCTTTGAGGGTATGGAAGAGTACGGCTCGCTGGGGCTCGAGGAGTTCGTAAAAGCCGAAAGTAAGGCGTTTTTCAAGGATGCTGATGCTGTATGCATCTCTGATAACTACTGGCTGGGTACTGAGAAACCATGTCTCACCTACGGTTTGCGCGGTTGCAATTACTACTCGCTCACCGTCTCCGGCCCGGGACAGGACTTGCACAGCGGCGTCTTTGGCGGCACGGTCCATGAACCTATGACGGATCTGGTCATTCTCCTCTCCAAGCTGGTTGATGCTAAAGGCAACATCCAGATTCCAGGCATAAACGAGCTCGTTGCTCCACTGACAGAGGATGAGAAGAGCTTGTACACTAACATCGGTTTCACCATGGATAACCTGTACGAGTCTCTTGGCAACACCACCTCCATTTTCCCAGACAAAGAATCCACCCTCATGAGACGATGGCGCTATCCATCTCTCTCCGTCCACGGCGTGGAAGGCGCTTATTCCGCGCCGGGTGCCAAGACAGTTATTCCCGCAAAAGTCATTGGAAAGTTCTCCATCCGTACCGTGCCCAATATGGAGAGCGATGATGTGGACCGATTGGTGTTTGATTATGTGAAGGCCGAGTTCGCCAAATTGAACAGCAAGAATACTATGGATTGCTCGCTGCAGCATGGTGGGAAGTGGTGGGTGGCTAGCCCTAAACACTGGAATTTCCAGGCTGCGAGTAAGGCTGTTAAGCAGGTATTTGGTATGGAGCCGGATATGACGAGGGAGGGCGGGAGGTACTTTTGATCCCCTTTTCCTTTTCCATTGTGTCGTTTTGTACTCGAATGAACATTAATTTTTAACTAACTGTAACACAATTAGCATCCCCATCACCCTCACTTTCGAAGAAGCCACTGGCAAGAACGTCCTTTTGTTGCCCATGGGCAGCTCGACGGATATGGCACATTTCCACCAACGAGAAGCTCGACAAGCGCAACTACATTGAGGGCACTAAGTTGATGGGCGCTTATATGCAGGTACTCCTTATGACATCGTCCTGTAACGAGTAGACAGTAGACAAACTTTCTGTGTTTTTTATCTTATTTTATCTGTTACACTTGGTATTTGTGTCCGGGAGGGATGGAGGTTGATATTTACTGTACAGTTAGTTTTCACTTTGAACTTAGTAGATGTCCTATAAGTAGCATGTAGCATGATATAACTACAACTGATCATGAAAGTACCCAGGAATGGTTTTTCAGGTGTCAGCAGGCGATTACGGTTTATGTGTTCTAGAGTTCATCTGCATGGTTGATGAGACATTCTTTGGCCGAAAATCGTATTTTCCCAAGCAGCTACTTGATTGAATACTTGCCTGCAGCGTACGCCTTGTCAGACATCGCCTGGATAAATTTTGTATGCAATGTGTGGGATAATGTCGATGCATCTGATAAATCTCAATCGGGAAATAATGAAGTCGCTATCACGTGGTTCCACGATGCGCTCGGTTCCGTACGCGACGCGACATGAATTTACCAACAACGAAAAGCGCTTGACTCAACATCTGCTCGGCACTCAGAACAACTGCACGGGGAACTGGGATGTCAGGATTATTGTGATTCATAAGTAACTCACAAAATCATTTTCATGACTTGTCATTTGACAGCTTCCATTTCTCTCCATGGCTCCGATCAAGCGGAGTCGAGTCGATCAGCATTATGATCCCTCCTCGAGTGCGCTGGTAAGTTCACAGCTTGGCCCGGAGTGAAATTTAAGAAAACATTGAATTGGGTCCCCCCACCCCATCTCTCTTCGAGTCCTCGAAAAAATAAAACAATCCAGCGCTAAAACATTCTCCCATTTATCTACAGAGAAAGAAGGTGCGCACTTCAGACGTCCTGACAGCCCGGGGCGCCAGTGACAGCGACAGCGACAGCGATGATGACGCCGCCAACTCTTCCAATTCAGATATGTATGATTCCGCGGCAGAATCCGCCTCTGAGCGCAACGGAGCAGACCCCGCCCACACTCCCCACGACCCGGCATTCGAATCCGACTCCCAACTCGTCGAACCAGACATAGACGAGGACGCCATCGAGCGACGCGCCAGCCAATACATCCAGAAAAAATTTTCGCAAAACATAGAAAACGTGCCCGCTGAACATGGCATCATCGAGCGGGTAGATTGCTACAATTTCATGTGCCACGAGCATTTCTCCGTCGACCTAGGCCCATTGATAAATTTCATCGTGGGCAAGAATGGGAGTGGGAAAAGTGCTATCCTTACGGCCCTCACGCTCTGTTTGGGTGGAAAAGCGTCTGTGACGAATCGAGGTCAGAGTTTGAAGAGTTTCATTAAGGAGGGAAAGGAGTATGTGCGCCCTTTTTTTCCCCCCTGTGATATGTCATTAAGATTAACTGCGCGCACATTTGCTAAACCTTTTAATATTCTTCTTTTAGCTCTGCGACTATTGTGGTTCGCATCAAGAATCAGGGAGATAGTGCATATAATCCGAACGAATTCGGAAACTCAATCATCATCGAACGTCATTTCTCCAGAAACGGCTCGAGTGGATTTAAAATCAAAAGTTCCTCCGGCCGTGTTGTATCCACGAAGAAGTCCGAACTTGACTCCATCACCGACTATTTTGCCCTCCAGATTGACAATCCCATGAATGTCCTCTCTCAAGACATGGCCCGCCAGTTTCTAAGCAGTTCCAGCCCGTCGGAAAAATACAAATTTTTTGTAAAAGGGGTCCAACTAGAACAGCTGGATCAGGATTACCGCTTGCTTGAAGAGTCAATTGACCAGACGGAAGCGAAATTGTCGATTCATTTGGACCAGATCAAGGATTTGGAGACTAACAGGAACAACGCCAGGGCAAAACTCGCGCTATCGGATAAGAATGAAACCATGCGGGCCAGAGTGAGGAACTTACGAGCTCAGATGGCGTGGGTACAGGTTGAAGAACAGGAAAAAGTTCGTAAATAGAAGTATATATATTTTTATATAATGAGTATTGGGATAGTCATATCTCGGGCTAACCTACGGAAATAGAAATCGAGATGCGTGCGATGCACAAACTTGCGGAAGCTACTAGGAAGATCGCAGATTTGGAGGCTGAAGTTGCGAAAGCTGATGAGCTTTATCAAGCGGCAGATCGTGAATATGGCATAGCTGCTGAAGCCGTTCTAGCCGCAAAATCTGAACTGGAAGCCCAAGCGGATCGCGGGAAGGTCGCAAAGGAAAGTATGAATGAGATTGTGAAAGAACGCCGCGAGCTTCAGGTACGTCAAGTAATATTTGGTTAAATGATATTGTTTGGTAATTAATTCCGGTGTCTTTTTTACGTTCTCAAGGCGACACAACGCACAATCCGCGAATGCCTGAAGACTGCCGAGTCAGCTATCGCAGAGACAGAACGAAAAATAAATGAGGAAAAGAAGCGACTTGAGGATTTAGACGGCGGAAACCACGCTAGGAGGCTGGCGGAACTCGAGCAGAGAAAATCCCAAGCGGAAGAGGCGCTCAATACGTACAATGCCCACAGGAAAGATGTGAATCGGCTACAAGAGGACATCAACAATGCTGAGCGAGAATACCAAGGGAAGCGTGAACCTGTCAACAAACAGCGGTCTGATATAGAGCAAACTGAAAACCGACTTCACAGCCTCACACGGGATAGAGGACAACAGCAGAACGGCTTCCATGAAAAGATGCCCATGTTGTTAAGGGCTATTGAACAGGAGCAGTACAAGTTTTCGAGAAAACCTGTCGGGCCATTGGGTAACCATATACGACTGTTGAAGCCGAAATGGTCTGGGGTCCTCGAAAGCTCGCTGGGGGCAAACCTAGCTGGGTTTGTGGTAACGGCGAAAAGCGATTCCAACATTCTATCGAGCATCATGAAACGGGTCGGATGGTAGGTTTTAAAAGACTTTACTGACTTTGCGACGTGCTTGATCTGTATGTTAATTTTCATCCGCATTTAGTGAATGTCCTATCTTCATCGGGAATGATATTGGGAATATGGATACGTCCCCCAATGAACCAGACCCTCAATTCGACACGATGTTACGTGTTTTAGAGGTAAGGAACCTCCAAAGATAGAATTCACGATGTTGAGTTTCATTACTAAAATCATTTCAGATCGATAACGATTTGGTTCGGCGGCAGCTGGTTATAACAAATGGCATTGAACAGGTGCTTCTCATTGAGAACTTGGAAGATGCTTCGGTTGTAATGTTTGACGGCGAGCGGCCGAGAAACGTGAGGCGATGTTTATGTATCGACCAACGAGACCGACGAAGAGGGATTCACTTGTCCTATAGTCGGACGGGGGAGCCCACGCAATCTCCAGTCCAAGCATATTTAGGACGACCTCGAATGAAAACCGACATTGAGTCCCAAATCAAGTACGTAGCCATTTACGCACAATAAGAAAACTAGACCGCCAGTTACTTACTCATTGCCTCATGTAGGATACAGCAAGATGCTGTCAGTAGGTTGAAGCAGGACCTCCTCGAATTGGAAACCCAAGAACGCTTAGCGCGCAACCACCTTGAAAAATGCAAACAGGCAGTCGTTAGACATAGCAGACAGCAGGAGCAGCTAAAGATTGCCTGGCAACAGGCGGAAGATCGCGTTGAGGAGCTTCAAAGTGCAATTGACGGAGATGCAACTGAAGACGGCAAGCTTGATGCATTGCAAACATCGCTGCAAGAACATGAAGGAGAGAAACGAACCCACGAGAGTTCGTTTGAGGATAGCGTCAATAAAATGGACAGCATAATGGAGACTCTAAAGGAGAAGAAACGAGAAGTGACCGAGATCGAAATGGAGATCGCTGAGTATCGCAAAAAGGTCGAAAATCTTGAAGCCAAAGAGTCGAAAACCCTGGAGAAGCGGAGAAAAGCTCTCGTTGATAAAAACGTGGTTATTGATAAGCTTGAGTCCTTGCAGGGGGATAAGGCACATATCGTGAGGAAGCGCCAGGAACTTGGCGATATCATTTTGGACTTCACTGCCAAGGCAAGTTCGGTTTCTCCACGTGTGGCTGTCTCTGAGGGCGAGACAGCAAATAGTCTTGATAAGAAACTTGTGAGACTGAAGAGGGATCTTGATCGATTTGATAAAGAGTATGTATATTTCTCATTTTTGCCAAAGGGGAAAGGGACAGGAATAAGAGCTCTGCTAATGCCGTCTAGTTTGGGAGATCGGGAGAAGATTGCCACCGAAGCAGCCGAAGCAGAGGAAAAATATGAAAGTGCTAGGCGCCAGGTTGCTGAGCTTGAAGAACTCGCGCAGGTAATCACTTCCATGATACAAATTTTCGTCCCAATCTTAATCTAGCCTTGTGCCTACAAAACCCTAACTAACAATTCTATAGAGGTTCAAGATTACATTAAATAACCGGCGAAAACGATGGGAGAATTTTCGCTCCCTCATCACTGCGCAGGCTAAACTCCAGTTTACCTATCTGCTGTCCGAGCGAAGTTTCCGCGGCCAGATTCTATCAGATCATACGAAAAAATTGCTTGATGTCCATGTCGAGCCGGATATCACCAAGGAGAGTGCCAAGGGCAGAAATGCTAGGACTCTATCTGGAGGAGAAAAGTCATTCTCGCAGATATGTCTTTTGCTCTCGCTGTGGGAGGCCATGGGGTCACCGATCCGCTGCTTGGATGAATTGTATGTGATGTCATGACTGATTGATACCCTTACTTACCGCGATTCATTTTTTGTTTACATACTAACTGGCTTTTTTTCTCTCCCACGTGTTAGTGACGTATACATGGACTCTATCAACCGGCGCATGAGTATCGAGATGCTGGTAGGTTTCCCCCGTCCCGCGCCTGCTTTTGTGTCGTCTTGTATCTTCTGTGTTATTCTCTGGACTGGCCCCGTGGTAATAAAATAATCAATAGATGATAGCAGCAAGGCGGTCCGTTGGGCGGCAGTTCATCTTCATTACCCCAGGTGCGAGACACGAAATCCAGCCTGCGCCAGACGTTAGAATCAAAGAGTATGTTATTTTCTTCTCTCTGTACCCGAAATCGTGACCCTGAAACTGACGTGAGATTTCCTTTTCTTTCTTCTCTATCTAGACTTGCCGAACCAGAACGGGGCCAAACGACGCTTCCGTTTGCGTGAGATTTATTTAAGAATCGCTGGCTCTGTCATTATTTTATTTATTGGTTTATTGATTTATCTATACCCCCTTATATCATCAATAAATACCGTACTGGGCGGGTGGTTTGTTAGTAGACCTTTTTATTTATTTTTTTGTATTTCTATTCCTTTTTTTTTTATTTTCTTGTACAGTACATATTTACAACTGCATCCATTTTATGATTTCAGTGCCAAGATTTGCTCCATTGTCCCATGTTTGTTATTTAGGGTCTAATTGGTTTTCCTACTGTGTGTACAGATCTGTAGATACATGGCTGTTTCTCACACACAACAGAATATAAATCAATTGGGAGCAACTCGTTTGACAGGTGTTATCATGAAATTTGACACGGGTTCAAATGCTCTGCGACCAACGCCACCCCCGCTGGAAAAGAACTGTTGACGTAACTTTAAGTTTTTGCAGGAAAATAATAATAAAAAAAAAAAAAAAAATTCACCGGGAAATTGCCGATGCTTGGATACAACGCCAGCCAAACCAAGCAAAACCCACTTGGCATCAAATAAATTGGTCAAATCAGCCTGCTTGGACCATATAAATATAGTATATAAATGTGGAAAAAGGTAAAATCTCAAATCAGGTGGCTAAATGAGGCGTGGGAAGGAGGGTTGGTAAACTCCTATACATTTATTTAGTTAGTTATTCCTATGAACACCGGCTTGGCTACTCTGCTAGCCAAGAGGGGAAGGGGAAGTTTCTATCAAGTTAACTCCCCATCTCTCTGAAGGGCTAAACTGCTGCTGATGTCGCCGCACAAGCCCGATGGATCATCATCATCATCACCATCATCACCATCACCATCCCTATAACCGAGTTGCATTAGACAGTTTAACCAAAGGAAAAACCGGCAGGCCAAAGGGAATAAGAAAGCGAAAAAGAAAAGGAAAAGAAAAAGGAAGCGACACAGTTGCAGGTCGGAGTGGTCTTTTGTTCGGAGCCATGAGATGGAAATTGCCCAAAGGAGCCGTCTATACACATCCAATAAATTAATAACCAATACAACAAAGGAGTATGCTCCAAAAGGGGAATAGATAAGGATGCCCAAGATGAAAAAACACTCCCAATATTCACAATAATAATACCAATAATAATATAATATTCCCGGTATTCGTCGTCTCGCGAAAAAGGGGGAGACGTGAATTAAGAAAGGTGAAAAATAGAATATGTGTAGAGGAGGTGGTATGACATGTTACCGTCCCGCGTAGTTATTGCTGCTTCGCCCAATCGTCCCGGTGTTTCGATTGGCTCCCGTGCCTACATATGAATTCGTTCGCGTACATGTTATACCTAGAGAGTAAATCCGGGGCTGTGATTTGGTATTGATGCATGAAATTAAAGTGCGCGGCGAGTGCTTTGCCTTCGATAAGAATATCTATATTGAACACGGGGGAACTGTGTCAGTGTCGGTGTCGCATTTGCTTTTCTTTTTGACACGAGTTGAATAATAGAGAGCGAGTGTTCATAGAATAGTAGCAACTCTTTATAATTACTCCCGACACATCTCCTCTAAAAACTCACGGCAACCCTTCTAGGGACCCAGGGGGAGAAGGGGGGGGGGGGGGGGGGGAGGAATATTGTCTTTACTCACGTCTCTGCAACTTCTTCGGCAAGTCCAAAACAATCATATCTTCATCCCCTTTATTATTGGGCCAATGCTCCACATCAGTATCCAGAATATCGTCTCCCAGAATCGCGAGGCAATTGATCCGAATCCGCTCGCCCTGCATATTCCAGGGCGGCTGGAATTTATATAGGTCTGTGGTATTCCGCTCCAGGTTTTCCAGCAGCGAATAATGCTGCTGCGCCGCAATCGCCCAGCTCTCATACGTAGGGCCCCAGAAGTCATACGTCAGGTTCGCGACAGGGGTGCGGTGGAGCGCCCTGTCGTCGTTGACACGGAGCCAGCGATGTTTGCCCCCCCCCGGGGGGTCTCCGTCCTGCGGCCATCTGAACGTGCTCGGGCCGGACCAGAAGGGGTGGCTGGAGGGACGCCAGTTTTCCGAACTACTGTGGTTGGTGTAAGTGGGATCTGCCTCGAGTTCAGGGAAGTATGGATGCAGAGCACCGAGGTGGAAGTGAAGGAAAGACAAGGGCGGGCCGTTGATGACGTTCGCGGAGACAGCAAAGCTGTCCGGGTATTTTAATTTGGTCGTGACCATATGTGGAATCGCATCGTCCGCGAGCCAAACCTAGGAGATTGAGGTAAGCGATATGACACCAAAAAGTGGATAAGACTTGTCAACGGGCTGTCCCTGTCGCGTAAGACTGGAGACATGGGAGAGGGGAGGCCACAAACAATATCATCGTCAATTTTGACATAAATCGTACCCCTCTGCACCACTCTCCAGAGTTTGGTATAGTCTGGCCATCCGACGGGCCTTTGTAGCGGAATTTTCTTATAGCGGGGGGACCTGGCAATGATACCATCGAGAAATTTGAGATCTTCTTTATTATTCGTATTGGCGAACCAAAGCACTTCATCTAGCCACCCGCCATTGTCTACCAGATTCCGCTACTCAAATTGTGAGCGAATGTAGGGTTAAGAAATAAAGATAAAAGAAAAAAAAATCAAAACCAACCTCAACATAGCAATTCATCGATGCCGCTCGATCCCGCCGCCCAAAAAACACCATGCCTGTAATATTGTAATTCTTAGGCTTAACAAGGGTCTCTACTTGCCCTTGTGGCCTCTGCTGTCCATGACTGTTGCTGCTCTCATAGTGCTCCTGCTGCAGGCCTATCGTGGGAGCAGATCTCCACGGCTGGCGATCCAGCGAGAACGACAACTTGATCAGACATAGCAGGACGGCGACGGCGACGACGACGAGAACGGCAGGCCTGCGAATTGACTGTGAGGAGAGCATGGAGGTGGACGAGTTGGCGTGTGACCCACCATGAGTCGAGGAAGCGGGTATGGGAGGAGAGGAGGAAGAAGTGGGCAAAAGACGGGGACGGGAGGGAGTCGAGTGATGCCGCCGAGAAGGACAGTAACCAACTAAGCAGCCGGTAGCAGAAAAGGATCAAAAGAGGACAAGAGAGAGAAAGTAGAGGAGAAATCATAGCGAGAGACCGAGAAAAATGCGACCTCGATTGGGCGGGCGATCTGTTCGCCGCCGACTCGAGCGGAGCCGCCGTGTGGGAAGGGCAATCCAGAGTTCGCCTCATCCAGGAAGGAAAAGAGACCAAGAATGGCGACATCGCGCAGAGGCCAGTTGCTGGGCCAGTCGTTGGGCTGGTCGATATTGGGTTTGACAAGCGGGCGAATGTGGCGTCGGGCGGTGTGTTTAGTTCGAGACATGGCGGAGACACCAAAGATCGCGGGCTTGGGAGGTTCCGCGAGAACCAAATCTTGGAATGATCCATGGATACGAGTCGTCGATGATCATATACATATCTGTCTCGATGTCTGCACAGCGGATGTCTGGATGTATGGATAGATCTCCCCATCTATCCATCTATCTTGCTCCGGGCAGACGTGGCAGCACGGGGAGGGAAAGGCAAAACACATCGACCTGGCCGTGAATACTCTTCATAGCCCAACGGAACCAGCTGAGGACCTCGTATTCTGCTCATGAGCATGGCCTGATCCAGGAATCCAAGTGGTCGTTGGCGTTAGAGTTCCAATTGGAGTCGCAGGATGCGAGTTTGCGAGTTGTCGCATTCCATATTGTGGCGGACGTAAAGCTTGCGAAAACAGAATTTTCTGCCACCCCCTGAAAAATAGTAGCAAAACACTGCAAAAATAATCAAAATATCCACATATCTCTAGAATCATTCAAATATCATTCAATTCATTCAAATACACATCTTTATCATCAAATCTGTCAATATGTCTCACAACACTCATCATTCTACTGCTTCATAAGCTTGTAAAAGAACTTCAATTACTCTGTGTCTTCATCTGCTTAAATTGTCTGTTTTAAATATTTCAGATAATGATGAGAATTCAACTGATGATAAAAGAAGAATAAAAAGAAGAAAAAAAAGAAAAAAAAAAAAAAACCATAATTAAAAAATTTTTAATTTTTGTGAACATTTATTTTTAAATCTGAAATTTCATTCAGATTGTATGAATAGATGATTATTTATAAGATAAAGAAGTTTATAAAAATCAAGTTATGAAATATTACAATAAATGATATGATTGTCAATTTTTATTGTATTCAATATACTGTAAAAAAAATAGCTGAAAAGTATGTTACGAAGCAGAATTACAAAAAGATAAAAATTGCAAATTATATAACAATCATCTCACTAAATAAATATAAATTTTCAATCAAAATCACTTTTGAAAAAAAGACAGATTGAAAAGAGATTATCATTTTTTTAAAAAAAGTTATATAAAAAAATAAATGAATTTAATATTGAAATTATCATTGTTTTTAATTTTCTTAATATTTTAATTTTATTTTTAAACATCTTTGTAATATGCAGTTTTGCAGTTTTCATTAAAATGTTGAATTCACAATTAACAATTCAAGCATTGGCATTAAAAAGAGCATTAGATGTTAAAGAAGAAGTAATTTCATCATTTATCAAATCCTCTCAAATTTATGAAATATTTAATGATAAAAAGCTGCTGTCTATATGTACAAAATTCACAACCACTAGTCAGCAGCTGAAGAAGACTTGAAATCAATTATTAAATAAATATAATTCTTTACAAATTGAATATGAAATAATTGCTCATTGATATTGTCAAAAAAATGAATTATCATAACTTTAAGTAAAGCATTTATTGAATAGCTTTTAATGATACTTATATTCAATTTCTGAATAATGAGATTATCAGTTAAATAGATGATGTTGAATATGAACATACAACAGTTAAAAATCTCTCAAAAAAAAATAACAAAAATTTAATGAATAGAAAAAAGAAAAAGAAATGAAAAAATAAATATATCTCTATTTTTAATTTTTTTATATAAATATTTTAGATATCAGCAATTATATTCTCTTTCTCAACTTCTTTTTCATCTAATATTGTGTTTTCAAATGAGATAATCAATGTGATGGTGATGAAAAATATATGATGAAAGAAATGAAAATTATAAGAAGATTGAATTCAAATTTATCATTGAATTCAAATTTGCTGTTAAATTCAAATTTGCTGTTAAATTCAAATTTGTCATTGAATTCAAATTTATTATTAAATTCAAACCTGCTGTTGAATCTGAATCTGCCTTCTATTTGAAATAATTCAATCCCTATGTTTGATGAACACATAAATTTATTTATTGATAAGTTTTTCAATTAATTGATAATAGAGAGACTTTAAAAAGCAGAAGTTCTTTTAATTGCAAAGAGCATTATTTAAAATAAAGAATTTGAACTGAATCATATATAGATAATGATAAATAAACAAATGATTCAGTTGAATATTGAAATAAATATATTTTCAATAATAAAAGATGAATTAAAAAGTTCTATCTGACAATCATAGTTAAGGAAGATTAAATTGTTTTTATTTATTATTTATAATGATGACTGTAAATCTCATACTGCTTTTATTTCTGAATTTGAAATTTAAATATTTTATATCATCATAATTGAATTGCAATTTAAATCTTTTTAAATTTTATATTATTATTATATATGAGCAAATTTGAAATATTTTTTTACATCTTTTTTTTTTCATGAAATTTTCAACTGTATGATGTAAGAAGATTTTAAAATCTTTATTAAATTGATTCTCTAACTGACATTTATATTTTTTAATTCATTTTTTCAATGTGTGAAATGACTTTTTTATAGAATTATAATCAAAAGAATATAAAAATAAGAATAAAAATTCAATGTCAGCTTCTCTATAAAAATTTCATAATGTTTATGAATGATGAAAAGAGCAATTATTCATCATTAAATAATGATAATTTTATTAACATTTAAACAATATTCAGATATATACAAACTCATTGAATCTTTTTATATTATAGAATCTTTAATATATATCATAATCAAAATATTTATTAATATTTATTATAGATAAAATTAATCATTTGTGAAATTGTTTATAAAGTTTTTTAATATGATAAAAAAATTCTCTACTTGATCATTCATATCATTGATCTGCAGTATATTTATTTATAACACCTTCATTTAAAAAGATAAATTGATCAGATTAATAATGAATAATTTGATTACATCATTGAATTTAAAGTTCTCTACCACATTGACTGATCACAGATTCAATTTATATTAAATAAAATTGACAGATTAATAAATTCTATAAATGATAATTGTAATAATTAATCATTTTCTTTCATATCAAATTCAGTTTCTTCAATAATTTAAATATTGATTGAAAGTGGATATCAATATCAAATTCATTTTTTACAAAGCAAACAACTTCATTGTGATATGCAGTTGAATATATTTCAAAAATGTTATTCAAATCTGACAAAATATTCAGTGTAATTTTTGACTTTACATTTCATGTTGAATGAAGACTTCTAGCAGTTTCAAAGCAGTGAATATTTTGTTGAATTTGATATACAGTGGTCAGATGACACTGAATGGTTCATATAATTTGAGCAGATATATAATCATTATTTAGAAGGTGTATGATCTCATTGGTGGTAAATTCACTGAGCTGAGGGGGCATATTGGCAGATTTGATGATAAAGATGTGTATTTGAATGAATTGAATGATATTTGAATGATTTTAGAGATATGTGAATATTTTGGTTATTTTTGCAATGTTTTGCTATTATTTTTCAGGGAGTGGCAGAAAATTCTGTTTTCACAAGCTTTACGTCCGCCACAATATTGCTTTTTGCGATGAAACAGACAAAAGACATCCATCGCGTCTTCCATATTTCCCCTGCAGCAGCCCCACAGAGCGGGCTTCCTCCTCCTCCTCCTCCTCTTCCGCTTCCTGTTCCTCCTCTTGGTGGTTCCGAATCTTTGCAAACTCAGCGCCAGCTCGCCCACCGTAGCCCTTTGCAGGTTTCCCGGCGATGACCCAAGGATACTGCTCAACTCAAACGACGGCGGAAGGGAACAAAATCCGTTCGGGAACCGTGAGAGAAGATTACAGCTGTCACAAATGTGTATATACAGTTATACAATTGAGGTTATATCTATGTCGGCATGCATGTGTGCATGTATTTCTACGGGCTCGCTCGTCTCCTGCATCGCACAACTTCATCTGTAGCCAGCCAGTCGAGCCCAGGAGAAGCAGCAGAGAAAGATCCCATGGCCTGCTTCAATTCCTGAATCCCTCCGCTCGACGAATATCTTTTCACAGTAGCTATGACCTTTTTGACTGGAACCAGGGGCGAGATACCAAAACTCAGACTCTCTCGCCACCATATATATAGATAGGATTTGTAATAATGCTATCATTTTCTCTGGGTTCCTTCTGACAATGGAACATATAAATAAAATAGATGTATATACACGTGGCGCTTACAATTTTTCCAAAAATCAGTCGATCCTCCAGCCCCCTCCCTCCCACTTTTTCCCCCTCCTATTCATCAGCCTCGTCGTCCCAGTCTCCATGCGAGAAACTGAAGCCGTAGCGCTCGCTCATCCGCTTGATCTCATCCGCCGTGAGGGTACGGCAGCTGCTTGGCGGCAGCCACATATTTAGCTGATCTTCTCCGTCCTCCAGAATGCGGCGCTCCCCCGCCTCCGGATAGAAGAAGTAGACCATGGGGCAGAAGAAGTCGTTGACTCAGATACATGCCCCAGCCAATCTCGTCCAGCATGACGGACGCAGATCATGACAATGAATGACAAAAGTTGACGAGGGAAGCGGCAGCCAACGTGGAGCAGAAGCTAGCGATGTACTGTAGGTGAAAATGAAGGCCTGACGGCGGCCACCAACCTTGGAACCGTGCCAGGGATAAGGATAAGGCAGGCAAAGGTGATCGCCATGGAGAGCCGTACTAGCTGGCTGTTCCGGGCAGGGAGAGCTTGCGCGCGGCCGACCCGTTCAGTCAGGAACCAGGAGAGGCGGTTGCGGAGGTGGAATAGACGAATAGACGATCATGTTGACGCCGCCGAGGGGAATCGCCGTAAACGAGCATGCGGCGGAAATGTTTGAGTTATGCCCCCTTTGAAAACAAGCTGGTGATAATTGGGGTAGAGGAACGGAACCAAGATCGCCAGAGCTGCAGAAGTCAATCCCGGCTATGATCAAAGGGGTTGGACGGTTTGCCATAACGTACGCTCTGATGCAGTCCAAGCCCCCCAGAAGACAGGCGATAACTAACTGCCATGAGGAGTTTCCATTCCTTGAGTATGGAGTTACCATCACCACATGTTGTTCGGTCGCAGTCTCACTTCACCGTTCTTCCGCGTTCTAGGACGAGGATGTTCGAAACGGGAAACAGGAAAGGAGAGACTGGACAAAGCGTGCATTTTCTGCTGCCCTTGATGGATTTCCTCGAGGTTAGGCTCAGTGAGGGCTACACCCCATGGAAAACACTTTCTCCCTGTTGATCTGATTTGCCAGATCAAGCGATGGCGGCTACGTGCAGTGCAGACATCCCTGCACTGTTGGAGATTGATAGGATCCGCTGGGGGGTTGAGACGGTCATGACCCGCTGTCGCAAGGGAAGAATACATATGGGGTTGCTTGTCCACAATACAACACAATTATACTCAGGCCGGAATGTCACTGATTTAAACGTTCGCAGCCATAGAGTCGACTTCATTTGGGTTTGCCTCTCTCTCTCATGCACCGGGCCTTTTACCTCCTTGTTCTTCTCAACCGCTTGGCTATATATATATATGTATACTTCTGTCCTCACCCAGCCATCTTCACTGATCCCGCCCATCCCATCTGATCGCCCCAATTGTTTGCAAGAAGGTTGAGCTTAAGCCACATCAAAGAGGTAGTCATGGGGATTCTTCCCTACACATGTTGGCGAGGGGGCAGCTCGTTGGGATTCAGTATAGCATACTGAGTGGCATGATTAATGTTTACAGGGTCCGCGGTCAAGTTGCATTTCGACGCGCTTGCCATGCCAAAAAACCTGGAATCCGCGATTGTGCCCATACACCAAAGGGTTCAGAGTTCAGAGTCCCCATCATGGTCTACAGTCCCGGGCAGATAGAGGCCAGTCTACATCTGGGGAGGCAGTTATATCTCTCTCTTGAAGTAAATGCTCCCAGTAGAGCTGAATGGAAGAGCAAATGGCTTCTTCTCAATATCAACGACCTCCGTTGCTACTGACAATTCAACTCAACTGCTGCTTTTTTGGTCAGTTCAAACCATGTACTTTCAGGCCCGATGCCCGGAGCATGTGTCATTACCTATATATCTTCAACACCAACTGGATTGTCTGCTGTCGATGACCATCCAATTTATCTCCTTAGACCGCAGGAATGTACTGGTCTGGTTGCCACTTCAGATTTTGGTACCCGGTGGCCAAATGGAATCCCGATTGTTCGGAGATGCCGTTTTGCTCTGCATCCGATGCTGAACCCAGATAGTTTAATGTCGGATATATTACACTGATAGCTAGCTGCATAGCTCCAGCAGCTCACTCAGATTGTAAAAAGTTGACTTGATTTTTGTGAGATCGCCTTCTCTACTATATTCTTCTCTCATTTCCTCATTCCTCCTTGCTAGCTTTGGTTGTCAAGGTGATGGCAAATTCCTCGAGGATAAAAAAAGAGATTTTCAACAAAAGAGGAGTTGTTTTCAAAGAATACATGCTTAAAATAATGATAATAATAATAATTATAATGTATGCATTTATGTGTGACATACCATGATGAATAGCTAGAAACCAATAAATCACTTTTCATGTTTCAAACAGTGATGTAGAAAGAAAGGTAGCAACAAAAATGAGAAGTACAAGTCACAATCACAGCTATATATATCTAGATATCCCGTGCTTACTCATGGGTGTATCAAAGTAAAAGAAGAAAAATGAAGGGGAATAGAAAAATAGATACAAGCAGAAGCAGATCAAAAACAAGTAAATAGACAGAGGTATCGTTTGAGAAAAGGACAAGAGAACGAGAGTGATAAAAAATAAAACAAATAGAAAGAAAAGAATGTGAGCTATATTTTAAATATCAATTCATTTCGTAAAACCTTTCATAACGAGGGGGTATGGACGGATGGATGATGCATGGATATGATAGCAGGGGATAGAACAGACAGGACCAAAAAAAAGTTGTATATAGAATGCTACTGATGAAATCTTCCAAAAATAAATAAATAAAAAACCATTGGGAAGAATGGTATCGAATGGGAGAAAGTGTGGTGACAGGGGGAGGGGAGAAAAATGGATATCGACAACACTCGTGCACTTGCTGGCGAAGTTGAGTTCGTAAAACATAAAGGATAAAGTAATCATACGAGCATCCAAAATATCCATGAGAGGTTACATAGAGTGTGGGTAATACGACAGGACGCGATCTGTAGAAGCTAGATGAGGATCGACATGTTTTGAGGAGTTGGGGGAGAGAGGAGGGTTGGATAATGCAAAAAAGGGATGGGCCACGGCCAGCTCAATGAGACGTATTGCGGGATGTCCACTTCGACGTGCAGTTGGCCATGTGGGAAGGTAAAATATTGTCAAGCTAAACAATATATAGATTTATAGCCAGACACAAGGGCCGGGGATTAAGGAAAAGTAGAATAATGTCGTAAGAAGGGGAAGGGGTCTGCATCCGATACTAAATAGCGAAGCGCGCTCGCAAATAAATAAATAAGACTTGTTTTTTCCCTCTAAAGGCTCAGTATATGGCTGTTCTCACACAGCCAGTCATCTTTTCTTTTTTAACCAACTCTACGACTGGACGGTAATGCTCTTTCGATGCATCGCCTCTTCGGTATGGAAGCCAAACACTAGTCGGTAGAGGTCCTGTAGCCACATATACTGTCCATTGTGCTGAACCATCGATCTAACAGCGTTCGCAATATCTACCGCGCCCGCCCGCGCCGAAGGAGGGAGGTCGCGGAACGCTGAGTCAACTGATACTAATTTCTTATAGTTGTCGAGTAACGTGCGTTGCCACAATTGTGTCCCGAAGGAATCTGAGGAGAGAGATTTGACAAACGCGGGCAGGGTCTGGGTCGTACCTCGTTGGAAGCCGCTGTTCATGGCGGCACGGATGATCAAGAGCTTCAGACAGGTAAGGTTCGGGTCCTCTGCGGGTGTTTTGACGGTGTTGCTGGACGAGGCGGTTTTTCCAGACGAGGATTGGGAGTATCCCGAGAGCGTGGAGGAGTTTGATGACCATTTTGGAGGGGTTACTTGGTTTTGCGCGGGGGCAAGGAGGAGGATGTTAGGGACGTGTGCTTCCTCGGGTGAAATTGTGGTAGTATCTTCGAATATAGTCGTGGGGGTTTCGGGATTTCCTGCGCGTCCCGGGGTATCTTCATCATTCATCATAGGATACTCTGATCGTTGAGTCTGGTAAAAGGCTTGAGTGAAAGTCGTCTGGCTGGGCCGCGGCGTGCCACGATCAGGTCTAATTTGGGTCCAACCCTCGCGGAAAAGATCACATAGTTCCCAACAGGCCTGGATTGCGGATCCGAGGAGCTCTTCATCGGGAGATCTGCCTTCCCGCTTGTTCTGCCGTAAGCTGAATAACATCTCTGCGAGAGACCAGCAGGCCCTGAGTAGTGTGTCTGTTTCTTCCGCCAGCCGTGTCCGCTGTTTCATAAGGCGATGACACAGCGTGATGTAGAAATCCAGGGTCCGTTCCCTGAACGCCTCGGGAAGATTTCGATCATGTGTATTATACAGGTGGTTGTTGAGTTCAAAACTTACACGCAGAACAGAGTCTGCAACTTCATTATCGCGCACGCGAACTTCGAACAGTGCTTGGCAAAAGTCCCGGCAGAGATCTAGAGTAGGCCGCACGTAGGTGTGATGGTCGTCATTATCGCGATTCTCGTAAAGGTTTTGGCAAAGTTTCCAGCACGATTTCCAGGCCTGTTCCTGCATGTCGCCCTTTCCCGAAAAGTTAAACAATCGCTCACGATGGATGTAGCTTAGACTTGCTAGGGTATTACACAGAGTCCAGCATTCTGATAATGCCGTCCTCAAAGCGTTCAATTGCTCATTATCCTGAAATTTGCCAACTGTAGTTGTTGTGATCTCCCCGCCATCGTGGAGAGTCTCTGGCTCATCTTCTGTTTCTTCTGTAGCCTGCTCGACGTCAAAGGTCTCGGGTATATCTAGCAGAAGTCAGGTTCTGACAATAAATAAATAAATAAATAAATAAATAAAATGTTACGGGTTACAACCCCACCTTCGAGATTGCTTTTCCTCGCTCTTTTCTTGAAATCTTCGACCTCCTGTCTTGTCTGAGCACGAGGGGTTGTTCGATCTGACCAGTCCTCAGGAGGTGCAATATGTGTGGTGGTGATGGGTGGAGGCGATACTGGAGTTGTGGGCTTCTACAGCGCATTTTTTAGTTTGAATTTCACATCGGAAATTGTCAATGATGGAACTAACCTTTCCCGCATTGTTGTCGCCGTTTTGGACAACTAGGGGCGAAGTAACAGTCACATCTGATAACGCCGACGATGATCTGGTAGGTTCTGCTCGCGGCGAAGGAACACTGTCTAGCTACTAAATTATCAGTCTCCCGATATTCAAAGGAAATAAAAAAGGTGGAAAACAGGAGGGAGAACAAGCAAGCTTACAAATTTTCCAAAGCCGGACGGGACATGTATTACAGATTGGGGTGCCTCGTCGTCGTCAGAGTTGGGTTTGAAGTCACTTACTCCGGCGCCGGAAGTCCGTATCTGCAAAAAAAATTAATGGAAGCCAGCTCCTTGGCTGTTGCGGGGTGTGTAGTGGGAAGCTTCATACACTAAGTGAACTTCCAGTCCTTGTGATAGAGCGGTCTATGTCTCCGTTGGTGATGGTATCTTGGGTCTCCGAAGGATCTATTCCATTTGGAGTGAACGCCTTAGGCGAGGACCTGGAAATGTCGTTCGATCTAGAGTTGGAGGACATCTGGGATGGGGAAAGAGATCCCTGGGACGGCGGGAGTGTATCGGATTGCCTATGAGGGGTGAGGGGGAAATAATTAGAGGCATGAAACAAAAAGGCTGTGACGCCGTAACTGGTTTCTTGAGCTTCAACTCACATTGAAAATGGAGTTGGGGAGCTTGGGGAAGCAGAGTACGGGGAGAAAGCAGATATCTGATTTCCGGAGGACACAGATGACGGAGATCTGACAGCCAACATCTCGACGTTTTCGTTCCCAGAAGCCGAGTGTAGTTGATAAAGAGGGGGGTTCAAATGCCGCGGGGGAGGAAAGCGGAAGGGATGGAGATATTCTACAAAATATCATCCAACGCTCATCCTCTTGATGTGGATAATTCGGGGCGTCTGCGATTGTTGGATAGATCGAGCCAGAGCCTGGAGAAAATCGGCCGTCCCCGCGCAGGTTAGAGAAGATGCTCCAATTCCAATGGGAGATTGAAACAAAGGATAGTCAAGAGACTCACCGGCAACTGTTGAGTAACCCCGAGAGTCAGCTACGGCATTACGCACTGGAATGGCGACGGTATGGAACGGTCGAGCATAAAATTTTCGAGCAAGGAGATAAAATGTGAAGAGCTGGAGCTTAGGACCAACAGACGTCTGCGTCTGCGCTGGATGCTGGTTCTTCACGCAAACCACGAACCAGGTTTTCAATGCGATTATTAACCTGCTGGGCCGCACAGGTCTTCTTCCACTGCACGTCCCTTTGCTGCTGGTGCTATCCGGCCTGGGCAAAGGATAGTCTGTCGGCTGGCTCCCCGTTGGGTGGTCCACATATGGAGAGGGAGAGGCTTGAGTGGAATGTTGATCCAGGACAAAGAGAGGGGGCCAAAAGCTCGTTAGTGTCCTGTCAGGGAACCCGAATCAAAGGGCAGAGTTAGCGGGCTGCGATGCTTTCGACTGCTGCTTTCTGATGCTTTGTCCACGGGTTGCACGATTCCCACAGGCACAGCTGCTGCTGGTGTTGTGTGGTGTGGTATCTGCTTGTCCGTCCGGCTGGATTCTTCGTCTCCCCGGTTTGTCCGTTTGCTTTCGTTCGTGTCCTTTTCGACGGAAGACTGACTACTGACTAAGGAGAGGGAATTGAAGGCCAGTCGAGAATCCAACGAGCCGATAACTTGAGCATGGATAATGCCCTGCAAGGACGGGCCAATAATGATAAGGCCTACGACGCAAGACTGTTGGATAGGGATTCGCTGCAAGCAGTCGAAGATGCTTAAGCGCTGGGAAAAAGTGATGGCCGACACCAAGACCTTCCCAGAGCCCGCGTCCACCAGTTACAGCCCGAGTTGGTTCTCGACAGCTGCATTAGTGGCATCGCGCGCTGCTTCGACAAGACTAAATATCGCTGATGTGGTTGGCTTGCGCACTCTCAAGACCCCGAGGGTTGGCAAGGCTGCCCTTCTCGCTCTCTGAATACACCCAACACCAGCATAAAATACAGCAACATTGCAAGAATCAAGATCAGGGTTGAGGCCTCAGTGGCTGCTGAAAGACTTGCCTCTCGGCCCCGAAAGCCAGATCAGCTAGAATCTACACGTATGCTTTGATTGACGGTGGGCTGCCTGAGCATCGACAGCATCCCCCACCGCCTGTTGATTGAGTTCTGGGGAAGTTGGGGGCCAATTCATTGCTGATGATTGACTCCTGATGATTAGCACTGATTTATTTCCCAAGACAATCAAGATTCCCTGCTCTAGTTGAGACGAACACTCCCGAGTCCCAAGCTTCCCGGTCCCAGCAGCGGAGTTAAAGTTGTTTCTGACGAATGGATTCTCAATGGCGTGGGACAGCAAAACCGCCATCGCCATCGCCCACAGCCCAAGAATCCCCGTAGAATGGGTTTGTTCACACAATAACATGGGCTGGAACGATATAATCCTTTCGATGGCCCCAATAATATTCCCATCATTCAAAATATTTTCAAGACGAACCATTTTATTAGTGCTGATGTTTGACAGGGATGATTAAACTTCCCGCATTCTGTCAGCAGGCTACGACTATCTGCTGTGGGTACACTCTGCCCTGGGCGGGGATTGTTTCCTCTCTGAGCTCTTGAGTTGGGCCTCCCACGCGTTGTTCAGCTGTCTCCTTGGTATGAATTCATACGCACAGTAGAGGAGAACACCCGTCAATGCGCTTCGTCTCGGAATAAAATGAAGGCGCCGCTGAACGGCGAGACACAGAGACGCGCGATTGAGGGGGAAGAACCATTTTTGCTTAAAATATTACTGTGAATTCATTCGTTGTTTTTCTACCTGGCAATAATCCGTGATTTGATGCGGATGACCTCGTTGATTTGATCCAGCCATAATGATCCTCTGGTTCGGCAATGGCTGCACTGCAAACAACGTGCACCATAGTCGCTTAATATTTGGCCCCCAAAACCTGTGAGGAGCTAAATCCAATATTGCAGAGTTCCCCACCATTTGTTGGATATGAGGAAATGATCATGAGTGGGGGTTAGGAGTAGTAGTTCGATATCTCCGCCGCGAGGAAACAACAGCTCATCCATCGGTCTGATGTTTATTTGATAAACAATGGCAGCAGTGTTCCGTAACTACTGCACATTTCATCCAAATAATGAATGACTAATGAAAAAAGGGAAATAATTGTCTTCTCTTTCTTTCATTTTCAGTCTTCATTTAATAGTGAAACACTTCAATTGCGCCGTGCCTATCCCCGCTCTTTCTCAGCATTATCGATGAACAAATCCTCATACTGGATGCATTAGCGCTCCTTTAGCGGGCTCACGCCAGAAGCGACCCATGCATGAATCGAAATAGAGAAAGAGAAAAAGAAAAGCAAAAGCGTGGTAGCCATGTGCGGGAAGGATTGATTCCTCCCTAGTATTCTATAAGCCCCCTCCCTTAAGAAGAAATAAGAAATATGTATAACATTTGTGAGGCCGTTCGTTAAATCATGATTTAATAAAGTTTTACAAAAAATGAAAAGGATATCGAGTTTTGCTAACTACCCGAGGAAGGAGATATAGACGGATTGGATATGGCGTTTCGTCGAAGCGAGGCAGGGACAGGAAAGGCGGCCATCATCACGACGTTAATATGGAGGTCCGAAGAGGGTAAAATACGTCGTGGATATGTATATCTCAGGAACTGTGAGTTTGCTGAGTTTTGAATATACATAAACTCATTAACTTGGTCGAGGAACAGGTTCTTCAATGGTAACGAGCTGAAGTAGCAGCTACAGCTGGGTTTTCGCTCGGTCTCTCTCCGCAGGGTTATACCTAGAAATATCATTCGTCAAATGGTTAGCAGTAGAAACAAAACATGCATGCAAAAAGGAAAAGAGAAGACGTGATAGGCTGTGTGTGTTTACCGTAGCAGCTTTTCAATAAGGTCAACATGGGTCATGAGCATTCGTCGGCAGCAGTATCGTTTACAGCCAAGCTGATCCATCGCATCCCTGTTTGCGTGCCATTTACCCCTTATCAGACAGAGCTCCTTTTACCCAGATATATGCAGGTTCAATGCTAAGCTACTCACCCGTCAGGTACGCCCTCATCAAGTAATTTTAGATATCGTTCCCAGAGGTCACCAACAACCTATGTCCAATGTGAGATGTGGCTTTGAATAAAAAGCAAACCGCTATTCGTAGTCAAGGCACACACACACACCTTTCCACATGAAAAACAGCGGACGGGAATTATCATTTTGAACCGTTTGGCGGGAGGAAGGAGATTCGGCCGCAAGTTGCTGATGCAAGGAGACTGGAGATCGGAGACGTAGGAGTCTGCGTAGAGGAGTGAATCCGATTCCTGTATAAGGAGACGGAGCCTAATGTGCACAGCAGTCCGCAAATTCCAGCGATAGAGACAAAGTTTCGAGCAAAGAGTTCGGATAGCTGTAGTTGAGTTGCGACATGGATTTCTCGAAACCCCGAAGATTTTCTCGATTGCTTACATAAGTGGGTTGGCGGTGTCGAATTCTGCCGGCGGAATCCTTTTTAGCCCCAAAGTTTCTAAATGCATATTTTATTTTTTCCTTGTACGAGGAAATAAAAACGGGGTAGGGGAATGGGTGTCCTACGCACAACCACCATTATTTAGAACTCCATGGAATAGATAGGGACCCGCAGATATAGCTCGTATATTTGTCTTGCGGCCTCTCGTTTCATGATATCGGCTTGGGACCTGACAAGCACCATTTGAGTCGACCTGTCGGCCCCCCATATCCAAGCCTCAGAAGAATGATCTCAAAAATTTCCCCGGCACGGAAAGTGGATAAACGGCAATTGGTCGTTGACGACACAAAAGATGACCAGAAAATCAACTCTGAGCAGAATCGGACAAAGCGGCGCAAGATCGGTCGTGATATTTCTGTCGTCGGCAACGAGAAAACTGAGTCGCTGAAGCCTACGAATCAAGAGAACACTCCTGCCAGCTCCCTAGAACAAGAAAGCAACGTGGACCAAAGGACACCAGTGACAGAGTCTAGGAGCAAGGAGAATCATGGTCGGAAAGAAAAAGGTTCTCAGCCAGCGGATAACGCCCTGAGCGTCGCGGGTGATTTCTCTCAAACTAAATCCACAACTGCTGTATCAAGGCGCCACAAGGGAAAATCGTCTGGAGAATTTCAATCTTCCAATAACCCGTCGAAATCAGCACAATGGTCCGTGTTACGCACTGTGGGCGGCAGATTTGCTGATATTGACGCCATTATCACACCAGATGAGAAGTGAGTGCTGAGTAGCTTTGCTCCTTTCGTTCACGGTACGGCACCTCGGTATTAACATAAACATAGGCATTTTATCCTTTTCTCGAACACTTTCGCTCGGGTCTTTTCTGTAGCGACCTCCAGTGTGGTACGGACGCTAGAGATACGACCTGAAATGCGGAGTATTACTGCCTGCAAACTGTCCCCTGTCAATCCGGAGCATCTTTATATGTCGACTATTTCTGGAGCCATTATGAAATGGGACTGGATATCGGGGGAGCATATTGAGACATGGAATGTTTCTGGCGAAATATTTGCTATTGACATCTGTACTAGCTCGAGTGGCAAGGATTGCCCCGATGAGGATGTTGTGGTCTCAATGAATTCCGCAGGCTCAGGGGAAGTGCAGATGACCATGCACTCCAAGAGGGGATCGGATTTTTGGAATACCAGAGTTATTCGAGAGATGTCCACAACTGCCAATGAACTCAAAGTCTCCTCCGATGGAAGGGTTATTATAATAATTGCTGATGATCAGCTGTTTGTGGGGTATAGGGCTGGACTGCGATTGAAAGCGTGGGATTCGATCAAGTATACCTGGCTGGAGGTCACTTTGTCTGTTGCTGTTACTTGCTGTGATATCCGCGAACGTTCGCTATCGGACCAGGTGTCCTCTCCGACGTCGGGAGTAGTGGACCTTGTCGTCGGAGATGTGGAGGGTGCAATCTTGATCTACCATGATATCCTCAATTCTTTGCTACGAACTGAGAACAAATCCGAGGCCGGAACAAGTTTAGTGACAAACCGTCTACATTGGCATCGGAACGCGGTCAAGTCAGTGAAGTGGTCTCGAGATGGTAAATAAACAAAATACATTTCAAGAGAGACACTAGGCACTGAAGCTAATCTTTGTGCATGCAGGGAACTATATTATCTCGGGTGGTTCGGAGACTGTCATCGTACAATATCAGCTTGATACTGGAAGGAAACAGTTCTTACCCCATCTTTCGTCCCACATCTGCTCCATTGTCGTATCTCGTACAGGGAAATTTTATGCAATCCGGCTTGCGGATAATTCTGCCATGGTTCTGTCTACATCAGAGCTGCGCCCTATTGCTAGCGTGAGCGGCGTACAATTACCATCAGAAGTGGATGACGTCGCCAGGAGAAAGCCATCACAAGGGCGCAAAAAGGATAAGTCATCGAGCTCGAAATACGTCGAACCCAACCCAGTTTCCTTGCCTGCTGTTCTACACCCCATACAATCCGAACATCTCCTTGCAGCGGTTCCCTCCTCTCCCGCCCGATCAGCTGATAGTTCCCCCAGCGCATCGTCGCTTCAGACCTTCAATGTACTCACCAACCAGCAAGTATCTCGTCAAGCACTTGCGAGAACAAATGCCACTATCGTCAAGACCGGGCCGCAAGGAACGGAGTTAACAACACCCGATGTCAAGTTCCTTGGTATAACTTCAGATGGAGAGTGGCTGTCGACGGTTGATGAGTGGTTGCAGTATTCCCAAGACGTGAGCGTGTTGTACCCACCGAGTATTACCCTTCAAAAGGAAAGGAGAGAAATATTCTTGAAATTTTGGCGCTGGAATGAAAGTGCACGAGAGTGGGAACTAAGTACACGAATTGATGCGCCTCATTTCGATCCTTCGTTCGGGCCTGCGCAGGTGTTGGATCTAGTGGCTAATCCCGCAGGCTCCGCATTTGTCACTGTTGGGGAAGATGCCGTTGTTCGAATCTGGTCTCCTAATGCTCGCTATCGCAGCGGCCAGACGATCAAAGACAAACAGAATCAAACCCTGCAAACCTGGAGAGCCGTTCACAGCATCTCGCTCGAAAGATTCTCAGAGGAATCAGAATCCGCAGTAATTTCCAAAGTGGGCAGCCTCGCATTTTCAGACGATGGTTCCGTTCTTGCTGTCTGTTGGACTGACCAGAGCGGAGCGCGACTGGTTTATCTCATAAATCCCAAGAACGGGGAGATCTGCCATGCACGGGACAACCTTTACCTAGGCATATCGCGCGGGGTGGGCTTTTTGGATCGGCACCTGGTCGTCCTCTCTGACCAGCTGGTAGTGTGGGATACAGTGGCCGACAATGTCAAGCTGACAATGTTGATGGATGACAACGCAGCTGACCCAAAGGGAAACCGACCAAAGATACTTGCCGTGAACCGTAAAAGCCAAACATTTGCCATCTCATTCACCCGCATTAAGCGGAAAGGTAGCCGCAAGTCGCACAAAGAGCACCCGCAGCAGCAAAAGCGAGGGAAGGCCCGCCATCAGTTGGCCATTTTTGACGTTAAATCCCTGAGACCTGTTTTCCAATCGACCCTAGACCATGCCTGTCGTGCTCTCCTCTCTGATCTCCGAACTGGCGAGTATGTCCTGATCGATGCGGCCGCTCAGATCCAGCGGATTGGCTCGGGTGATTGGAAACAACTCGTACCCCAGATTGCGGCTGACGCTTCCTCGTCCCTGATACAAACGGGTCTGGAGAACATTTTCGGCGCATATGGGCATCTCGAACGCGTATCGCCTGCTGGAGCGGATGCGACAGTGTCCCTACCAACAACAGGGCAAATCCGCCGTGGTCAGGAAGCGGCACAAGCAAAGGAGGGTAGAAGCTTGACTGATATCTTTGATGTCGGACCGTCGTTTGTTTTGCCGGGCGTTGATACCTTTTTTGAGGGTGTTGTTGAGCATTTTAGTAGGGCAAATGCGAATGCTGTTACGGTATAGATCTAGCGTATCAAAGAACACCTGCATGTACTGAATTGAGAACGTGGGCTCTTTTCCTTTCTTTCTTTCTTTCTTTTTCTTTCCGAATGGGACTTTGCGTATGTAAGTGGAATATAAGTTTCTGGTGAGCATATCTCGTATGGCGGCCGTCATGGGGCATGAGGGTACTTGAACATGTCTCTTCATCTGTGGTTCTCGCCTGAGTTAACTTGGAGTTATGCTTCACGTAGATGGGCAATATCGGTTTCTCCACCAGCGTCCGCGACTGTTGCATATCCGGAGTCTCTCAGCTTCTCAGCATTGACAGTAGAACTAGTTGAAAACTTAGTTTCCAAGTTGCCGGCCATAGTGTTTAGTTGCTTGTTCCCCTCACGCAAGACGCCCGCAATTCCCGCCAACCATGACACCACCGCATAAGGGTTCGATCTCCTCGCGCCCACACATATATATACAACTTACATACCCCGCCGTCGGATCTATGTTCGTTTATTTCAACCTATATATCAGCACATACATACATGTGTAGCCATGTCCTTCAGTTCCATTCCCATCCTCGACCTGTCGGAAGCGCGCGACCCCGCGACAAAGCCGGCTTTCCTCGACTCCCTGCGCCATGCGCTTCTGGAAGTCGGATTCCTCTATATCAAGAACACCGGTGTTGACGACAAGCTGATCCGGGAGGTTATTGAGGAGGGGAGGAGGTTTTTCGAATTGCCAGATGAGAAGAAGTTGGAGGTCGAGATGAAGAATGCGCCTAGTTTTCTGGGTATGACAACGTTGCCCGCCTGAGCTTGTAATGCACTTACATATATATATATATATATATATAAAAGAGAATTGAAGCATGGAAAATAGCTGATCCCAGTGCCTTTTCTTTTCTTTTCTTTTCTTTTCCCTTTACAACAGGCTACTCGCGGCTCGGCAATGAAATAACACGCTTCAAGACCGACTGGCGCGAACAGATAGACCTGTCAACCACACACCCCCTCCCCGCCCCATCCGACCCTCTATACCACAATCTCCTAGCTCCCAACCAATGGCCAGATAGCAGCTATCTCCCCCGCTTCCGCCCCGTCTACGAACAGTATATGACCCAGATGGGCGCCATCAGCATGGAGTTCATATCGCTCGTGGCCGAAGCAATCGGGCTGCCGTCGAAGGCCTTCGAGCGTTTCTTCGATAAGGGCCAGCAACACAAGTTGAAGATTGTGAAGTATCCAGACCTTCAAGAGCTGGGTGTGGAGGGGGATGAAGGGGAGGGCCAGGGCGTAGGCCCGCATAAGGACAGTATGCTCACGAGCTATTTATTGCAGGCGAGCCACCATCGGGGGCTGCAGGTCCAGAATCATCGGGGGGACTGGGTGGATTGTCCACCCATCGATGGGACGTTTGTCGTGGCGATTGGGCAGGGGCTGGAGGCGATGACGCAGGGAGTCTGTCAGAGGTTGGTTTTGTATTGAATTTTGAAGCCTTTCTTATATATATTTTCCCTTGGACGCCCTGGGACTTGGGGGCATCGGCTAAGTAGCATGTACATATATACAGCACGACCCACCGCGTCCTAAGCCCCGCTCGGGGCAGTGGTGCCCGCTACAGCGTTCCCTTCTTCCAGGGTGTAAGTTACGATGCTACATTCGAGAGCATGGACGTACCGGCGCACGTCAAAGCTCTTCGCGAGGAAGTTATCAGGCGCAACGGCATCCGGCAGGATGACATTGAGTTTACGTTTTCGAAGGGGAGGTGGGGGCATCTGGGGGAGGCAACGCTGATGAATCGGATCAAGAGCCATCCGGATGTTGGGGAGCGTTGGGTATGTATATATTTCTAATTTTGGTTTACGTATATTGACGATACATACATACTGACCCCGCTTGTTCTGTTTTAACCATAGTATCCAGCGCTCCTCCAGAAAATCAGAGAGGAGCAGGCGCGAAATAATCAGGTCGCGGAAGAACCCCAAGGTTTATTGAAGGAGAAACCCAAAGTTAGCAGCACACCGGTGGCGGCGCATTGAAACGAATAGGAAGAACCCTCGAGGCGCGGTGTCCCGGTATGGTAAAGCATTACGTTTGTCATATCCAGTCCTTCTTCATGTTGAATGGAGGCAAGCTTAGAAAGCCTTAGCGATGAATCAATTAATCCAAAATAATTCTAAATTAAAACTATCACCTTCGCTTTTATCTATCACATATTCATATATTATATATACATATTTTCTAACTCTACATTCCCTAGCAACCCCCGCCGTTTGGGAAAGGAAGGTTGATTGATCCTCGAGATAAAGATTTCGTTCAACAATCCGCCGGCCTCACTCGATCCTTAAGGCCAACCTTACCAATGCGCTGCAGCCCCCACCAACTCAGCACGACAACGACAACACTCCCCCCAAACAGCGCCCAGTACGTAGCCTTGTACGCTTTCAGCAGGGCATATTGGTCATTCTTACCCAGGCCATCGTTATCACCACCACCTACCACCTGCCGCCTCTCATGTTCCGCCACGGAACTAGAAATCACCGCAGTCACCGCCAGCCCCACCGACATCCCAATCTGCGAAATGGTATTGAATACCCCGCCAGCCAACCCATGTGTTTTGGGCGGGAAAATAGACGTGATGACAAGATTGGATATCGTGAAGAGCGTGTCTGCCGAGATCGGAATAGCGGTTGTGGCAACGAATGCCACTGCCCAGTACGACCAGGACGGGTCCGCCACGGCCAGCAGCAGCGGCGCGATGGCTGAGATGGCCGCGGTGCCGACGCAGAGGATATCAGCGCGGACGCGGCCCACGATGAGGCCCGTCATGATGTTCGCGATGGCGCCGGAGACGATCATGGGCACGAAACGGGCGGATGTTTCGAGCGTGGAGAGGTGCTGGATCTTCTGGAAGTAGAGGGTTGTGAAGTACTGGTTGGCGTTGAAGATGGCCCAGGTGAAGAAGACGGAGATGCAGATTGCGGAGAAGTTACGGGCGCGGTTAGGGCTGTCAGGGGTGGAGCGGAAAAGGGAAGGCGGGATCAGGGCGATGCGGTTGAGGGATTCCTGGCGGGTTACCCAGTATATGAAGGCGGCGAGGAAGAGGACGGCGAGAATGAGGACAACTAGGTTTCCCGGGCGGATAAGGGATTTGATGTCGCCGGACATTACCCTGGAAGGTATACGTTAAAATGCGTAAGTCATGCGCTGTGTGTGTGTTATGTGGCTAATATATAACTAATTTATTCAGGACATCTTTTTTTGGGGGGGCGGGGGGCTGAACTTACGCGAAGCTGTAGGAGAACATTCCGAGCGAGGCGCTGATGCAGACATTTCCTACCCAGTCGATTTCGGAGGCCAGGCGCTGCCGCGTGATGGGTGCTGTCTTGCGGGGGTCCTTGGGAATCCCCCAGAAAGCCAGGAGGAGGAACGGGGCGATGGCGCCGGAGACGATGTAAAACCCATATCGCCAGCCCAGGGTGTCAACCAGGACACCGCCGAGAGTCAGGCCGATCGAAAAGCCCACCGGCTGAGCGGCGCCCAGGCAGGCAAAAGCGACGTTCCGCCGCTTGCCCTTGGGGAACGAGGACGTAATGATGCTCACGGCGGTGGGCAGACACATCGAGATGGCAATGCCGGATATCGCGCGGAACATGATCAGCTGGATACCGGTTCTCGCCAGTCCGCAGCCTAGAGTGAAGGCGGAGAGCAGCAGGCCGCCGGTGAGGTAGACTCTGCGACTGCCGATAAGGTCACCAATGGATCCGGATAGCAGAAGCGTGCAACCGCAGGTCAGGCCGAAAACGGATGCTGGCCTGTTGAGGTTGGTTTTAGTTATTTGAAAAAGAACGCAACATTGATATATATTCGAGCACGGAGAGAAAGGAAAGCCGTGGGACATGACGGACGGTGAAAAGAAGGAACAGAAAAGAGAAACGACAAAAATAAAATTGCCCTCACCATAGTATGAGATTGTCGGGCAGTCTGGTATCCCGCGCAATCGATGGCAAGCCCACGGTCAGCATGCCGTTCAAGACCGAGTTCATGAAAACCATGCTTGACGCCGCGACGATTATCCCAGCGCTGGGCTTCTTCTTCATGCCATCATTGGGAGCGACATTTTCCACCGATTCATTTTCAGGGTCGACACAAGTGGTCGTCTCAGCGCTTTCGGGTTTTGTTCCGCATGGCTCGTTGGCAATGGCATGGCCGGGACTGTGAGGTTCCTTTTGCGGCAGCGGTTGCACCGAGATTCCGCTCATTTCGACAAAGGGTCTGCGGAGGGGGGAGAATATGGGTTGCGATTTGGCATTGACCATGGCACTGACTCACTTGAGGAGAGCGCAATAACTAGGGATAGGGATATTGGGGTACTCTTTTAAAGAGCCATCGTGACGTGGAATTACCGCTGTATTATGTACGAGTAAGCCGACTCTATCTAGGCCTTTTCGGTTAGCGGATCGCATCTTGTTGAACTAGAGAAGAATCGTCAGGGATCAATTGTATAAAATATTTCAGTAACTTAGTAGTTGCTATAATTACATCAACGCTAAAACCTTCCCGCGAATGTTCAAAGAGCTACCTACTGTGAGGGCTTGCTAGGAGTGAGTCCATATCAAATTCACAAAAAGGAAAAGAATAGAAAAGAGAGGGCAAAAAATAAAATCAAATTTACCTTTAACTTCACCTTCAATTTAGTTTGGGCTTCTTTGTAGTTTCTAGAGCTCAAACCGCCTTGCGGCTCTTGACCGACACCAGTTTGTCTGTATATAAGCTTTGACGCATTCCCGAAGAATCAATGGTGCGTTATTACTTATTACTGCGAGGACTCGTGGGCAGCCGTTTTCTCCACTGCAGGAATGGCTCAATCATAAATCATCATCCATGGCAGGCTTGGGGTCCCCAAGAGGGCCCTTCCCTCTGGTTCCATGTCACAGCAACGTAGGGGAAGCTTTTGGTGAAGTCATCAAGATCGATTGGCACTCGCATCCGTTTAACCGTCTTCCTGGGTATTCTGGAAAGGCTATTACAAAATTGCTTCGATCACACCATGCGACGACGCTGGGAAGCTATGCAATGATATCAGGACGAACCCCGCCACTCTATGCTTCTTCGGCCAGGCGCTGGCGAGCAATGGGGAGAAGGGCAGAAAGTATTCTGAAATCAAAGATATGTAGGTCGGTTTTTGAGTGGGGATACAGCGTTCTGTTCATGACTTCATGATAGAGAGGGCGCGGGCTCCAGTCGACTCTTACCAGCTGAATCATGTATATTGTATAATGCCCATGTACAGTACATCTAGAGGGGATATCGTACGCAGTTCTGCAGGTTGCTCTTATACAGAGTGACGAGATCCGTTGCGTCCATTCAACGATAAATTTCCAACCGCATACTAGTCTCCAGAAGAATTCCAGAGGTTCCAATGCCTGCAGCTTGCTCAGTACTGCCGGAGTGGCAACTGGCAAGGGTTTTTTTGTGCTTTTCTTTTCTTTTCTTTTCTCTTTCCAACGAAATCGAAGAGCAGATGGGAATTCGACCAGCGGACAGCCCTTGCAACAGAAGAATTAATTGACGCAGACCAGGTCAACTGCGAAGGACTGTTGGATGACGGAGCACAGATTTTTCCCTGCAGCTTCGTCGACATTCGGCTTTGAGCATCATTTCTAGCCCAGTTCGGTTAAGGCCCACCCTGTAGGTGTTTGGCCCTAGGCTGCCATCACAGACTAGCGCACCGCACATAGATGCCTCAGCTGCCGCCCATCCATGGATGCTAATACAACCACTGAGACGTCCCACAGTAGGCTTCTCTAGCCCCGCTTATCCATCAACCTAGCTGCTTACCGAGCCGCCCACAAATTGAGCACGGTCACGACCAAGCCCGAAGATAGCCGCACGCAAAGAACAATGAACACCCCAAACAGGCCTGGTCCAGAGGAGAAACTCCATGACGACAACGTGGGCCCCGGGGAAGTGGACACACCCTGCGTAAGTAGAGCCAGGGCCACATTATGTGACTCATAGAGGTAAGTGCTCCTCTCCAGGAACCTCGCAATCGCCATCCACCGTATGGCTTCTGCAGGCTGTTGTCTCGTTGTTGTCCCTGCGTAGATGCGAGGAGCAGATCTCGTTCACGCTTCGTACTTGAGAAGTTGAGATGCGAAATGAGGCTCATTTATTGGGGCACATTCCCGGCGCTAGCTGGTCAATAACAGCGCTTCAGTCGCGCGGCAAAATAGGCGCGACACTGTTTTCCCAATCGGGTTTAATTACATCCACGTCACGTCTTATTAGATATTCGACATTAGATGGAGAGAGCTAGCACCGTGTCCACAAAGCAGTTATAGTCTATACCTTTCTGCGCTTCTCATCATGCCGAATGCTGGCCAAGAATGCAAAGAGGTTCTGCCATGTGCTTCGGAGCAAGACACTGGCCATGTCAGGCCTGAAGATGGGCCCGAAGATGACCCCGCCGATGACCCCGCCAGAACTACCACTGCACAACCGGATACTTCAGAGCCTGTCAAGCTAGAAGACCTGTTCGGCGATGACGATGACGATGATGAATTTCCTACGTCCAGCGCAGCTGTGACTTCAAAGCTCGAGAGCGCCCCAGAGCCACCACTCAAGTACTGCTTTCTCACCCGCCCAAATATGCAGACAATGCTGATCTAACTCCCTCACTTAGACCGCCCGGGCCCGCTCCGGTGCAAATAGACTCCGAGACGATGTACGCCTTCTACTTACGCCTGTTTCCGTTCAAATATCTCTTCCAGTGGCTCAATCACGATGTGAAACCCTCGCCGGATTTTGGCAACCGGGAATTCGCATTCACTCTTCAAAACGATGCCTATCTACGTTACCAATCATTCCCAAATGCAGAGCTGTATGTACATCACCCAACAACTGGAACGCTGCGCACGACAGGAAAGAGGTGAAAAAAAAAAAAAAAAAAAAAAAAAAAAAAGAGACAGGAGCAACACTAAACAGACCAAAATTACAGCCTCCGTAAAGAAATCCTCCACTTGAACCCCTCTCGCTTCGAAATTGGACCCGTCTACAGCACCAATCCACGCGACCGCAAAACCCTCCGCAAAGCCAGCCTCTTCAAGCCAGTCTCCAAGGAACTCGTCTTCGACATCGACCTGACAGACTACGACGACATCCGCACCTGCTGCAACAAGGCAAACATTTGCCAGAAATGCTGGGCCTTCGTCACCATGGCCATCAAGGTCATCGACACGGCTCTCCGTGACGATTTCGGCTTCGAGCACATTCTCTGGGTCTACTCGGGTCGGCGCGGCGCGCACGCTTGGGTCTGCGACCCGCGCGCCCGCAGTTTGCCCGACGACCGCCGCAAGGCTATCGCAGGCTACCTCGAGGTCATCCGCGGCGGCAGCCAGAGCGGCAAGAAAGTCAACCTCAAACGTCCCCTGCACCCGCACGTTGCGCGGAGCCTCGAGATCCTCAAGCCGCACTTCGCCTCCACCATCCTCGTAGCGCAGGACACTTTCAGCAACCCGGCACAAGCCGAACAGCTCCTCGCCCTGCTCCCGGATAAACCGCTCGCGGACGCGCTGCGGCGCAAATGGGACTCCGCACCCGAGCGCTCGAGCACCAGTAAATGGAACGACATCGACGCTGTGGCCAAGTCTGCCAAGTCACGCGGCGCCGCGGCAGCCGGGCAGCAGTCGCTGGATACTAAGGCGCTCCTGGAAGCGAAGCAGGACATCGCGCTGGAGTATACCTACCCGCGCCTGGACGCGGAAGTAAGCAAGAAACTCATCCATCTGCTCAAGAGCCCCTTTGTCGTGCACCCGGGCACGGGCCGCGTGTGTGTCCCAATCGACATCCGCCGCGTGGAGCTGTTCGACCCCCTTAGTGTGCCGACGGTCGGAGAGCTGATTGCGGAGATCAACGCGTGGGATGGCGGGGAAGGCGGTTCGAGGGAGAATGGAAGCAATGGTGCGAATGACGTTGTGAAAGATGAACAGACGGCGGGGGATGTTGATTTTGATCCTGGTGCTGGTGTTGGTGCTGGTGGTGCCGGCCTGTCCAGCGCAGCCGACGTCGATGGCAAAGGGAGACGGGTGCAGGACTACGAGAAGACTAGCCTGAAGCCGTATATTGATTATTTCCGCTCGTTCGTGGCGGGGCTGCTTAAGGCAGAGAGAGCGGGGGCCGGAACGGGGAAGAGGGGCAGGGACGCCGAGGGTTGGGAGGCCAGTGGTGCGAGCGTTATGGAGTTTTGAAGTGAAAGGGATGGTTCTCCCATCCGAATTTTTAACTTGATGCGAGGCTACTCTTCACCCTTTCCTTTTCTATTCCCTTTTTATCTCTCTCTCTCTCTCTCTCTCTCTCTCTCGTTTCTCTCTCGTTTTTTTTGTCGTGTTTTTGAACGCTGCATGGGTATGTATACATGATGCATGTATCTATGACTTTCGGGTGTTTTCACGTCCCCTTTTCACCATCTTTCGGGCGGGGATGACATTTATTTAGAACTAGCTATCAAGCAAGCGAGTCAATGGATTCATTTGAATGGAATGAGATTATCATGCAAGTGTCTTCCGGCTTGAAAAATTATTTTCCCAGCGGGGCGGAGCATACGTTAGCTACGACACACACACACACACACACACACACACACACACACACACACACACACACACACACACATATATATATATATACTAAATTTCTTGATATAATTTGGAAAAGTTCCCCATGGTGTCAAAACCCGTGTCCCAAGAGCCCAGAAAGGGAGCCCCCGCCCCCTCTTGTCCACGAAGGTATTTTGCCTGTGTGGAGACAATTAGAAACAGAAAATGATCGGCCTGCTCAGCCTTTGTTTTGTTTTTTTTTTTTTTTTTTTTTTTTTTTTTTTTTTTTCTCCATCTCGTGAAAGCCTGTGGTGCGCTGTAGAGCATAGTCTTCGTTCGTTTGCTTTTTCTGGTTTAATAACCTCCGCCGTGACGCTTTCCTTAGGAACCCGGTATAGATAGAACAAGGCACAATATCAGGGTCACTCGTTGTACCAGCGTCATTTATTCGCTATGATATTTGATGACTTATTAATGCATTAACAACACAAAGAGGAAGGAAGAAAAGAAGGAAGAAGAAAGAAGAAAAGAGAAGACTAAAGTAAAATGCATGGAATACACAAGGTGTGAATTTTTTTTTTTTTTTATCGGTTCGTAGTTTGCCCAACGAACTACTACCAAAGTAAAGTATAAAATACAGGGGTGGAGGTTTTATATGTGATTTGGAATGCTTAATATGGGGGATTGGGTTTGTTATTTGTTACATAGGAGAGGTCGGTGGGATTAGAAGGAGGAGTAAGAGTCGTTGTGTAGTTTTCTTTTGGAGAAAAAGCAGGAGTTGCCGAAGTTCTACGGGGAGAAAGAGTCGTTGGTGAGAGTTTGGGAGTTCGGTTTAGACAAGTGTAGCTAAGGGATTCGGATAGCGAAGGGATTCCCGCCATCTAAGCTTCGATGAAAGTCTTGAGGTCTGTAGCAAAACAGGAAGGAGGAGAAACATGTTAGACAAAATCCCGATACGTCCGCAAAATTAATTAAACGGTATTATCCATCTTGGAGAAGATTACGAGAAGGGACTTACTGCGCAGCCATCGAATATACTCCTGCTGCTCCTTAAACTCAATATAATCCGGTACGAACAACGCAAGCGCACTATCAACCCCTCTCTCCTCCAGATACCGCTCCATCAGGGTCTGCAGGTCTTCATCGAGGTTGCCGAACGGGGGCCCGCTGTACAGACTCTGGCGGGTCCACTCCTTCTCGGCACTGGCCGCATTGGCCAGGTCGGCCTTGGCGAAGTATCCTACGTTCTGGATCTGGATGAACCCGTCCTGGGCGATGGTTTCGATCTGCATGGCGCCTTTGCCCTTCTTCTCGATCGTGACGCTGACGCGTGCTGGGTAGCTGGGTACCTGGTCCTCATCTTCGAAGCCTTCCTCTTCTTGGTCTGCGTCGGAGACTTTGTCCTCGGGGGCGACGGGGACTTGGCTGCCTCTGCCCTGTCGTTCGTTGGTAGGGGCGTCCAGGTCATCGTGCTCGTCGGCGAGGGCGGAGTCGTTCTCGGTCAGATCTTGGATGTCAGAGAGGGAGAATGCGACGCGGATTCTTTGGATAAGGCGTTAGCAACTAGGGGCACTTGCGGATTTGTGGGTTCCTTCACGTACTTCTCATCTCCGAATGTTCTTGTGAGGACAACTTCATCTTCACCTTCCTTGTGTTGGATCTGGAGACCGAAATTTTAGTGAGATTGAGTTCATGTTTTAATCTCCTATGGCACATCCAGTTCTCCCTTGTCTAGTACATACCTCAAAAGGGCAGTTATCAATATAATACTGCACTGACTCCGGGAGGGTCTCAACACTAGAGTCATTCTGCTCATACTTCATTTCCTCATTCAGCTTGGCGGCAAGTTCGAGATCGGCTACAGACAAATGTTAGTCAGCCCACCAATGTTCTTCTGGACCAATTCTTAGAAATAACAAGGGAACACCTACACTGTCCCGCAGGTTCCAATCTCGCTCTGGTCGTGGAGAAAGCAGCAGTGGCAGGGTAAACATATCGGGGAGCACGGATCCATGCTGACTGGAGGATGCTAGGTTTTGAGATGGTTGATCTGGCAGAGATGGCAATGGATCTGGAGAGGGTGTGCGGAACCGAGCGGGTGAAGGCGCGGAGAGAGAGCATTGTGGATAGAAGGCTAGGTGGTATTACAGCGTTAGAATGCCGGGGAGTTGAGGGAGATTGCGAGTATGGAGTTTGGATGTTGGAGCATCGAACATCGAATGTTGTTGTCGAAGGTTTTTTTCTTGAACAATTGGCCGGACTAACTATCCGGAAAGGGAAAGTCGGAAAAACAGAGCTCGAGCTGCGGGAGCTGCTGGATCGGGTTTAGCGGCATCTGTCAGCTGATGATAATTGAACTTGGAAAGTGACCACAATATGGAAGTCCATGGCATTTGATGAATACAAAAACTAATAAGCATCACGAGAGCCCCTTCGGTGGAAATATAGATTTCCGCCTCGTGCCGTCTTTGGCTACCCTCACAAATCCCAATGTACTCATCGACGACCACTCCCCATTCCACTTCGCCAGTTTCTTGATGTTCTCCTCATCGCCCATATCCGGCAGCCAGAAGCCGCTCTCAAACTCTCTGCCCTCCGCCTCTATTTTGTCCCTGAGGACCTCCTCGCGCTTCACTGGTGGCCTGCCCGGCCGCCGTTCTTGTTGTAACTGATCTAATTCGGGTTGGTGGCGGGCGATGAATCTATGTGAGATATCGGTAAGTTTTGATGGATTGGTTAGCTTATGTTCGAAACATATATATATATATATATTTAAGCATAGATCTTTTTTTAAAACCTGCAATGGATATCCAGAGTATTTGGAGGAATAAGAATTCTGAACGCGCACCTCGTAATCAACTGGGCCATATCTCCATCCGACAACACCGCGGGCGGATCCTGGATGTTCTCTTTGAAAAAAAGCACTCGGTCCACTATGCCCATTGGTATTCGTACGAATCAGATAATTAGATTATTATAACGGTGTTAAGTAACGAGATACATGTATTAGTACCATTCATATTTCTCAAAACATACCAAAAGATTGTCTTCCCTTCATCGTCACGGACGCGGCGACAGCTAATTTATGCTCTCGCTCACCCGCCCGCCGCAGCCGCTTCGAATCCCGGCTGTTCTCATGGAGTGAATCCAGCTTCCGGCGCTGCTTGGCGATTTGCTTCTGGACTTTATGGAGGGTTTTTGGCATCTTGATTTCCGTTTTCTTTCAGGTTCCTTTCAGAAGCGGGAAATCGATAAGATCGTATTGTTGCTAGATTTTTGCTGGATTTTTGCCTGATATGGATGCTTCTTATTCTCCTTTTCAAGTCAGATAATTTCTTTTTCTATCCCGCCATTCTGCCCTTGCAATGCTCAAGCACATGAATTATAAAAGCTAGAAGATCCTCACCCCGAAACCTCATCTCTAAGATCCTTCCTCCAGGATTGATGGAGGCACCGAACGCGGTAAGACCCGGCAGTAAATTACACCCACGTGACCCCTCCCCCATCGCGTCGTCTTCGGCGCGTTCAGATCGAGGCAATATGGAGATTATTTCAAGTCAACAATCGCCTTTTCGTTCGACTTCTGCCCTCATGTTCTGATTATATGCTTCTCTCCCTCCCTCCCTCCCTCCCTCTTCCATTTCTTCTCTTTTGTTGGTGGTTACGGGAATCTCGCATGGCTGGCTCTACTTGCAGGTGTAAACAAACCCTCGATTCCTAGATCGCCGGGGGTACCTACCTCGATATCTCGAGGCGGGGAGGGGGAATTTTGTGCGAGTTAGGATGGGGATTACAGGTAAATATATATACTTTTTGAATTCCAATCACTGTGCGGAATGCTGTGTATCGTTCTCGTTCTTTTTCTTTTCTTTCTTTCTTTTTTTTTTTTCCTGTTTTTCTTACATCAATGGGATAAAATAGGGCTCCACGGCCTGCTCAAATCAATCCAGAAGCCATGTAGCCTGCGGAAATTTAAGGGCCAGACACTTGGTGTCGATGCCTATGGATGGCTGCATCGCGGTACTGTCGCCTGTGCCATCGACCTAGCTCTCGACAAGCAAAATACGAAGTAAGTGAAATAAACCATTTTCCCTCTTCTACGATGGATTGGAGTCCAAAATTGATGCCATAAACCCTTCCAGATATGTCGATTTCGCCATGAACCGCGTCCGCATGCTGCTCTACTTTGGCGTAACTCCTTACCTCGTCTTTGACGGTGATAACCTCCCGAGCAAGGCCGGAACGGAGTCAGCCAGAGCCCAGCGGCGCGAAGAGAGCAGGAAACTTGGCCTGGAATTATACCGCTCCGGCCGGGTGGCGGAGGCTCACCAGGAGCTGCAGAAGGCCGTCGACGTGACGCCGTACATGGCGCGTCTGATGATTGAAGAATTGAAGAAGCTGAAGATCCAGTATGTCGTTGCGCCTTATGAGGCGGACGCGCAGCTGGTGTACCTTGAGAAACAGGGTATCATCAACGGGATTATCTCGGAGGATTCAGATATGCTGGTGTTCGGGGCGAAGCGGTTGTTGTCTAAGTTGGATAAGCATGGGGAATGTGTGGAGATTAATCGGGCTGATTTCACAGCATGTCGCGATATTAGTCTTATTGGTTGGACAGATGCCGATTTTCGGCTCATGTGCATTCTTTCTGGTTGTGATTATCTGGCGAACTTGCCCAAAATGGGGCTCAAGACGGCATATCGCAATGTCAGGAAGTACAAGACCATCGAGAAGATTTTGAAGATGCTTCAGTTTGAGGGAAATGGCATCCGAGTTCCCCCGCAGTATCTGGAGGATTTCAAAAAAGCAGAACTTACCTTCTTATATCAGCTGGTCTTTTGTCCGCTAAATAGGAACCTAGTTACTCTTTCGCCGCTTCCTGCCGGTGCGAAGTTGGATAGCATGCCGTTTGTCGGCACGAATATCGAACCGGACATGGCAATTGGAGTTGCATGCGGAGACCTAGACCCCATGACCAAAGAACCAATAACCTTGAAACCGTCATACCCGGAGAGATCGCGGTTGGCTATCTCTAGACGACAAACACTCCCAGCCATGTCAGATTTGAAACCAAGCAAACCGATAGACACTTTTTTCACGCCAAAACGTGTTCCGTTGGGCGAGCTGGATCCGAATAACCTCACGCCATCACCTAGTCAGCAGCGGCTTCTTGAAGCGAATGCCCGACGATCATGGGTTGCTAGCTCGGCACCAACGAGAGGGAATGGCCGTCAGGCTCCACTGTCGACTTCCTCCCCGTCCACTTCCGCACGCGCTTTCTTGCCCCAAACCACAGAAACGCCTCTAAGTAGCGATAGGGAGAAGTTTCTTGCCAGTGCTTCGAAAGTGTCGAAATTTCAGCCTGTTAAACGGCAACGCCTTTGTTCTGACGCGGATGAAGCGGGAGCTGAGGTTGCAGCCGCTGTATTGGGGTCTGGGGAGCGCAGTCGTTTCTTTGCGGGTACAGGTAAGAGTACAACAACTGGGACCAAAATAGCTGGTTCGATTGTGACTAGTAATCCTGATAAAGCACGTACGAAGAAGGCTAAGAGGGCCGACTTTGGGGTGTTCTCAGATGAGGTGGTTGAGGATATCATGTCACAGCTTCCTGACGGGGTGAGTCAGGGTGAGTCACCGGATGCGAATGGCATGAATAATGTGTGTGAGGACGGGGCTTCGACTACACCGTCAAAGATGGAAGTCGAGGGAAGATCCATGGAGGATATAGGGTCGAGTATCACTGATGCACTGTTAAGCAGAAGTGTGACTGTGGAAGAACCCACGGCTACTACGACCGGACTGACGCCGGCGATGACGGGGATTTCCATGGGAAGCAGCGATTCCCAAATTTCTACCAGAATGCTTGAGTCTGGAGTTCTTGACGATGATGTATCTGTGAATTCTTCCTTGGGCCTCCGTGATAGGTTCGCCTATGTCGAATCGAATAAATCTGCGGTTTGTCATGGGACCGATGTGAAGAATGAACAGGTTTATCGCGAAGATCCACATCATGGATGGGGAGGAAACGGCGTTCTTGAGAAGAGCTCCGGTCCGCATGTTACACCACGAGAACAGCTGCAACCGTCCCGGGTGACCCCGTTACAAAGGTTGGGGCAATTTGCGCTCCATCGGTCGAAGTCTATGGGTTCTTTGAGCACAATGAAACTATCGCCGTTTGACGAAAGTGGGAATGATAGGGATGATGATATCGTTAATAAACGTAATGGCAACGGAGATGGTGATACTCCGTCTCGCTCGGGATCCCGTTACTCGAAATCTGCAAGCTCGGGGGAGGAGTGTTTATCAGGGGAAGTGATGAAGCACCCATGTCGCGGCAGTGAAGATTTAATTATTCCGGATAGTGAAGGGGAGAGTGAGGTGGAGGTCGACCTGGGTGTGGATGTGGGGAAGGAGAAAAACAAAGGAGCCGCTGTTGATCTCCAGCGGTTCCTGTTCATGGGCGGAGGGTCGGTGTTTTGAGTGTCTGTTCTGGATATTTCCTTTTATTCTTGCATTATTTCCTACCCCTTTCGGTTTTATGGTGCGGACCAAGGGCGTTCTGTCGGGATCGGTGTTATCCGGGGTCTTTGGGGAGCGGAGTATGAATAAATACCACACATGCCGGTTTGTATAATTCAATGGAAGTTGTTGTTCTTTTTCACAAATATCTACCTCTTGTCACTGAGCCCGCCAGCACTTTGGCTCCCGGAGAAGCGAATTGAAGGCGCCGTATCTTTTCCCTGCAACAATCCCCTCAAAGCATCTTCAGCCAGAGTTTTGGACTGGAAAAAGACGAGGAGCAGTGACGTCATCCGGCGACGCGATTCTGCCGGGCGGTAAGTGCCTTAGTCAGCGCGTTGCCGCGGCAACTAGCTGCCGTAAACAAAGCCGCCCAGCCACAGATTAAACCTCAACGGCGCATAGATCTCCAACCTCGTCTTTTCCAACGCAGAGATCCATCCCATTGATCCAGCCACCATGAATATTGCGTGGTCTGGCTAGCTGGCTGCTTTTGTTTCTTCGATTCGATTTCCTAGGCGAACGGGTGTGGGAAGTCCCTCCCTTCCTTTTTCTTTTTCTGTTCTTTTCTTTTGCTTTCCTCCTGTCTACCACACCCCGACCTTACGACCGACGACGCCCTGGAATTGAATTGAGGATATACGTCCAATACAAGTCCACTCGTTTGTTTCAATGTTATAGCAGGATATTCTCTCATCTTGCCCCCTTCTCTCCATACATACGTTCATTCGTGTACCTCTCTGACATACCACCCGTCAACATCCATCTCCCCTCATACACTCCTGCGATCCATATACACATACCTGCCTAAGCCATCCCATCTCCCGACCCCACGACTTCTCTCTGCCCTCTGTTCAGCTGTTTACCGGTCTGCCGTCTCTGACAAACATATTCCAGCTCCCAAAGGGTTTCAGGAAACACATAGCTACCCCTTACTCATCCAATCCGCTCCGACCTCTTCGCGAGAAACATTCCCTTGTACCCTTTGCGCAAGGAAGATAAAGGAAGACACACTCTCTCCTTCGTCGAAAATCGTTCCGCAAACTGTAGACTGCCATTTTTCGGGATTTCTTCAAAAAGTGTGGGAAAAGCTGGTTGAAAAGGAAGGGGTTTACGCATATTTCAGCGGCAAGCGGTTCTTCCCGCATCAAGATACCTCGACAAGACATCTTGTTGCGTGTAGCCTTGTTCTTATACTGGCGAAGGGAATCGAATTCACATCTTCTAGGGGTGAATAAGACAGAGCGGGAGCTTGCTATTGCTCGGTTTTTGGGTTTGGGGGACAGCGCACCAAACGGGGGAATAGGCAAAGGGAAGGCAAAAAAGTAACGAAAGAAAAAAAGAAAGGGGGAAACCGAGGCGAATATTAGACCCATTCCGCTGAAGGGGGGTTGGGACTTTCCTTGTTTCTGTTGTTGAGCCCTGGGAACATTGAGGATTGAAGCTGGGCTTGATAATAAATTACCCTACTGCCAACGGCATCTAAGGCCTAGTTCAATACAAGACCACTGTCAAGATGCCAGAGTTAAGATTTGCGGGGCAGTTTCTACGTGAGTGATCTCTCTTTCCCTTTTCTAATGGTCATGTAGGAATTGGTGAAGAAAAAAATATGAAGGACATGCTGACGGACTGTACTATTGGTGTTGCAGGATTTCTGCCCCTGATCGGTTACCACCATATCCTCATGGTATTCATTGGTCTTGCTATAATATTACTATGTAAGTTCAATCCGAAGTTACAAAGTGCTCTAAAAAAGGGAGGAACAAATTGACAACAGCGCTAACATGGACAACAACTCCAGCTCTCCTCCTAGCCGGCTGCTCCTCCTCCTCCCCACAAATACCCACAATCTTCCTAATATCCCTCTTTTATGAAAAATACGCCCCAGTATTGGACACCGCCATCGTCTCGCCTTCCATCAACATCGCCATGAACAACATCGTCGGCGGTGCACAGGTCGAGGTGCGCGTGGGTTACTTTGGCATCTGCGTCCAGCCTACCGGCGGCGCGTTCATTTGTAACTCAAACGCCACCGCGCTGGCGGATATATTACAGCCGGAGGAAGATCCGTTGAATCTGGTGTGGGTTGCGTCGACATTCAAGGATGCAGTTGTTTTTCCGTATTTGATGTAAGTGATTCCCAGACGCCTTCGACTCTCTTCTCCGATTAAATCAGTTCGCACCTTTATTTTTCCCCGGGCGCAAAGAGCCCGCAATGCGCTAACTATATACACCAGAATCGTCGCCATAATCCTCGCTTTCTTCTGCTTCCTCCTCCTCGCCACCTTCCCAGCCTGGCACGAAGTGATTGGCGAAGACGGTGAACTACGCGAAGTGAAGCGGTTTCCCTCCAGACCCGTCTCGCAAGCGTGCCTGGCGCTGATTTTCATCTCGGTGGTATTTATCCTCGTTTCCGTGCTGTGGCAACACACGGCGGCTGTGGCTGCGAGTGCGATCGCGCAGGACCTGGGGAATGGGGTTGTGAAGAGCGGGGTGGGGACGTCGGCCATGATACTAGGGTGGATTGGGTTTGCGCTGCTTGTTACTGTGACGATTGGGTTGTTGATGATGATTTTGAGTATCAGTTTGTTCGTGAATTTGACGGACGACTGATTTCTTCTTTTTCATGGCTTTTGGCCTTGGGTTTTGGGGTCTCTATTAGATTACACCTGTGTTTTTTTATTGTTTTTACTTTTTTCTTTTGGTGGAACCCCTTTTGGTGGATTTTGTTATTTTATGTTCGTTCCCACTTTGTTTTTATAAGGGGACGACCACGATGTGATACGACAATGAATATGGATGGGAAACTGTTCTATGACGAAAATATATGGATGCGATTACGGAACGGAATGGGATGAGATGGGATAGGATAGTGTCCCTATCTATCTATTTGCCAGACTCGAATTGAATTGCCTGAATGGTGGAAGAAAGAGCTGGGAACTCTTGCTTGCAAAAAAGATTTAATCCACATTATATACCGTGTAAATATGTACAACAGCGATGTTTCTTTTTTTCTATCTTTTTTTTTTTTTGTCTCTTTTTTCCTGATGTCCAGCAAATACTGTTTCCAAGGGCCCATGTGTGTGTGTGTTTGGGATTCGTATTTCCATATCATCACAGATTGCGCTCTATACCGGTTGTTTTGCAGTTCCTATTCCTTGCTTTCCAATGTTAGATTCGAACCAAACAACCCAAAGTAATTAATTAATTGCCAATGACCCTATTTCATCCCAGAGCAAGAATCAACGGTCTTGCGTGTGCGCTTGCGTTTGCTTTTTCGTGTCCTTAATTTAATTTTAATTCTTTTTTTTTTTTCTTTTGGAATCCTCATCCATCTCCGTTCTCTTTTATGTGCATAATCGTAGGTTGCAAGAGAGTACAGTAAGTAAATAATAGATCGGTTAATACCTAACCCTAAAATTATGTCGCGTTGACACCCAGAAGGTAGGGTTTCAAACAAAACGTGATGTTTTCACTGTTATAAAAGCGATATCGGCATATTGGAAATCCGGGATAATGAAACAAATAGAGAAGAGGGTAGAGGAAGCCGAGAAAAATGAGATTCATTATTCCATACAAGCTCATCCTCAATTTAGAGGGGAAAAAGAATAAAAATTAAACTAAATTAAAAGATGCTGTAGTATTTAAACACGGAAATGCCAAACGGATAAGAAAATAAAACGAAAAGCCCAGCAAGAATCGTCCATAGGAATGTATAAAGGAGATGAAAAAGTGAAATGAAATAAAAAGAAAAAGGAAACGCAAAAAAAACCTCTTAAAATTTAAGAATAACAACTGATAACCGAATATATCAATAATTCATAATAGGACCCCTACCCCCTCTGTAACCCCTCTCATCCCCGGTCCCCGGTCCCTCGTACCCACCTCCACTGCCAGAGCCGCCCGCGACATGATCATCCAGTGAACGGTACTGATGGGAACCAGAGGCACCATCTCGGCCACCTCCACGGCTACGTCCCCGGCCCCGCCCTCCTCGTCCACGTCCGCGACTTCCCCTATAATTGGCACCCGCACCGCCGCCGCGACGGGGAGGCGGTCCACCTTCGTCTCCGTAATATCTACATCCGCCTGCACCGCTGCCGCCGCCGCCCTCGCCAGGATGGCGTGGATAGGGGGGATTGTTCCGGCTGTGATAAGGTGAGTATTCTCGATGAGCATCACCAGGTCCATGTGGTGCATGAGGATGTGTTTGCGAATGTGTATGGGGATGGGGGTGTGGCGGGTAATTACGCGATCCAGGCTCGCGGTCCCGCATGCTGGAAGGAGCCATACTCGCGTTTGCATAGTTAGAATTATTTGGACTTGTTGCCCTGTTATTGCCATCTCCCTCCCGTAAGTACGCCGGCAGCGGCGCGCCGTCATCTTCCCGAAGATTCTGCTGGGCAAGCCTGCGCTTATTGTTGCTTTTCGGTAGCGTCTCCCACTCACCGTCGCCCGTGTGTTCCTCTTCGATCATCAACGCCATCTTTTGTCCGACAGTTGCGTCGAAGACGAGGGCGTTATCCTCTATGACGGGTTGCCAGTTACGGATCCGGCCAGCGTCCGTGGGTCGTGCGCTCTTGCGCATAGCAAGGACCATGAGCGGTTCTGGGTTTTCGGTGTAAATGATTTCTGAGTCCAGAACCGGTGTCACTTTAGCGGCCCAGAGTTTGTTTTCAAAAACTCCTGTATCGGTGATTCGCCAGCGCACTGTTTTCCCCATTCCGCCTACTCTATCAATGATAGACTTTGATGGTGGGCGAGAAGTGATCAGGATTGCATTGGCTAAGTATTTAATCTCAGTCGAATCAGACATATTCGGTGGTATCAATGGATTCAAAACATAAGTGATGATACGAGAGGAATCTGTGTTGGACAGAAGATATGCTGTGAAGAAGATTGTGCGCTTAATTCTTAGTCGCCCGTAAGGTGACTTGGTAGTGTTACCCGACGTTGAGGTAAGAATCTTGTTATGGTAGTTGATCATCCGCTGAACCTCAGCAGCTTCGGTGACTGGAGGGAGGAAAGCAGCCTCCTCAGCAACTTGAATAACTTCGGCATTGATAGGTTTGCGTGGAGCAGAGGGTGGCCCAGGTTGTAAAGCTCGGTTGAGTTTTTCAAAATACTCGCGGAAGCCTTTAACACTAGAGAGGAGAGTCAGATTTTGGCTCAGTCAAACAGCAAAGGATGGGACTAACTGCTTAACGCGATCTTCGTAAACTCGGATCTCATCGGCATGTTTGTAGGTGATAACCAGATCTTCCAGAAAAGTTTGCTTGAAGTTCATGGTCGAAGAGAACCGCTGGCTATTGGGACCGACTTCAGGTTTCAGGCAGACTAGATCAAAAACTAGTTTTCTGCTCTTGATCATCCGTTTGATGATGTTTTCGAATGGACCCTCTGCTCGCCCAGTGAGAAGAACAGTAAGCGCATCCTTTTGCTGCATGCTGAGTTCCACCAATTGTACCTTTTTGAGTGAGAAGTATAAGTAGGGCATTCCATAATGCATTGATATAATGTTTGCAACCATACTATTTGCTCATTCCACCATCCTTTCCACGCTTTACGTTCCTCAATTTCCATCCCCTGTCCGGTCGCTGCAAGGATGTTGGGGTCATGCCACCAACCTCCATTGGCAAAACATTCGTAGGTAGAAAGAAAGCCAATCGTCGGGCCATTCCATAGCTGAGGGTTAGGAAGGGGGCTCGAGAATACTGAAAACAGAGAAGAAGAATCTAGTTAGTCTTGGGGGTCATCCATTGAACGAGGAATACAATTGCGGGCTCGTACGGGTGTTGTCAAAATCGTAGACATGGATCGCTTTGATCTGCGCGACGGCTGTGAGTATGACAATTAGTTTTGCGGAGTCCGGCCAGGGAAAACTAAGGCTTAGATTGAACAAGCTCCCACCAGGTAGTTCGTCGGCACTTTGGCATGACCATCGCTTGAGCGCCGTGGTTGTATATATGGATTTTCGGCCCTCGCTGCGCAAGGGCCCGCCCACCATCGGAGTCGCCATCTTGGGGTACTTTGTGAATCGAGCAGCAACAACAGCTCGAGCAGATCTCAGCATCACATGGCACAGCACAACAGAGGTTGGGTGTAGGGATATCGCACCGTGCTACAATGCGTGCTGTCGCCGTCTCTCTCCGTCGGTTTCTCCCGCGTTGAAGACGGTCGACGTTTGTTACCAACAAAATTCCCCGATTGGGTAATTTTGATATTTCCAAGCTGCCTCTGCATTGGTCCCGTGACCTGCCCCGTGGTGCTGACTCATCAATGTCGCCCGCCGACGACATTCGATAAAAATCATCGCGAAACATCATAAAGTGCGTGTTTGCGATGGCACAGGATGTCGGTTTGCAGCAGGAAATTCTCCGCAAAACCCTGGACGGGGTGGCCGACAGCCAGTCCAACAGCAATGATGTCCATCTGAATCCCTGTGTGATCTGCCTCGAGCAGATCACGGAGGCTGCAACTGCGCAGCCCTGCAAGCATGCCAGCTTCGACTTCTTATGTCTTGTGAGCTGGCTGCAGCAGCGCCCTGCGTGTCCATTATGTAAATACAAGAGACCATTTCCCTTGCACTGTACATAGGCATTGGTAGCTAATGAATGCTTTGACTTACAGGCCAAGCAGTCGTGGCAAGTGTGAAATATGAGCCAGAAGCCGAGTCCACCTCAGGCCCAAAAATATACCACCTCCCCCCTCCATCACACACCCCTATTATCACCACAGGTCTAGGAAGCGCTGCAGGAGCGCACCCCCACCCGAGAAGATTCCCCCGTCGCCAACTCCATCATCGACCCCGGCGCGACTCTCCAACCAACCACATCCCTACCGCAGATGACCCCATAATCCGCCGACGACACATTTACCGCCACCAACTCTACTCCCGACGAGTAGGCACCAACAGACTCTCGAAATACTGCGAGCTCACCCCGCAACTTTTCAACCAAGATGCGCACCTTGTCTCGCGCGCGCGCAAGTGGATCCGGCGCGAATTACAGGTCTTCTCCTTCCTGGACCCCACCTCCAATGACGATATCGAACGTTCCGCAGCAGCCGATCGCCGCGCAGCTAACAACGCCGAATTCCTGCTGGAATACATCATCGCAATTCTGCGCACGGTGGATATCAAAGGCAGCAGCGGACAGGCCGAGGAGCTGCTGCGCGAATTCATCGGGCGCGATCATGCGCGGTTGTTCCTGCATGAGCTGCAATCGTGGCTGCGGAGTCCGTATATTTCGTTGGCGGATTGGGATCGGGCGGTGCAGTATGATGATGTCGATGCCGATGGGCCTCGGTTGGCAGCATCCGTGGGAATAAGGGCGGGGATGGGGCCGCGCTCGAGTAGACATGCAGATGCGCGCTCAATATCGTGGTCCTCATCTACCACGCCTGTTGCTGCTAGGGACAGGGGCAGGGGCAGGGACTGCGCACCGTCTTGGCCGTCTGGGAGAATTTCTAAAGCGACAAGCACGCCGGGTACGAGGCATTGTGACAATGTCGCCGCTGATCGGGAGAGGAGAATACAACGGGCCCGTGATAGGTATCAACCAGATTGATTTGGCTCAACCTGATGGATTCTGGTGGGGGGGGGGGGGGAGACGTTCCCCGGCCCATTTTCGACTGTTTTGATTAATGAGCGTAGTATATACATGTACAGTGGGTATGCACAGTTAGCTGCGGTACGATTACGATATTTTTTTCATTGTGATTTTTGATTTTGGACGAGCTTGGCGAGAGGCGTAAATGATATTGTATAGTTGACCAGAGGCTGTTACTTTGCATAATGATAGGGGGTTTTTGTATTTTTATTTATTTTATTCTTTGATTCTTGGACTTCATGTTGCTGTAACATCCGACCTGGAAGTAACATCATCATGGGTCTGTTCTAATCTACTCTATAAGTCAATTCTATTGTGTATCGTTTCATATTCATACTCCGTACTCTATACTCCGTAGTGAATAACACTTCACCAATACTCGCACCCAGCCTAACGCTATCCAAATTCACCTCCATCTCATGGAAACAACCGTATTCCATCCACCCTTGACAACCAAGTATATAAGATCCCTGGATATGCATCATATTTGCCGTACATATCGCATCCCTAGTATACCTACGCGATACCAGTCACCTCCTCCCAAACCGTCGCCCCTTTCCCCTCGCATTCGACCCTTTCCCCCGAATCTTCAGCGCGCGGTAATTAGCATGCGCGTCCGGTTTGGTTTTGTGTTTCTGGTTGGTTGCTGTTGTCACTCTTGCCGTCGTGCCCTTCATGGTAGCTGGTTTCAGTTTCGCTGCACTGACACTGACACTGACATTAGCAGTGGCGATGGACGTGGAAGTATTTGTGAGAGCAAACTCTTTATTTGTCTCCGTGTGCGTATCCGGCCGGGCGAGAGTTTCGTTTTCCTTGTTCGCGCCGGGCTCGGGGGGAAGCTGAGGCTGAAGTTGGGTTTCTGATATAGCCGCCAGCTCGTCTCCACTCCCTCCTTTCCTGTCGCCATCGCCATCGCCTTCTCCATCAATCGCAGCCACGGGCCACCCCGGCATTGGTTGCGCTTTTGTGTGAACGGGCCTCATGATAACTCGTCGCGTCGTGCGTTTCTGTCCTTTTTTCTTCCACCGTCTCATTGCAAGAGTATTTCCCCCATCATCATCACCGCCGCCACTACCATCTTGTAGAGGAACCTGACTATCATTAATAACAACGGCATCATCGTTCTCCGCCGCCGCCGCCTCGGCCTCCATCTCTCTCAAAAGATCCAACTCTTCATCCAACCTTTCTTCTTGAATATCCCTTAGCCCCTGAACTATAGCACTAAGCCCCCTTCCAACAAGTTTTTGCGGCATGCGAACTGCAACGGGACTTAGATCATGGACGCTAACCCCACCGACCACGCCCACATGCTGCCGAGAGTTGACCATTGAGGAAGATGATGATGAAAACAGGTTCCGTCGCCTGAGGAAAGAGGGGGTGTCTGAGCCCAGTGCATCTTTAGACCCCGCTGGGGGCCCACTTCTTCCATTAGATGAGTTGTTGTTGCTTGCTGGTTGGTTATCATTGGCACCATCAAGACTATCTGCTCTGGTATCAATAGCAGCCGAATACCGATATGCAGGTGGCGTAGCGAAAAAATTGGCCAGGTAGAACTTCTTAGCAGATGACGCAGGCGTGCGTGTGCTGGCGAAGAAGTTTTCATAATCATCATTATCCTCATCCGCCACCTCATCCCCGTCCTCACCATCCTGATCCCCTGAATTAATTCGGCTCTCCTTTCGTCGCGAGGGAGTCTGCATTGGATTATCAATCCCTTGATTTTTGGTATTATTAACCCGCTTCCCGTGTCTCAGACACGGGGTCGCAGCAGCAGCAACAACAGCACTGTCTCTACAACGACGACGACGACGACTACTACTACTACTATTACTTCCCCCAGAGGCGGAGAGGAGGTCAAATAGACCCAGGGCCTTACCATCACGCTGTGGGGTAGGCCCAATGGCTGCGCGGAGGGGCAAGGGTGATGAGGATGAATGAGGATCCTCGTGAAGGTTGCGATGATAGCTGGGACTGAAGAATCTGCGTAACGTGGACGGGGAATCGTAAGGGTCTAGCTGGGATGGGTGGGCGTTTGCACAAAGAGCAGTCGATGTTGATAGAAACCTCCGGTCGGGGGTGGCGGGGATGTTCTCGGAGGATTTTCGGGGAGTTGAGCAGGATTGGGGGGGTGGTAGTCCCTTTGCATCTTCCTGCGTATCCAAGGGACGTTTACGTTTCCTCTGCTGGGGCGCTTCCTGTGCTGGTGCGAAAGAGGAGCTGTTGGCTTGCGACGACTGCGCACGCAGGCGGGAATAGAGCTTGTATTTGGCAGCTGTACGTAGATAAATGAACACGCAAATCCAAGTCGATCCCAATGGGTTAGCAGCGGTTTACATCGTTTCTTTCCTTGCGGAATAGAGAGGGGAGTAAGGAATTGGCTATTGGGTTTCCGTACAAATGGCAGGGTTGTTTTTGATATCATCTCTCCCAGGCTTGCGGCCTCCATTCGCAGCGGTAAAGGCTCGCTCCCATTCCTTTAACTCGGCTCGAAGGGTCGACGAGGGCTGCTGCTCCGCATTGTGTGGCACTTGGTGGTCCGCCATGGCAGCGGTTTGCGGTTTGTATCAATCACCAGCCAGAACACTGTTTCAGCATCCCACGTTGAGAGTTGGGATCCTCCAGGTTTTGTTGTCGAAATCTCCGCAAAATCAATCTTGTCGGATGTTAACGCGTCGACGCGTACATGACTAAGTGGACCTATTGTGTTGGCCCTAGGCTGCCTATCACGGGCTAGCGCACCGCACCGCACATATATGCAATCTGTAAGCTGGATTACATAACGAACTACTAACTACACTGCATAAATGCGTCATTTTGAGATGTCCCGCATGCCTCGCCAAATTTTTCTCAATGTTTTTTCTTTTTTTATTCCAGTCCTATCGCTGCAAACTCATCTATCTCTTGTTACAGATGTGGGTTATAATTCTGCTTAGCATCTTCAGGCATATATTAATAAGCTTTTGATTAGACAGAGGGAACAGTTCTCCCCACACCCATCTCACATCATCAACATGGCCTCTGATAAAGATGACACGAAATCAAAAGATACAAGGGAATTCGAATTCTCTTCAACAATTGATAGCAATGCTAAAAGAGATTGGGATGAGTTAGCAGAGTGGTTTCGGACGGCAGAAATGTGCCCACCTGGTGTCCTCTATGATGTCATGGTTCACGGTTCCGGCATCCCATGAGAACTGTATGCGCAAATATGCTGAGGGGCAAAAATTTTTATCACACTCCCAATTTTCCAGCAGATTGTAACATGTGGCTATACCCAACAAGAATATTGATGTACTTTTCTTATTTCATTCTCCGCGTAGTTTCCTTCCTACACACTTTTATTTGACGACAATTCCTATTTCTTCAGATCGTGTTAATGCACAAGCGCTTGCTGCTTGGGGCGGCATGGTTGAAATCAATGACATGGATGGCGGGTGGGGCGTGAACGTGTTTTTTTTTAGGGACATTACGGACTTTCATTTTGCGTTTGCGTTTTTGCGTTAATGGACCTTTCAGGATTTAAATGTGTAGGTACGTAGGTGAAACATATTGGTGATTGAAGGTTATAATGGGTGAGCTTGCAATTGTTGTGGACGCTTTTACAGTGTCGACGTATGGTTTTTGCACGAAAATTATTTCGCAGGCCCATGCTGCCACTTTACCCTAGTTACTTCATGGTCACGAGGCACCAAGAGCATTTGTGATAAAAGCTCCCCCCATTCTGTTCGCAAGCCGTCAACTCAATCGGCCAACAAAAAAAAAAAAAAAAAAATTCTCGTTTTATCGACGATGGCGTCTTCAAACCCGCTGCGACCTGAAGATTTGGTTACATCCATTGAGACTGAAGGCTTCTTTTCAATAGCAGATTCTGCTATCGGTAGAAGAGTTGATGAATTTGCTGCTAAACAATACCCATTCAGAACTCTTGAGGGATTGGACTTTTGCAAGACCAACACACTGGATGAGAAGGTGCGTGACCCAGGTTACTTGTTAATGACATTAACTGAGAGAAATATGCAGCATGTTCGTCAAACTGTTGAGTCTTTCTTTTCATGGTCTGCTCTCGCGCTTCACATGACGTTCCGCTATTTCCCGCAACATGCGTACTGCATGGCAGACCCCCGAGAGCCAAAGCTTCAAGTAATAGTCGTTCAACTGCTAGGAACTGGATCAAAAATTATACTCTACAAAAGATCTCACCATACACCTTTGAAACCCAAGGAGGCTTCGAACGGGTTATTAGAGGTTCAACGAGAACTGCTCAAAACGCCGGATATTGAAGAAATTCAGAAAGACATGAAAGATGGAGGTTTGTAAGTATAAATGCGACTATCCGTTCAATACACAGGCTGATATATATTTCTAGAGTAGTATTAGATGCTCGTCTTAGTTTCAATATTCAAGGTCGTGCGATTACGCTAGCATTTGCAAACAAAGAGGAGCTCGCTCGATGGGGGAGAATAAAGCTTCCAAACAATGCAAATCTGAGGCAGAAAGTCAAAGCAATGGAAACTGAAAAGATCGGGATGAATTATGAATTTGAAGATTGAGGCATTGTCGCAGAAATGATAAAGAGGAAAATTTTGAATATGATCCTGTTACACAGATATTCCCAGTGCCAAAGCAGTTGTAGTCGTTGCCTTTAGTTAATGTAGAGCATATGTGGTGATCGCCATGATGAATTCAAGTAGCTATCCGTAGAATCATTGGCGATTGTTGGCGCCATATTGGTAGCCCTCAAATCCGAGAAGCCGCCTGTTGCTGCCCATGCTGTTGCCCCATTTATAGAATCTTGAAAATAATCAGTGGGATTGCTGATCGCTTGCGGCCTCTCGTAAGTGATTGCTGGACCGGAGACTAGGCTAGGTGTTAGTGTTGTTTGTCAATCGCGCTCCAGCAGATCATACCATTTGTTTCGGTCAGACCATTCAAGCGAGGCTGCGGGGATAGAGTCGACAGCAGTGTCTCAGCTGGGATAGCCAAATCCTCCACAGCAGCCCTTGAATTCGTTGTATGATTGAGTTCTGTAGGTGTAGACTGTGAGTTTGCTGAAGGTAATGATTGTATTGTATCAACAACCTGCTGTGCGATGTGCGCTCTGTCGCGTTGGGTTTCCGAAGTTGCAGCAGCAGCGAGAACTTGCATTGGAGTGTTGCTGTGTGAGTTTATATGAGGACCCACGTCTAAGGAGATTGTTAGATATTTCCAGACAGTCCTGTACCAAAAACATACCTCCTAATGAATTAACTCTAGGCATATGTGCCTGCAAGCCGCGACATGGCCGTTTGCTGCTGGGCTCGTCGTACTCTTTGTTCGTCTCTCCCTGCACGAGCTCAATGAAATATTTTCTCATGGCCGTCAGCATTTCTCCCTTGCTCTGCAAAATTTGGTTGTCCTCCCATCCACAAGCTCTAAGCCCACTGAGGATCGCCTTTGCGCATATTCGGTCATGGCGGCGAAAGATCTTCTCCCGTTCAGGATATTTATCTTTCACAAACTTAAGCAGCAGGTCAACATCTACAGAGTGCCTCTCCCACCTAGAGAAATATTAGTAGAGATATTAATGGTGGATCACGATGCTCACTCACGTTTTTGAATCTTGTCCATCCAAATATGCCAAAATTCCAGGACCACTTTTGATTACAAGCCGAGCATAGTTGCGGCTCCGAGATCTAGTTTTTGATACATACCTAGAATCCACATAAGCGTCCTTTGCATACTTTTCATAGGCTATTGTCGTTTTGGCGACGCCCTGCCGGCACTCATTATCTGGAACTGAAAGAGTCATCTCATCAATTTCAATACGGGACAGCAGCATGCTCAATCGATTGGCATAGTCATTTGTAGAGCGCTCTGTTTGTAATATAGCTCGACCTTCCTCAAGACGGTGCGCTCGAGATGCTTTGGAATCAGTCTTTGCGAATATGTCAACACTTCGTTTCCACAAGCCCTCGTGAATAGTTTCTTCGAGAGGTTGGCTGTTGATCAGATGCACTGAGATGTCAACCAAGGTCGTTTTATCTTTAAAGTAGGTCTCAGCTGTTTTCGTCATGATATATTCTTTAGCTCGTCGGGGGAAGTTTGGACTGCTTCATGGAGCCTCTTTCGGTGCTCTCTTTTTCCACTTCTCTTGTTTTTGGGCTGACGAGGAGCAAGAGATGGAGGACGACGAGCAGGAGGAGAAGCGGAAGTAGAAGGAGTGGGAGGAGCAGAAGCAGATTGAGAATTGGCAGGCAGTGTAGTGGGTTGGGAGATAGCTCGAGCGCTGTGGGAAGAAAATATTTGATGTGAAGAAGAAAGAGAGGAGCACAGATGTTGCAAAAGAATCAGACCACTTTCTTGGGCGAAGAAGCAACTAAAGCCATGGTAAAGTTCCTACTCTTCATTTATTAGCTATAAGCTAGCAATTATTTGAGGATTCTTACCGGTGATTGAAAAACATCAGAAGGGTTGAAATGTGCCAAAGCAGTAATAAGACTCAGCTTGAAATCCATCCTGAATGATGAAGAGATAGACAGGAGTTAGAAGCTTCAAGAAGTTGATCTCTAGATAGGCTTGGGTTTCCCTGGTCCTGGGGGACTACAGAAACCATTCCACTTTAGAAATCCCCTGCACAACCGTGACGGCTGAACGAACACTAAATGTTGACACTATTTCATTGGAACCGAGTGGCCAGCCAAGCTACTAAACTGTGATTGCATCTATTTCATGGCGCTTGAGCATAAAGTCTCCTATTGCTACTCATCGGCTAAGCCACTGATAGCAGATACAGGTTGCTACCTAGAAAATTGATCTCTCTGTTGAGGGCCATAGCTGGTGATAGTTTCCATCCTTGTCTTTATGATAGGAGCAGCTGCGCCTGGATGGCCTTAAATCCCAACAAAGGTGATATTGAGCTCGAAATTTAGCACTTTGGGCCGCCATTTGCCTAATGAGGACAGGATCAACGACTATTTATCACAGGCCGATGCTGGTGCAAAGCGCAGCCAGGGGTGACTTTTCTTATTTGAAGGCCATAACTCTGATACAACAGATTAACATAAGTATTTGTACGGGTCCTGGAAAATTTTTTGCCGTCCAACATTTGCTGAATGAGGATGGCATACCCTTTCGACCATTGAAAAAGGCCCCATTCAAGGCGCACAGAGACTGGCTCCCCAAGAGCTATAAACCACATCACATCACTCTGCAATGGATCATTTCAAAGCAGACCAACTTGGCTGCCTTTTTATGAAAAATGTATCCTAACATCTCATATGCGCTTCTGTCGGTGGCGCTCATTGTGCTAAGTATGGTGCATCTCATCTTGCTTACCGTTCACCGTCCCAAGTCTCACTGTTCGCCTGAGATATCAATCTTTGTTCTCTTTATCTGTGTCAATGCTGTTGTCATTGGCATTAGTCTATCAGGCTTAAGGTGTGGGGGTGAGCAGTCCCTTCTACTGAGGTGGTGATGATAAATGCTAAATGCTTGTTTCAGATACACCAGCATTTTACTATCCCTTGGGAATATGTACAGCATTTCCGCTAGCCCTTGAGGTGCGTTATTCCCAGTCCCCTGCTTTGATCCTCACTAACCGCGATGTCTAGATGATTCGGCTGAGCAAAATCCAGGCCGGACCACTTACGAACGCCCTCCTGCATCAATTATTTTTAGGGTATTGTTTTCTGTCCCCTGCAGTAAAGCTCGAGTTGATCTTACGATGTGCTCTTCCCCCAGTCTTGATAGGCCTTTGCTCATTGAGTTAGCTCGGTCGTCTGTGAAGTGTTGCTCAAAGGTACAGCTGTGGCTGTATCTATCAACTACACAGTCCTCGCGATTGCCGGTCTGCTTTTTTGATGTGGAATTTGTGGTATACCATCTCAGAGGTCTATTATCTGTGAAGTTGCAATCCATACACTTCTTGTTATCATAACAGCAGGGTTTGCTGCAGGTGGACTCGTCCACGACTGGCCCCTCTGGATCGAAGTAAGTTCAATGAAACCATGGATGTCGTTCCAACGTGTGCTGATATGGGATCCAGGCAATGTTGATTATCACTATTGGTGTCTATCTGGCTCGAAATATTCCCACCCTGTCTGGCGAGCCGGGGAACACAGTGCCGTTACCGAACCCAGACGACACATCCAATCTAGACCAGCTCAGGCCCCACCAAGAAAATCGTTCTGCTCACCTCCCTTTCATTCCAAGCCGTGATAGGGCCATGGCGATGATAAAGACTGTAGTGGGGTTTGGCACCGGGGCAACATCAACGACTGAGAACTATACACAACTAGCCGAGATTGGAACAGCTCGCTCTGAAACAGCACATCTGATACATCACTCTCTCCTGTTTCTGCTGTGATGGTCTAACAGTAATTTCTAGAAAATTAAAGCAGTGATCTCAATTTACTATCCAGATCTGCCGATCTTGAGCATGGGGATATTTACTGTACGATGTGAGGGACGCGAGGGGAACTATTCGCGGAACCTGAGATACAATGAATTGACTGCTCGTAGCGATGGGAAAGCTGCGCTTCAATTGTTCCAGCTCTGATTTTTTAAATTCTTTTTTATTTTGCTTCTTTTTCCCCTACAACCCTTGTCCATGACTGGCCCCTCTACACTGTGCTGTTACATAGCTTCCCAGACAACACATCCGATTTTTCCTGTTTCTGATTGCATTGAAATGTGGCTGCCTCTAGTCATGTAGCAAGGTCCCATACTCTTCTGAATTTACTTGCTTCTAATTGCTTGAACATTGAAGGGTTTTAACTATTTCTATTTAATACCATAACAATATCAATTGATCTAACTTCCAGGTTTCATTTCTGCTCCCGCCTTGTCTTCTTTGCTGGAAAGCTTGTCATGCAGCTGGATGCTTCTTACTCTAGTCTTATAGCTTCAGAATAAGGATATTAAAGCTAAAGGCTCGAGCACAAATATCTTCAGACCTTATATGATATTCTTCACTTCATGGTCTGGTGAAGGTACAATTGAGTACACAAACGGTTTAGACACAGCAACAAGCAAAGTAATTCTGAGTTTGAGAGGTATTTGATCTTCTTAGAATGTTCTTTTCATTGTGTAGCTAACGCCTTTTCAGAGATGGACAAAGATTTGACCTCGGGCCAGCAAGTACGGAAAAGAAGAAGCACCCAAGCGATGCGAGACAATGCAGAACCCAACAAAAGAACCAACAGATCTCAGGATCAAGATGACAATCAAATCACAGCACATGATCTATTGAACAAAATACAGGGAAAAAGCCAAACCAAGGAAGGATATGTTCAAAAAACAGTTCGCCAACGTCTGAGACTCTACTGCTGCAGATGTGAGGAGGATGTTAGCGGTGGGGGGGAATGTCGACGATGTGGCCATGCATCGTGTCCGGAGTGCTTGCACGAAAGGAGACTGTGTGGGGAAAAAAGATCAGTTGACCCATCACACGAACTGAACCAAGCGAATAGCCGTCATGATACTCAAACAAATCTCCAAAAAAGCTCAGTCCCGGCGATCCGTCTTAGCCAAGCTATCGATAGTGATGGGGATCCAGAAGCGCTCTATATGTTGCCCTACACTAAACTGAAGCAGAAACTGGAGAAAGATGCAACAAAAATGGAAGACCTGGGTTAATCGAGCCATCAAGTGCTGCTACTGCGAAGGAACTGGTTCAGCGGTCAACGGATGCGTATGTGGGCATAAGTATTGTGGAATATGCTTCCGTTACTCAGAATGAGCCCGACGCGACAGGCGAACCTGTGGGGGAGATTCGAGATTTGTAAGATGGGAGTGCAATTGTGCTGTGGGGAATTTAGACTCGACGTTTCAGGGGCTCTCGGATCAGCAATTTGACCCTATCAACTTTCAAGTCAGATGACATACAACATTTCAAGATGTAGAATGTATTTATTGAACTGCTCATCTGCTCTTTACAACTTTCTCGGCCGCTCTACTCCAGAAGGATAATGCTGTTGATATTTCAAGATGTAGAGAATATATATTGCAATGGGTTAAGTTCATCTGCTGATAGAAAAACACACAGTTAATTATAGCAACATCACCCTTTGTGCTTCTTGTTCACCGAGAGCGGCTGGGAGGGGGGAAGGTTTACATAACCCTTCAAAATGAGAAAAGATAGATAATCAAGGGCCATGCAAATATCAGCTCCGGTTGCGCGAGGCGAAGAGTATTTTCCCAAACAGAATATCTGCTTTTAACATTCCAAAGACAATAAATAAGAAGCAGTTCTTGCCTCCATTGACATAACTACTCTTAGAATATTACACAAGCCAGCCCGGCAGATTTTGCAGAGATGGAGAGTTCCAGGCCACCTGTCCATGGTCTCTATGCTAATAAATTCCAGGAGCTCAATTTACCTCCGAATTCCACGGGCACAAGACAGCCAACAGCTTGTTCAACCCATCAGCAAAGGTGGCATTCTAGAAATCTCACTGGTTGTTCAATCTGCAAAGCATGTCAGATGTGATGAAGCAGCATCTATCTGCTGCAACTGCTTAAAAAGGAGCTTTCACTGCAATGATGCCCAGAGTGAAACACTCTACAGATTCATTGACCCTAGCCAGGCGGCTCCAATCAAAAACCGGTGTCTCCAGCCCACACCCATTGCCATATAAGGATCCAACTTCCCCTTGCCAACATTCTATGGATTTGCAAAGTGGATCCACACTTCATCAGAATTCCTTGCTATGGTGAGTCTGCTATTCTTCATCTACTTAGAAGAGTGCGACTAACAGGCAAGGATATTGAAACTAATCCCATCACTGTCAATGATGAGGCTCGCGATCTCCAGTCCCATTCCTCCAGCGATGGTCCGTACTTGATTAGCAATGCTGATTGTTACTCAGACTATCCTGATATCCGTGGTGATGTATGAAATACAAATGGAATTGACATTGCCATGCTAATTCTAAATAGGTTTGTCGCGGCGATGAAAATGCACCCTTGACTTTCATTGTTTCCATCTCAGAGCCTGTACTTCAAGAGCGGCTGGAGTATCTGAAGGCTCATACTTTTCATCTACAGCGTATCCTTCACACATTCTCTGAGAATAGAGTTGATGGACCTCTGGCATTACCATACGCGCTCTGTCTGGTAAAAATTCTCCGACAACACGCAGGGCAGCAATTGTCTGTGAAGAGATTGGATGATACCATCCAATTCCTCTCCACACGATTGAGAGGGCTGCTGTCAACACCTCTGTTATATACCGATCGAGGTCGCATAAGTCGTGCGTCACTTCTACTTCAACGGCAGGTGTTCCACAAGCGTCAGAACTTGCCAGGAGATCTCTGGCAACGGAGCACTGTTTTGAGCTTCTCCATGGATGACAATCTAACTGTAACATTGTTCCTTACAAATCATCCCTATTTCAAAGTACCTGATGAGATTTGGAATGGTGTTAACTCCTTGGATTCGGGTATTGCTGATGTGGCTGTGATGTTTGGTGTTGGTTAATGTGTTTTACCACTGTAGAAGGATAATGTTGTTCTCAGATAGCTGTAGCACCATCTAATCTTCTAATTCTTCACTCATTCATCTACAGTTAGCATACACACTCTTAATGATGGTTTTTCACAATGAACATTTTTAGCACCATGTCCAAGTGTTTCTGCCAGGATCCATGCACAGTTTTGACACAAGCGCCTCATTGCTGACGCGGAAAAACTATATACAAGGAATTAATGGGTGAGCTGCTAAAAATTTCCTCCAACATCGGATGCGTATGTGGGCATGGGTATTACCCAGTATGCTTTCATTAGTGTTGTAGAAACTTAATTTAACTTGCTGAGTATTTTCAGAGGCTCTCAGATCAACAATTTTTCCGACAGTTTAGATTACATAGAACATCTTAATGAGGCGTTTGTGTCAATACTGCGCATGAATTCTGAACAGAAACACTTGTGATTGGCTAAAAAGGCGCTGAGGAAAATGATGCTAATTGTGCCTCACTCAGACAAGAAGATACAGTAGCTATCTGATCTCTTTGTAATAGAACGGTTGAGGAAGAGCAGATAAGCAGCATCACTTATCTCATTTGCATCTTTTAATTAATCATCTAATTGTGAGGCTCTGAGCAGCTATAAGAATAGCCATGTTCGTCCACATTCATGTAGCAAAATACAAATCGTTATCCACAGGAGCCTCAAGGCCATGAAGAAGAGTTTCACAAAGAGTATATAATCAGCTTCAAGTTGTTTTTTCATCATGATAAGTTGAGCACTTCTGTAAGTTTGCTGTTTCTTAATGCTTATCTTATTCAGGAATCTCTCAATATCATTGCTCAAGTGAGACAATAGTGACCGAAATATTGCCAATCTGAATGATCTCTATAACGCGTTACTCCAAATGAGACAGGATATTGAAGAAAATATTAGCACTCTGAAGGAACCTCTTCGGCATCTTAGCAACGCCAAGACAACTGGTGACATACAAAAATATCTTCAAGAATTTTCCATCGAATTCCACAAGCTTTTTTTGTTGTTTGAAAAGCTGGCCGGTTTTACATCGTGCGCTTTGAGTATAGGTATAGAAACAGAGGAATTGGGTGGGTTCAGATGGCATATAGCCGCTTTATGAGAAGATTACAGACATATACAGCAGATCGTGTACACATGCTCATTATGTCGTCAATTGCAAGATGCTAAGCTTCGTCGAGGGGTACAGTACCTTCAGGAACAGATGTGTGATTTAGAAGCTATTTGTGAAGAAAGTAAGAAGCAACTAAAGGCAGACTTGGAAAATCTGAAGAAGGACCTGTTTTAGTGCATATTAATGTGTTTTATCCATAAAATCTCAAACTCATTCAAAGCGATCTCAAATCTCCAAGCAACACACCCAGAGCGATTTGGTCGTTGCTTGTTGGAAATGCTACCTTCGTGGCTTATTGGGTATGGATAGTCATGCACATATTGATCTCCAGTCGGGTTGGGCGAAGCGAAGATCCGAACCGTTTGTTCCGCTAATAAATTCCAGGGGCTCAATCCAAGTTCTCTGGGCAGGAAGCAGTCAAAGTAAGATTGGCTTGCACTCTGGACCTTGTTGTGTCTCTCACTAGATTCCATAAAGAGAGGCCTTGCACCCACCCGCTCCCATCCTCTTATTCTCTACACACATCGGAAACGATGCTAGCCGGCATGGGATCACAGAATTTCAATCTCAACCATTTTATTTGCCCCCGTTTCAAAAGACTTTTTAGCTGGTTTCTAGTTTTTACCTTTTCTTTTATCTTGCTTGGTGCTGCCTTCTGAGTTACCCTCTGGATGGTCGCAAAAGTCGCCGTGTGGTTAGCTGCTCAGTTGGTCAAAATATTTCCTCAGCCACAAAGAGCAAAGACAAAATGGGATTGAACAAGAGTTGTTATATTCAAGTCCTTGAAGAAGTGAAAATTCCAGAACGACAGATGTCCAAAGAAATCAAAATAGCTCAGGAGGTGCCATCAGTCATGGTTGATGATTCTGAACTGCAACTGGCTGCAAGGGGAACAAGGGAGCCGCTCAAAAATGCCGGCCAGAATATACTGTGATCACCCAGATTGCCGCAATCATATCCCATACTTCAAGAGACACAGTGACTGGAGGTATGCAGCTCTTTTTTTGAATATAATTCCCATTTCTTGAGCTATGTGTTAAGTACATGAACAGCAAACACATGGATAAACATGACCACTCATACAGGTGCACGATCCCCGGTTGCAACTGATCATTTACCCGGAAACATAACATGCACTGTCATGTAGAAGAGATTCATTAAAAAGAGAAGAAGTGAATATGTCCTTATTCAGACTGTGATCACAGCTCAGAAAAAGGATTTACCAGAGAGGCATATCTCAAATATCATATCCACCACATTCATACAAAATGAGATCGCTTTCTCTGTGACAAAATTACTCAGCTTTAGTGGGAAGTTATGAAAACAGATTCAAGATTGAAAGAGATAAAAATGAAGCTGAAACAGTTGCAGAAGCTGACTGAAAAAGATACTTGCTTTGCATTTTCTCTTTTCATTCAGCTTTCTTCCTTTGCAGAGTTTGAAGTGGAAGTTTCAGAATGAGTTTGAAATATATTGACAATCTGTATTTACTTCTCTCTGATGCAGAGCTCTGTGTGATTTTCTGTTACAGTACATGTGTCGTTTGCTGGTTGATAATGTTGTTGAATCAAAGGAAAATGATTGGTTATCCAAAAATAGAATTATCCTTGCTTGCGCCAATAAGAAATAGTGCATCCCGGAAAATTAGAAATCCCGGATGTTGATGAAAACCTCAGTAATGCCAAATTCTCTACACAGCTGGAATTAAGAGCTTCCATTGCAAGTGATGGCTTGTATAGACCTCAATAACTGCCTTACTGCATATGATCCGTTCTTGGGGCGCGACCTCTGGACTATCCTTCTAACTAATAAAGCTAGTGGTTACACAATGGCTACGTGTACCTTGAGCTTAAAACCATGACAAGATTATACCAGTCGAGGGTGCTTAAGTCGTGCATTGTCTGATGAGATTTGAAATGGTTTTCACTCCTTGAATTCCTTGGATTGGTGTATTGTTGATATGACTGTGATGTTTGGTGTTGGCTAATGTATTTTATCACTTTCTCAGCTGGTCTAATATTTTGCCAACAGAAATCCGAAGCCCCGTCATCCAGTAGCTCAGAACATCATCAGTGAATGTTCGCCTTCTCTGATTCTTCAGATTGGGGTGACAGAGATTGTGATCTCTGACAGCTGTGTTTTTCTGATTGATGCATCTTGTCCGCTCGCTCATTGCCTTATTTGCGCCTTACGTCGACGCGGGAAATGATACACCGCTGGAATCAGAGGATGGGCTCCCATTGCAACTGATAGCTTGGGGTTCATTTCCCGACAGGGGATGGCCCCTGCAGCGAGTATCAAGTCTAATGTTTGGTTTTTGCTCATTTTGACAATCACCACCAGCCCATTGCCTTGAGCAAACGCAGGCTAGCCATCCAAGGCTTGTCCTTATGCAAGGGGAAGGGCCATATGAACCGTTTGCCTTGCGCCTTGTTACATGCATGCGCGATTTTGGCACCGGCGCGCCAATCAAGAGGTGGGCTGTCAAAAATGGCTACTCCGCTTGGCAGCCTGTGATTTCTGCTCATTTTTCATCATTTCCTGGTTTGGCTGGTTATCTGCAAGCATAAAGGGATAGGAGTGACCCTGTCTTGATCTGTATTTTTGTATACTTCACTGTTCTTTCTCAGAACCTTCACAAGTCACATCTTGTCATATCAAGATGAGCCAGCGAGCCAGCATGTTCTTCAATCAATCGACGAGGCAATTGCTTGCCTCTTCTCCACTTGCTTTCAAACCCCACGTTTCTCAATATCGATATTCGGACCAGGTTGAAGATATCGTCGATACTGAGGAGTGTACCCATGAGGATGAGGTTGAAGAGCAGATATCATACAGTGGGAACTCAATGGCATCTGATTCAGTTACACCGGCTCTTGAAGGATTTCCAGATGTTGAGAAGTTTGATCAGCTCATGAAGAGGTAATAATCACTACATTTATTCATCTCTGAAAAGATCACTGACAGGTTATTAGTTATACTTTAAGTTCAGTAAGGACCTTAATAACCTCAAATGACGCTGAACGGATAAGAATGGTACTTCTTAACCCCGAAGACACATCCATAAAATCAGCAAATTTTCGGTATGAATGTTGAAATTTCAGTTCTTTTTACATTGAGAAGTAATATATAGTCATTTCAAATCTGGTGCTAATATATGATTTGAAGGCGCTGGGTGAAAAAATCGTTCACGCTCAGCAATAACCAGATACCCAAGGTATGTTTTGAAAAGCCGTATGAAATAATGTGCTCTCAGACTGATGTTCATCTAGAACAAAACATTGATCTACTGCAAAGAAACTCTAAAACTCATTGTAATCAAAGAGAAGCTGTTTGAAATTCTGACAGAAGCACATCAGCAATGTCAACATGAAAGTCAGAGAAAGACTTTAGCACAAGCTAGAATGACATATTCCAAGTACACCCATGCTACAGATTCAAATCCCCTCTTAGAAATATCAAATGAACTAACTGCAGAATTAACAGAATCCCTGAGATGCTAGTTCAGCAATACATAAAAATATGCCCAACGTGCAGTCCAGTACTATCCGGACCACTAGTACTGGCTTTGGGAGAATTCCCAAATGTCATTGAGTTTGACAAGCGCATGGCAAGGTATCTATACCAATTCAACACTGAGAGAGGCTACTAACATGTTTATTAGTTATATCAAACATCTGCTTGATGAATTTAGAGATAAAGCTACAATATCCTGGAGCATGGCTGGGAAGATTGGAAAGACGCTTCTTGGTGACACTACAGAACCAGTCGAGTTTCAGTATGCATGTTTCAACCTTCTGAATAGTCATTTAGAGGCTGACTTAAGTGTTTTGAAGAGATTGGTTCAAAAAGATGTTCACATTAGAGCGGATCAATGGTCAGCTTTCGGTCTTCTGGGAAGGGAAACCCATTGCAACTGAAGAGAAGCTCTTTAAAATTTTGACAACAGCACATCAGAAATGTGAACATGAAGACCAGAAAAAAACATCAGCAGAAGCTAATGAATTGTATTCTTGATGAGTGTATTCATTGCTGTCTGAGAATATTTTGAAAAGATAATCTTGACTAACTTCAGAATTAACAGGGTTCGCGAGAAACTAATTCATGAATTCATTCATATATGCCCAACATGCAGGCTGAAATTCACTGAACGATCATTTGTATGTGGGTATGATGGATGCAAGAAAAGCTATCAACAGCTGAACTATCTGAGATGGCATCAGTTGAACCATGCACATTATACTTTCCCTTCTATTGATTCTTTCTATTGCTGATGTTAACAATAAGACAACCCTAAGGACATCTACCATCGCAACTTCCCTAACTGACTTCAATGTCACAAGTCAACAGACCCTCTGGCAACGAAGTTCCAGGCAGAGTCCTACCACTGCGAACGCATCAATTCTTCTACGGGTGAGCCTTGCAACTCCATCCTTTCCAATCCTCACTCTCTTAGAAGGCATGAAGATGAAATCCACAACCCTTGCAAGCAAAAGATGCGGTACAAAGGAAAAGACCTTTTTTGCAATGATAGCCTTGCAAAGCATATGCGGCTTTTCCACCCCGAAGGTGATTGACCAGACAAGCGGAAATGCAAGTCAACATATTCTTGATCAATCGACAAGGCACCTGCTCCAAACTACCACTACATACATGTACAATATCCCAAAGAGTAATTGTCTCTATACCAATTTTCCCTAATTCTTGTGTGAATGTGATGGATGTACGAAAAGCTCTGCTCTCTTGTATTACTATCTGAGATATGAAGGCCTTGGCGCCTCGTGACCGGTCAAGCATTCTCCCATAAGAGTTATCTCAGTAAACTCAGCCACTCCACTCCGAGCTAACCCAATCCGAACTACTGCTACTTTCTGCCAAGTCCTGCTAACATCTGAGCCAATCAACTGTCACGGGGCTTACACTAAACCTAAATGGGACATCCCCAGCAAACTCTTCGCGGAGCGTCTGAGAAAAAACGGTTCCTGTTTGTTAGCAACACGGGAACGATTTGCTCCAACCATAATGTTTGAGATAGAATCACTGTGCAACATCACTCATAGATCATTTCTCTACCACCTTGGAGGGTTAATTTTTCAATTTCCTGTCGATTGATGTAATTTTTATCTGAAAATACATATATTCTGAGTATGAAGTGTCGCGTCGAAAACTGCTACTATGATTTTGAACACGGGAACGATTTGCTAATTTTTCAACCATGATCATGTCTAGTCATCCAACGCCTTGATCTTGCCATCAAAACATCTATCCAGCCATCAGAGACTCTAGTCAAAGCACCGAGTGTATTTTCCAGCGACTTCCGGCAACTTCTGGCAACTTCTGACAACTTCTGAACTCTTGGCAACCTCACGCGGCACATCAACTTCTGACAACATCTCTGAACTCCTGACAACTTCTGGGATCTTCCGACAACTTCTGAACCAATCACATAACACTTCTTTTTGACAGCTGGGTCGGACAACGTCCCATCAACTGCATCAAATATGGCCAAGGGGGATCGAAGAAAACGCGCAAGTCAGCTACAACAGCGGCTTCAAAAGCCATCATTAAAGCAAATACTTTCAATGAACATTGAAGATATGCCACAACTTGTCATGAGCTATGCCGGACCAGATAGTATCGACAAGCAACAGGATGTTATTCAGTATTGTCTTCAACGAATACTTCAAGGCCCGCGTCCAGATCCTGAGTGTACTCTTCAGCCACGCATAGAACAAGTCCGTATACTTCGGCGCATGATATATGGATATAGCGACACTTTATTCATTGCCAGAACTGGCTATGGAAAGAGCCTTATTCTTCAATCCTATACAATTCTGACAGGAAAGATAACCATTCAACTGGTTCCTCTAAACAAGCTTGGTGATCAGCAAACAAGAGATATAGCACGGTTTCCCGGTGCCAATCCTTGTCTGGTCAGTGCTGATAATCTCCAGGGGCAAGAAGACTTACTCAAACGCATTCAACAAGGTGAGTATACACATATACTGCTCAGTCCAGAGCAAGCTCTTTGCAAGCGATTTCAGCATGTTCTTCAAGACCCTACTTTACAAGAAAAGATTGGGCTTGTAGCTATCGATGAGTGTCATCTTGTCACACAGTGGAGTCAATTCCGTAGTCAGTTTGCCAGGCTGGGGCACCTGAGATTGCTTCTTCGTGAGGATATTGTCTGGTTTGGCTGTTCCGCAACCCTCAGCAGTAAAGCTGAAGATATCATTCTTCAAGAGGCTGGATTTCGTTCTATTGGTGTAAACCCACGGCAGACTCAGGTTATTCGAACTTCCATTAACCGTCCTGATATTTTTATCGGCGTACATCCGATTCCACGCGGTAAACTTGTATCCTATGATATGTTATATTTTTTATTGAACGAGGCCATTGATACAGATGGAAAGATCATACCTCAACACATTTTAAAGACCATTGTCTTTATTGACAGTCATGTCAAGGTTCAACAAGCAGTGCAATATTTCCGATCAATACTTCTTCAGATCTGTCAGAATAACAGGCAGAATGTCAACAATACTGACACCTCTTTCATCAATGACACCATTCAGCATTTCACATCTCGAGTGTCTGAAGTGGATCAGAATATTCGCTTCGAGGAGTTCATGAAACCTAAGTCAATGGTATCCAGATCAGAATCGTGATTGAATTTTGCAAAGAAGGGAGTATTGATAAGGCATTTCAGCTCCTGTTTAAGCAAGACAGTATAACGTTGATTATCATTGAATACCCCTGCTTTGGAAAGTGCTGAATATAGTGCATTTCGCCGCTTCGTAGGAGTACTGTATCGTCGATGAGTCAAGATATCGGGACTCTGAATCCAAGCCTCTATAAAGGCCTCCATTCCCCAACTGTTTCGCTGTAATGTTCTGACAACGCGAGATAATTTTGACCGTCTTTTCTGCCGGTTATAAGGCATTGTAGGCAGGTGCTGTGGGCCACGGCGGTTTGATCGTGAACAAGCTCGCGGGGTATCGGTATCAGTATCGGTGATCTCGAATTCCGAAGGAGTATCAATAGATTCAAGCTCTGTTAAGTCACTGTCTGATGTGTCATATTCATCATCTACATTGTTGGGAGACTGTAGTGGTTGTAGAGAGGATTCATCTTCGAGTGATGAAGGATATTGGCTGGAGCGCGTCTGACATTGGGTGTCTTGAGATTCAAAAGACACGCTGTCTTTTGTCAACGATTGTGACATGATGAGAAGGGGTAGTGAGTTGTAAAATAGCAGAGATGATAGCAGAATGGCTGAGGATTTGAAAAATATCGGTTTGGTGATGATCAGGCAGATATTTAGGGTAGATGTATGATTTCGAAGTCAATCGAATATTTTGTATGGGCGGTGTTGATTTTCCACACACGATGGAACCGTTTCTTCTCAGACTCTCTACGAGATATTAGGTTGCGAGCACGTGTGAAGTCTCTTATTGGTCCAGAAGTTAGCAGGACTTGGCAGAAGTCTAAAGGAGTTTAGTTGGTCGCGCTAATCCGAAAATATCGAGAAGAGAGGCTGAGCATGCTGAGATAAGTGAGCGGAGTGATCACAGCTATCCTCACTCTGATAGCTATCTTGGCAAGAGCTATCCGAGCTATCCTCATGTATCTCAAGATGTATATAAACACACTCATTACCCTTAGGATCAAGGAGCTTATCTTCTTGATCACGATCAATTTATCTTATTCACTTTCTTACTTATTACCTTTACTTATACTCAGTTACATAGTACGACTATAAGTTCATCTTAAGTATACTTCTTCACAACACATACCTTAAGCCTTCGCCCCTATCTGTAAGCCCTACTAGATATTTTTATTGTTTACCTTAGGCCACTGCTGTAGCTATTGCTAGTCATTCTAGATATTCCTCTTGATGTTATATCTTAACCTGTGATAGTGGCACTACCTCCTGACTTAGTGAACAAGCTCAGTGTCGGAACTAACAAAGTCCGAATATTGTCCCAATTACTGAATATCAATAAAAATAATTGAATTGCTTGTTCTAACTTAGCTAATTACATGACAATTAGGCAGTATTTATAAGAAAAGCCATGCTCAAATATACACAAGAGATAGCACTTCACCCTATCTAGGTGAGGAATCCAAATCCTAAAGATGTTTGTAGAATCATATCCCACAAGATATCCAATATGAGCTCTGGGATCAAGCTTCTGTGATCGATTTCGATTGAGGATCTCATTGGGGATCTTTGCGTACGCACGACATCCGTAGGCACGTAAGTGAGCACAAGAATGCTGTTCGATATGAAGATATTCTTTTAGTGCTCGGAGGGGCGATTTCCATCCTAACATCTTGGTAGGGGTCCTATTCAGCAAGTAAACGGCAGCGATTGCTATCTCAGGGAACAGTGATTGGGGTAACAAGGATTCTATCCTAAGAGTTCTTGCTCTAGTAGTTATGATAGCACCTGCTCGTTCAGCAGCACCGTTCTGCTCATGGATATATTCCGAAGAGTATTCGATTTCTAGGCCCAGTTCAATTACCCAATCCTTGAAGGTATCGGATTCTTTGATTCCTTTCTCATTGTCGATTCGTATAATCTTTGTTTCACAATCAAACTGGCGTTTAATCCACCTTAAAACCTTAATCAAGGCTTTCCTAATATCAGATTTTCTCAAGGCTGTTACTGCGATATGGAAACGAAGATAATCACATACAAAATGTATGAGCCATCGTTCTCCGTTGTAGCAGTAGGAAGGCCCTTGTACAATATCTGCATGGAGTCGTTCGAAAGGCAGTTTAGATCGTATATGGGGACGGCGAGATATTTGATTCTTTGCTTTAGCAAGATGACAAGGTTCGCAGAGCTCTTTGTCTTCGATATCATTGCTCTTTGCTACATCTTTGATATCTGATATCTGAACCCCTTTGGCATCGGTTGGCAGATGTTCAACTGCTCTCATCGAGAGATGTCCTAGGCGTTGATGCCAAATCTTGGAGGAAGCAGTAGAGCTCTTCGCGGTGTAAGAAGGAGTTGTTGATGATTTTGTTATCTTAGTAGATTCTGCTGGATTGCTAGGTGGGGCAATATTAGCGAGCACTAAGGTGTTCTCACTAGTTCTGTGATATTCAGTAACCAGCAATCCGCCGTATACTTCTATGCGAGCAAAGATCGAATCATCGCTAATCCTCCGCAATCTGAACGATTTGCCATCGAGATAGATCCCCCCTATATGATAGCAAGGTTTCCAAGCGATCAGGCTGGTGTGAGACAACGGAACGTACGCAGCGTTCTTAAGAATTACTTTGAACTGCTTGCCGAGACTATTGGTCATGTAGGTCCAAACAGTTCCATATCCCATAACTCTTGTTGTCGAATCTCCTGTATAAATTTGCTCTTCTGACGGTTCATACGTTAGGAATCTAGATCGATTATTGCAGATATGTCGCTCAGCACCAGTATCGAATATCCAGGAATCTCGGAGATAGGGGCGTTGGTTGGAAGGAGAGCTCTCGACGTTCACATTTAGACATCTTGTCGATTGATCGACAGGTACAGTATCGGAAGTGATCGAAGATTGATCAGTAGGATGATCGTAGTGTGGGATGACAAGTGTGGATTTATTGACTGCAGATAGCAGTGCCCTCAACTGCTGAATCTTGATTTTTAAACATTGCTGGGTTTCAGCTTCTTTTTCTTGTGTGATCATTGAAGGTGCTATCTGTGAAGCCAGTGAATGCTTCTCATCCACCACCTGAAGCCTTGTCGCGAATCATATTTTAGCCTCCTCCAGAGCTACCATTGCTGATGGGAGTCCAGCATCCCGGTATGTATGTATGTATGTATAGGTTTAACGTCCCGGAGAAAACACGGGCAGCGCCCGTGTTTCAGAAGCCTCCCGAAGGGCATGGAGACGTGCTACGCTGGAGAGATTTCTATGTACACAGAGAGAGAAAACAGAATCCAGGTGGCAACTCTTGAGAAGACTCAGCTCATTGCAAAGGATTTTTCTGAGCTGCGCATCCACTTCTGGCCCGACGTATGGCCATTCATGGTGGGGCTATAGTGTGGTTCCCTGATGGGACCGCCGCTGCCGTGCCTGGAAGGCTTTATAGTGAGCAGAGAGGGATACCTCTCTCAGTTGATCAGAAAGCTGTCTGTGCTTCTAACATCAGAAGAAAGACAGACAAGATAAATAATGAAGGAGAGAGCACTGAAGAAGGTTGTGACAGGAAAAGAGCAGAGAATGACAGAGAGAGCAAAGAAAAGAAGGAAGAAGAAGCATTTGAGCCGATAGAGACAAGGGCAAACGAGAGGAAAACAAAGCAGAGCACGCGTAGATACAATGCCGGCAGTCAAAACCATATCAGCTGAGTCAGACACGTAGACTGTACTGATTACACCACAGCTAATTGAGACAGATGAGCTCAGTTGTGCTATCTGTACTGTCTGCATAGACTGTGATGTCCCTGGCAGTTGCACTAGCTACCGTGGGTGTACTCAGCAGGCCGGCCTCGTGGAACTGCTGCGGGGGTTGTCAGATGGTTTGCAGCCAGCCGGCTGCGTTACCTTGTGCAGTACCGTGTGTAGAACTGCGTGCAGTCCAGCAGTTCTACAAAGTCTGTAGGGGTCAGAGACCCTAGATAGGCAAACGCCGTCGCCCGGTTGTGTGGCCGTGCTGCTGGCCTCTTGGGCCAGTGAAGAAAGTGCCTCTGTGAGTGTCGACAGAGCACCAAATGTTCTGGGCTCTTGTTGTGTCCACAGACACAGGTGAGCCTTGCATCTGCATGCTGGAAACGCCTGTGGTACCAGGAGAAGTCCCCATGAGAGGAGCGGAGTGCGAGCCAGCGGTGAAGGGCATGCCGTGGCATGGTGAGCTCCGGAGGGGCCTTCACTTGGTACTCCACAGTCGGCCTGCTGAAACTCCAGCCCCGGTACCAGTCAGAGAGCTTGCCACAGGCTCCACTCCACCACTTTCGCCTTGCCTCTTGGCTGAGCTGCTTGGCCACTGTGCGGACCCCACTGACTATGGGTGTGGCCTCGAGACCATAGGCTGGGGCTGCAGTGGATGAGACTGCCCGCTTAGCCAAGCGGTCTGCTTCCTCATTGCCCTCTATCCCCATATGCCCAGGAGCCCACTTCAGGCCGACATTGTGCTGTCTGAGGAGCTCATGGCAGCGGTTGTAGGCCCAGTTTGAGGAGGCTGCTGCACTGCCCCGTATGCCCCAGATGACTGAGGTGTTGTCGAGGCAGAGCCAGATCTGAGGGTTGCTGCTGTCCTCTGTGACACAAGGTAGGAGCTTCACGGCGCACTCCAATGCCCGGCAGGCACCAACTGCCTCAGCGTCGAAGACATGTGACATAGGGCTCAGCGCAGCTGAGAAGCTGGCCAGCTGTTTATTTCCCTGATAGACTATGAAGCCATAGCCCACCTGCCTGCTGTTGTCAAGGTTCCGTTCTGATCCATCTGAGAAAACATATAGATCTGTTGAGGGTTGACTTCTCCACCATTCCTTGAATGCCTGAGCAGCACTCTTTTTGTCTACACCCTCTGTGGGGTCTGTCCCGCATCCCTCTGAGTAGTGTGGGATGGCAAGTGTGGGTCTATTGACTGCAGGTAGCAGCGCCCCCAACCGCTGGATCTTGGTCTTTGAGCGCTGCCGGGTTCCAGCCCCTCTTCCTCGTGTGATCATTGGAGGTGCTATCCGTGAAGCCAGTGGGTGCTTCTCATCCACCACCTGAAGCCTTGTCGCGAATCGAATTTTGGCCTCCTCCAGAGCTACCATTGCTGATGGGAGCCCAGCATCCCGGTATAGGGTAGCGATGGGCGTTGTACGGAAAACTGGGAGGACCCCTCTGGCTGCCATAGTAAGTACCTTCTCAACTGTCCCCACATGCCATCCCAGGCGGGAGCTAACCTCCCCACTCCTGCCCGTGTGCCTTGCTGGCTGCGTGCGGCCGCCGTACCAGGCCTCTGTGCCATAGAGCAGTGAGGGAACCACGCAGGTGGTGACCGCCTTCCGCAGAGCGTCTGCTGGGGGCCCGTCTCTGGTCTTTCCCAGACTCCGGATGTGCTGGGCCACGGCCCTTGCCTTCTTTGCCCGGGTGGAGACATGTGGTCTCCAGGTGAGCCTTCTGTCGAAGTGTACACCCAGCCAGCGAAGTGCTGGCTCCTGTCCAGCTGGGGCAGTAACAGGGTGAACAGTGAGATCCTCAGACACAACTACTGCTGGTGCCTCATTGTGTCGCTTTCTTGTAAGATGGATCATCTCAAGTTTCTCTGGTGCGAAGGCCACCTTGTTTATCTCCCCCCACCTCAGAATACTCTGTATATCCTGTCTGAGAAGGGTGGCATTGTTGTCAAGTGAGTGGGTCGCCCGCCAGATGTTCAGATCATCCGCATAGCCAAAGCGCAACTCCGAGTTTTGCCACAGCAGCTCTGCCAGGTACAGAAGGAACAGTATTGGTGACAAAGGAGACCCCTGTGGCGTGCCACATTGCATCTGATGTGCTGCTGTGGTGGTCCCCTCCAGCCGGACCTGAGCTCTGCGTTCAGTGAGGAAACTGTCAATGAGCTGCAGCAGCTCGCGTGGCCACCCCTGCTGCGCCATCCGCTGAAGCAGCCGCCTGCGCAGCACAGCATCAAAGGCACCCTGCACATCCATTGTGACCATGGACACTTCCTTGTTTTGTGCGAAGGCTGCCTCCACCTCATGAGTGAAAGCAGCTACCAGGTCCATTGCAGATCGTCTGGGCAGCGCCCCCCCATGCTGTGGGCTGACTATGCCGTGAATGAGTGCCGTGTAGGCCAGTCGCCTTGCAATGATGCGTTCCAGCCCTTTGGAGATTACTGAAAGCAGGGCAATGGGCCTCCAGGAGCGGACTGAGCTTCTATCTCTCTTACCCACCTTGGGTATCATTGCCACCTCTGCCAGTTTCCAGGCTCGTGGGAAGTGGCAGAGCCGGAGGCAGCAGTTGTATAGCTGCTGTATAAAGAGAGACACATGCTGCCAGCATGCTTTGAGCATCCGCACTGTGATTCCATCCGTGCCTGGGGAGGTGCTCTGTACCCCAATGGTGTTGCGCTCCATCTCCTCCATCCCAACCCGGGGGTTCCAAGGCAGGTTCCCCATGCCGCTCCAGTGCTCATCATCCAGTGGGTCATACTCCAGATCATCAGCTGAGTTGTATCGCTTCAGAATTGCTTGTTGAAGTGCCTCAGCTTTGGCGGCTGTCTCTTCTATGACCTGATCCCCAATCACCAGAGGGGGTGCTCTGAGGTTGGGTTCCAGCTTATGCCATGCCACCACCCGGTACAGGTCTCTACCATCTCTGGCCTCATTGATCACCTGCCTCCAGTATGCACGCTTGGCCTTGCGCACTGCATCCTTGAACTGGTGCTTCGCGGCCTCTGTCTGGTGAGTGGTGAGCTCTCGGTGCGCTCTTCGGCAGTCTGCTGTCCACCAGGGGGCTGTGGTCCGCCCTTGTTGAGCTGGCTTACTGACTGCCTGAGCTGCAGCCAGAAGACTCTGAGTGAAGTGCTGGGCCAGATCATCAAGCTGTGCCACATTTCCAACCCCCTCTGGGCAAGGCATGTCCACCATGAGACCTCTGACAAGATCTGCAAAGGGCTCCAGCTGAGAGTCTGTGATCTTGATCCGAGCATCACTCAGCTGTGTTTGAGGTGTTGTTGGCAGCATAGTGATCATAGACTGGTGATCTGAGCCGCAGTGTAGATCTTGACGCACTGTAGTGGAAGCAAAGGCCACATTGGAGAAGGTGAGATCAATCACATGACCTGCTGCATGAGTCGGAACCCCTATCTCTCCCACAAAGTCCATCCCATGTTCACTGGCCCATTGGACAAGCTCCCCGCCCCGGTGCAGATTCACTGCCCCTGGTTCAAAGGCATCATGCCGTACGTTGATATCCCCACCTATCAGACAGCGGGCTGGTGGGCTCAGATTGGTCAGATAGTCCATGACTGCGTCTGTCCCAGGCTGTCTGTACACATTGAGAATGTGGCAGCCATTTACACTGACCCATAGCAGATCCCTGCTTTGCACAGACCGGTGTTGCTGTGCCCTTGTCTTTGAGCCCTTGCGTACATATGTCATGACCCGGGGCCTCTCCTCCTCTCGCTGCTCCGGGTTAGTGTCATCCCAGCGGTCTATAGGCGCAAAGCACTCATACGCTGGGTGGTTAGAAGTCTTGGTGCCAGGGTGTGTGTATGGCTCCTGTATACAGACCACTTCACAGCCCTGCTCGAAAGCAAGCTGCAGAGCTGCTGTGTGACAGGGGGCTGCCCTGGCCGTATTTGCCCAGAAGACCTGCAGGGGGCGATTTTCCTGCTGGTTGTTCCTGCGGCGCCAGCCGCGTCGCTGGTGTTGGTGTCCTAGCATGAGGAGTCACTTGGTGAGCTGCTGCCGAAGTCCACCTGCGGGATGAGGTTGAAGACCTCCAGACCTGCCATCTGCATGCTGGAGTCAGACTGTTCTTTAGCTGCTTGGCTGTGCTGCCGCACTGCTGTGCGAGCTGAGCGTCGCCTGGTGCGGGCCACCTGCCAGGTGGCACCCTCCTCACTGATGGAACTCTGAGTAGCCGCCCGCTTGCGGGGTGCTAGCCCAGCGGGCTGTGTTGACTGGGTTGACTGAGTGGTTGGTGGAGGTACCACCACTGCGACCATTGGTGCTGGCTGTGCTGGCGGCGGTTGTCGCTCCTGAGCATCCCTGTGGCACCTGTCGCCAAGGCGGCGAACAGCTGCTAGCTCTTTTTGAGTTAGGCGCCTGAGGGTGCCATTCACGCGCCTGGGTGCGGCAGGCAGTGCTGATGCCCAGCTGGGTAGGGTTGGCAGCAGTTGGCACATCTTGGCGCTCTCTTGCACTCCGCGCCTGTTGGCCCCTCATGCTGGCTTGTGGGCTCACTGCAGTTGGAGCATCTTGCCAGTCGCGCACACTTTGGTGGGTGGCAGAACCCCTGGCATCCTGGGTTATGTCTCACTGTCAAAGGCCGTTTCTCAATCAGCCTGGCCCTCTCACTGGCATTGAAGAGTGAGAAGCCTTTTACCGGGGCAAGGAAGGAGACAATCCATGTAATCTTCCCTGTCTTGGGGTTCACCCCATGACGCGAGGGTCGACAGCTCACTGGCTTTACCTTTGCCTGAGCCAGAACCTCTCCCTCAATCATCTTGTCTGTGGGGATTCTTGCCCCTTCCCAGTCCTGGACAAATTCTGGGACCCCTGGGACAGCATAATTATACCACCGCTCTGGTAGCCGGATCTCCGTGGCGCCAAGGACTTCACAGAGAGTAGCCACTGCCTTCTCAGTGGTCAGAGCGTCGCGTATGCCTCTGTCGCTTGGTGTGATCGCCCAACCTGTCCTGGTGGGCTCCACCTTCGGCACATTGGCCACATCCCCCACCCCCTGAATGTTTGCAGCGATTGCCTGCCGCACAGCATATGGCTGTAGCCGGGCGACCCGTTTCTCTGGCTGGAGGGTGACGAGGACTCGTGGGTCCTCTTGCTGTTTTGTGCCCCCTGTGGGGCCCCCTGGCTGACTGGCGCTTTTGGGCTGCAGGCTAGCTCCACTAGCCCTGCCTGCCGAGGAAGCCGCAGTCTTGGCAGGGGCAACCCCAGGGAGGGCAGAGTTTTTCCCCCTCTGAGCAACACCCGCCCAGGTAGTCGGCTCCCTCGCAGCTGTCTTTGCTGCATTTGGCTGCGGATGAGTACCCGGGGCAGCACCCCCTCTCAGAATTGATGCTGCACTCAGATCTGCTGTCACATACTTGACAAACCTCTCACAGAAGATTCGGGCAAAGTTCTGACTGACTGGCTGCTTCTCCTCCTCAACCCAGCTGTCCAGAGTCTTCGCCAATCTGATGAGAGCCTTCTGCTGCAGTTTCTGTTGCTGTTGAGCCTCCTCAAACTGCTTCTGCAGCCGAGAGGTGGCCGTGGGGATGCTGTCGCTGGCTCCTTTGAGGACTGGGGGAGGCATTGTGACAGTCTTCCTCTGCCTCTTGCCAGCCTTTCCAGCGACAAAATTGGCCGGTGACTCCGGCTCCAGTGGCCTGGTGTAGGCCGTTTCGATGTCCTTGGGCGGACGGGAGGGCGTTGAGGGCTCCATGACCACTCAACCTGTGCAGTACACACACGTAGAGAGATCGCAGAGGGCGTGCGATGATATTGAACGGGTTGGAGGGTTAAAATTATACGAAAAACAGTTGGAAAAGTGGAAAATTCAAATGTACCCCTACGTTCGTGGGTAGTTGTAAGGATAGCTATTGAACCTATACATACATACATACATACATATATTATTGATTCTTGACAAATTAGAAAAGAGTCAGAAGTTTTCAATGCTGAATTATTTGCAATTTCAAGAGCTTTTAAATTGGTTGATATGAAGATTGAACAATGGAAAAGATTTGAGAATATTTGAATATTCTCTGATAATCAAGCTAAGCTTAAAAGACTTCAAAGTAATAAAATCAGCAATGGACAGTCAATGCTAGAGCTGATTTTGAAAAGTTTTTAAAATATTCAAAGAAAAATCTTATTCAATTGTTCTATTCATCTTCACTGAGTGCCTGCTTACATGGGTATACATGGCAATGAAATAACTGATAAAGCTATAAAAAAAGCAGTTGAATTAGAAGTCTGCTTTTAAAGAATTGTAATATGAACTTTTAATAAGAGAAAAATAAGAGAATCATGTTTACAAAAATGACAAGATATCTGGTTTTTACAAAAAAAGAGTGTACATTATTCCAGGTTTGAAACTAAACCAAAATAGAAAGCTTGCTCAATAAAATATAAAAAGAAACTATTTGCTATAATAATGCAGCTAAAGCTTGGACATGATTATTACATGTATTAAATTAACTTTGTATATTAGCTTATTCTTAAGTTGAAAAATCCTGGAGTATTTCAGGTAGATATTATAGTCACTGACTGCATATATCTATAATGAAAGAATAATAATAATAAGAAGAAGAAACTAAGAGCTATAAATGATAAGCAAAAGAGAAAGTAAGAGAAAGATTGTACATATATAATTTAGAATGATGTTAAGAGTTAAAGAAGAAATAAATCATATATGAAATGTCAATGAAGAAAAAAGAGAGAGGATAAAGATTTCTGACTTTCAACCACAAAAATGTGCAGCATCTTGATGTAGTAGATGTGGTACTATTGAACATACTGCTTATACATGTGAAAGCAGATTTGTAAATAATTTTTAATATAATTAATCTATTTTTCTTACATGTTAGTTGTGATATTTGATTATAAAGATTTAAAATGATGAAAAGTAGCCGACTCACTTGTGTGGCCGACTCGCTTGTGGATTATGTTATTGATCTTCCACAGTGATGGTTTCTCTACCTTTTTTTTCATTTATAATATCTTCATCATACTCATCAACTTCATTCATCTCTTTATAATAATTCATGAAATTATGAACTGTTTTTAATGCAAAAATCAAATCAATTTATATAATTATTGAGAATTTATTTTTTGCTCAATTATATATTTTAAATCATTGTTTAAACACTCTGAAGACATACTCAATTATATTTTTCCAACTGATATGATAAAGATTATACAGTTTTAAAGTGTTGACAAATTGTGATTTTATTTTTTCTCATTTCTTGAAATGATATCTAATTTCTGAATAAAAAATTAACATTAATTTGAATTTCTGTAAATACTCAGCATCTATTAAAAAATAGTTGTCTGATTCAGATAATATACTTTCAAATTGATCATTCTTCTGAGTCTATGCAATAATGTGACTATTTTGAGATGATCTCTCCATCTCAGAATAGATATATATAAAGTTCATATCATAATTGCAAATAGTAAAAATATTTTGAGATATTCAACTCTTTTAATTTCATTATACTGATTGCTGATTAGAAAATATTAAAATAAAAAGAAGAGTATTATTCGGAGTTTTAATACACTCTTTGAAGAATGATCAATATCATACATTTGATCTGAAAATCTTCTTATTATATTTCATCAAAGATTCAGATAGTTTGATATAATGTTATATAAAATATACAAAATATATTCAAAATCTTATAAAACATTCTATTTATTATTAATGAATATTTTATCTAGTAAAACATTGTTTATATATTATTTATCTAGATATTGTGTCAAGAGAATGATAAAACATCTCTACAGCATTTCAATAACTCACATTTTAAATTATTATATATAAGATGAGAAGTTTCTACTCAATTTCTATAATGTTTATTGTGTTGAATTTATGAATATCAGTATATCTTCTCAATCAATCAACTAATTCAATGAATTTATTGACACTCATTCATATCATATTTTTGATACATAAAAAATAAGATGTAGAATTCAGAAAATTAATGATAAATTGAATTTTATGAAAAGAATCAAAATATATAATTCATATATTAAATGAGACAGTGAAAATACTTTGATCAACAACTTCTGTCACTGCAAGTTTTATTAATTATTGTTTATAATATATATACTGTTGTATTGTCTTCTGAGTTGCATTCTCACTGTTGCTTGTTATGATACTGATGTTTTTTTTTTAATTTATAACAGACAGCCAAAACAGCTCTGAATCAAAATCAAAATATTAAATGATTTATTCTACAATATACAGACTCTGATTAATCTAAATAAATTTAATTTCTTTGATTTTTGTATTAAATACACTGTCAAGCATTATTATCACATCAGTGAAATCTGTTATATGAGTTTCATGGTTATCTTGGCAATCTTGACATATTACATGCTGTTGTACGTGAAATCGACTGAGCACCACATCAAGTCTGTACAGATAAGCCCATGCAACAGTGTACAGTGACACAGAGTCCCATTTAGCTGACACTGTACAGACTTATACAGCTCTGAACGGGGTCACTGAACAGGCCCTAAATATTTACTCTTTAACCTATTCATGAAAATAAGAAATATATAACGCCATAGAGACTGGGTCTGAGTTTGAATTATATATTTTCTCGGTGTTGGTTATTGGGCAATTGCAAATATCACAATTACACTGTATAGATATCCGTTATCGCTGTAAATATAAAGGCATGCTCTTGGTTCAGAGCAGTCCATTTCTCCGATATCATCCTTGAAATATCAGAATATACGGGCATGCAGTTAATGGCGAAGCTTTATCAGTCTTGGAAAAGGAGTAGTCGCAAATGTTAAAATGCAACCAAACTCCATATGAATAGACGTATAAAAGTGTATATAAACCTATCAAAAAGTCAACTATAGCTAATGATATACACACACGATGATAAGTAATCATCCACTCGACAACTCTCATATGCGTATGTACTAGATATAATCACCTTGGTTAAAGGGATAAGGTAAGGAGGTATTTGTGGCAAATAATTTCTTCCTAGTAAACATCTTCCGGATTGACTAAAAAGTCCTCTCCGTTTTCACGGGTGTGTTTGAGATCTTTGTCCCGACTGAGGGGTTTTCGCATATCGAACGCATCTTCCCCTTCCTCCGACATACCTGTCGGGTCGTCACTGTAATAATTAACCACGCGTCTGAAGACAGAGTATCTGAGAATAATGGTAAAAGATGAAGTTAGCTAGAAGTAATAACGATAAAGATAGAAGCAGCAAGACGGAAAGCGTACAACGACGTACCCCATTCCTTTGTACATTCCCACTGCAATCGTATTGCCAGCCCGCACATATAAATCCACAAACCACGCATCATTTATATCCGACGCCTGTTCCAGGCTTTCTGTCAGTCGTCGCGCATGTCCCAATCTCCGCCAAGCCGGCGCAATTGTTAATACTGTAATGTGGCCATGCCATGGTGTGTAGTGTTCCGAGTGTCTCATTGACGAATGTTGTGCTTCAAGCTTGCCCATAACTATGTTTTAGGAAAGTAAAAGAGAAAATAGCTGTCAGCAATTTACATGCCCAGGAAATCTAGATACCATGAAATCATGGCAGCCACTGATGGATCCTTCAATCCCCATCTTTCTCTCCATCAGCTACCTTTTTGTTAGAACACACGTACTATAGCCTATTATTTGGCCATCTCGGTCCTCCACAACGTTGAAGAGCGAGGGCCATTTCATTAAGTAGCTGAGATAAAAATGGAGATCATAGTTTTCTGTGAGCGCATCGAGGTTGGTTAGGTTGAGGGAGAAAAGGTCGACGGGGGTCATGCGCCGGATGGTGGCCATGGTCGATATGGAGCGCTAGCTTGACCTGTCTATGCCTCTGCAGCGTCGCGTTGTACTATTTATTTAACGGAAACGGATTTTGAACTGATTGAAGAGCTGTGATGGGAAAACTTGATGCAAGCGGAAATATGGTAGTGGACCCGAATAGCTCGGCGCGATTCAGATATATTGCAAGCTCCTCCGCGCGATAGCCTGTCAATATCAATATAAAAATGCCGAGCGGTTTTAACGTGAAACAAACCAAATCTACGGTTAAGTTAATCTCCCAATGATAGTTAAGGTTAAGCACTTTGAAGGTGAGTTCGGGCGAAGTCACGGGACCAGTCCCAACTTGGCAAAATGACAACAATCGAAAGGAGTCGACAAACAACTTTTGATGTTGGATAAAAGAATAAATATCCCGCTGTTATTCGGTGCTCTGCGTAGAGTACGACCTGGTGTGTTTCCTGTCACCGTCTTCCATGTGGCACAGGGAACCGCTTTTGGATACTCAACGCTTTGACTGGAATCCAGCGATGTCCATTCGTGGAGCTTGTCTCGCTGTTAATGTGCTGGCAGCAATATCAAACTAACCCCTACCTTTAATTCCGGAGCCACGCCTAGTCCGGGCCCGGCTTGCATGGCTTGCATGGCTGACAGTGCCTTGGGAAGAAACAAGAAAATAAAACAAATAACAAATTACGGGAACAAAAAGCGCGATTTTTCTCTACATTTTATATATACGTAACATCCATTCAATACTTCCTCTCTAAATGCGTGGAACCTGAAGTCCGCCCTCCTGTCACTAGCTGCTACTCCAGTCCCTCCGTGTCCCACTATATTCCATCTTACGTTGCGCCGATATGTCACCGTCTTCTCCTATGTCGCCGTCTCGAAAGCGCGGAAACCCGTCCCACCTAGACCTTTCTGTGTATTCCAAACCTCTGGCACCAAATGGTTTCGGCCACAGTCCTCTACAGTCACCACTGACCCCGAGATACTCCGTTCCTTTATCGCCCATGAGCCCTCATCGACGTAGCTCAGAGGCGATGGATAAATCTGCGAGGTTTTCTGCGGAGTTTACTATCCAGGGTGACTCAGGAGGAGGTGGACTGGGGAACTTGGCAGACGAACTAGCAGATGCATGGGACGAGGATGGAGATGGTGAAGAAGGTGAAGAAGACTTATCTGGATTCCAGGAACGAAACGATCATGTCCAAATACCTGACGAGGAGGATGCATCGTCCCGGTCGCGGGATACCTCCGAGAGCGATTCAGACGCTGAACGCTTGCGGGACGGAGAGTCGAATCGAAGTAGTTTACAGATTCCGAAGCAGAGATCGAAAACAGGGCAACATCAGAAACACCATCGGCATGAACCTTCGTATGATGGTTCGGATTACGGGAATGACTCGGATTTTGAGGAACCTGGCGATCTTACGCCAGGACTAGAGAAGCAGATGGCGGGGATCGAAAATCTTGTTCGATGGAGCATGGGAGACAATCTACCCTCCGGAAAAATTGTCGACCGAGTTGTCGAAAGCTTGCGGGACCTAGGAGGTCAGAGTGGGATTGAAAATAGCGCTACTAGGTGCCTCCCCCTATTAATGCGTAGTGTCTGTGGCTGTTATCTGCTCTATACCCGCTTCATTGCTAACAACTCATTCAAGACTGATTACTGCACACGCATCTCTTGCCTCGCATCTAACGTCCCAGATACGTGCGTTACAAACCCTCACTCATCCACTTCTCTTCTCGCGTTTTCCTACCTTATCCTCCGAAGCAATTGAGGACCTCGTCCCTCTAATTGACGACATACTACCAAATCTCCCTTTTCCTGTGTCCCAATCCTCCCATCCCCCAGAGCCCCAAACTTTCCATGACGATGCCCTCCACTCTCTTCGAGCCCTCCTCTCCCAAACATCTGACCTCACCCACGCCCTTCGTGCTCTCAATGATACCATTCACGAATCCCGCCAGCTTACCTCAGCGGCAGCACGACGGCTGAAGTCCGTACGTGAACTGGTTGCAGAGATGCGTCGGGAAGAAGAGCGGCGAGAGGAGGGGACAAGATGGATTGAAAAAGGAGAGTGGGACCGGCGATTACAACAACGAGAAGCCGGAAGGGTGTGCGGGGATGTGGTGAGTGGGTTTGAAGCTGTTTGTGGAGAATGGAGGGCTCGACTCTTTGGGCCCGAAGTTGCCGCTGCATAATAGATCTATTTGATTTTTTTCGTTCTCTATTTGCCTCTTGCTTTTATATTTTTCTTGATCTCAACCCATTTTAAATTTCCTTTGTTTACTCTTTCTGTTTCCGTTGGTTGCCCATTGGCCATTCCATATATACCCGCATAATGTCACCTCGCAATGGTTACACACATAGACATGCCCTTTGCCCTGTAAAATTGGTTTACTGGAGTCGATACCTTTCATATCCTATCTATTCTTTATTTTCCATCCCCCTTCACACGCCCTTCACACTCCGCACCCTCTCGAAATAGGATATCTATATAACTATATTGTTGGGAATGACATACTCTAGTATGATGTATCCAAAAATCTGCCATTTATACCAATCAAGGAAGCATAATTACCTTCCATTCTCGCCGCAACTTCATCCAGTCGACAAGATATACAAAGCCAGGCTCACGGCGATGACCAAAAGTCCCATCCCACTCAATCATCATCACATTCACAATAGGCACCTTAGCCAATGCCTTTCCATCCGCCAACATAGTTTTTCGGCCCAGGTTCGTTCCTAGAATAAGGTATAGCTCCTATCCCTAACAACGAGAGCGCAATGAATCCGATCTTGCTGTTCAACGCGGGTGCCGCGTCTACTAACTTTCGCTCCTGAGCATTCCCCCCTAAACTCCTCTCTTTCCCCGCAGAGCTCTCTGATCCGCTCTCCTAGAGAGTCAGTGATGTTAAAGGAGTATGAAGGCTTCAGTTCCAGGTCGAGAAACGCTGCTTGGTATTTTGTTGCGATAATTCTGCCCAGTTTTGCACATCAACCATTCGTCCTCGAAGAGAACCCGTATATTTGTGAAATAAAGCAGCCTTGTTGATAGAACCACTTCCTGCTGTATGTCCACCCGCGCGTATCCCATGCGTTCTAGAGGTCGTCCACAACTTCTCGAACGATATTGGTAATTCGCAAACCAAGAATGTCTTCGCGATCATGGACTGGCTTTCCCTTCCGACGGTTGAACGCCGGCACGATTCCAAAATCCATATCACCCTACTTACTAGGCTGCGATAACCCCCTCTCTGTGCCCAAGAGAAAAAATACCATCTATTGCCTCGATCTGATTTTTTTTTTTTTCTTTTTTTTTCTTTTTTTTTTTTTTTCCTTACCTGCATCCTGAATTATGCAAAACTTGTCTACAAACAGATACCTCCGGCCCATCTGAAGGTACACCGTGATTGCATCCGCTATCGTCCTAGGCATTTTTGATACCAGGAGACTGCCATTTTTCTTCATCACATCAACCGTGGCATATGTATCTGCAAGCAGGGACGATGGTTTTGTGATCCAAAGATTTGACATTCCATCTCCATCGGAGTAACTGACATAGATATCTGCCGAAGGAACCTCCAGTGCCTGGTTTTGTGGGGGTCCAAGATGAAAGACAATATCATAACTTCTCTCCCATTGAGATGTATTAGAAGGATAAAAGTAGCCGGTTGCTATGTGTTGTTATTGTGAGTAGTGGTCCATGTAGGATCGCAAAAATAGATTGAAAAATTTTCAGTCCGTCTAATTGCAATATAGAAACATGCTGGTACTACTCCATTTGAATTAAGACAGTTTGAGTGAATGGTACGACTGCTGTATTGTTAGACATATGCCTACAGCTGCTGCTCGAGATAAAAGAGAAAAAGGGAAATTGAAACATGCGAGATAATAAATAGGTAAACATAACAAACCAGAGAAATGTATGACAATTTTTCTCTTCCAATCATTCAACTCTCTTTGCATGAACCAAAAAAGGAGATAGCAACTTCACTTTCCCATCATCTATCCATCTCATCGCGATTATCGTCTCTCACAACGGGGAGTTTCGCCTCGAATTTGAAAACAACGTGTAAACCGGGCAAGAGGGCAAAAGAATAACGGTTAAAATTTGGCCGTTGTTCAATAGACGAGCGATAGACATACGAAAAATACGAAAAAATACTTAAATATTAAATCATCCGATTTCCCATGGCTCGCAAAACTTTAGAAAAAAGAAAGAAACAGAAAAATACCAAGATGTGAAACATTTCTGAACAAGTTGAAAAACTCAAGAAATTAAATAAACTAAAAAATCGAAATCCCTCTTGCCCTCTCGTGTCATCGGTCGGTAGACCATATTTCCCTCCTACTGTTGTTGTTGTTGCTGTTTGAACTTGGGCCTCCATGCCTGCATTCCGCTAGGGGGTGGGTTAGAACCCTCGCGAGTCTCAGGCGCAGGTGAGGACGGTGCTGGGCTTCTGGAGAGTGATTTGGGAGGAGGAACAGTTTCCCGGTTAAACCGTTGAGGCATGCGTTCACCGTTGGCAGAAATATCCCGGCCAGCAACGGCCCGTCGCTGTGGAGGAACATATCCGCCTGTTGTCCGGGGAGGTGGAAGCTCTTCCTTGGCAGCGGGTGCTGCTCCCTCAGTTGGGGGAATTGCAGAGCCGGCCGCGGCCTCCGCCTCCTTTGCAGCCTGACGCTCTCTCCAGGTAGGGCCGGCACGCCCGACGAGGTTAAGCCTGGGAGCAGTGCGCTCCGTAGATTCAGTGCGTTCCATGCGAACGGGAACAGCACCAGCTTTGCGAGCCTTGAGTTTGGCCTCGGCTTCCTCTTCTCGCTTCTTCTGAATCGCGGCTTTCTCATCGAGTATTCTAACAAGGGTATTAGTTAACTGTGCAAAGATGCAGTCAGACATGACAGCAAAACCATACCTTCGCTCTTCCTCTCTTGCGGCCTTTTCCGCAGCAAGTTGACGGCGCCGTTCCGCATCCCGAGCAGCCTTCTCTTGCTCCTCTCGTTCGATACGCTCCTGCTCCTCCCGTTGGCGTCTCTCCTCCTCTTCCCGTTCCATACGCTCGCGCCGCAAACGTTCCTGAACTTCCTTGATCCGCTGTCTCTTCTTATTCTCGAATTCCCTCTCTGCAGCCTTACGATTCTTTTCAAATTCCACATGTCGTTTCTCTTGAAGGTTCTTTCTGAAATCATTGAAATATGGTACTAGACGACCTAGACGATGCTTGAGGGCAACATCTTCCTTATGCTTCAGCTTGGCAGCGGCTAGGGTATCCGCTTTGTTCTTCTCATAAACCTCGAGATCAAGCTTCCTTTGTGCTTCGTAGTCCGCAGGCAGGTGCTTAAGCTCCTCCCGACGATACGCTCGCTCCAGGTGGTCAATACGCTTGGCTGTTATTCGGACGCGGTCGTTCAGCTCATTTTTCTCCTTCTCAAGTTGAGCCAACTTGATGTGTCGAAGGCTGTTGCTATCCAATTCGTCCAAGTTGATCTCACTAACATCGATGCCCTTGACTCCGGTCTTAAGCTCCTCAAGTTGTTTCTTCAACTCTTCTTGCCGAATACGGTCTTTCTCGTCCTTCATCCGTTTGCGCTCACGCTCAAGGTGTTCATCATGCAATCTGCGTTTCTCGGCTTCTTGGAGTTGCTGTGTACGAATACGCTTCTGTCTCTCCTCCTCTTGCTGTTTCCTCTGGAGTGATTCTAATGCTGCTTCCTTCTTTTTCTCAATAATAATTCTACGAGACAGAGTATCCTCGTGTTCCTTCGCGGCACCAGCCTTGGCCTTGGCGAAAGCAATTTGCTTGGCTTGGATGCGAGCTTGGTTATATGATGGGTCGACATACATGCAGGTGAGGTGAAGAGTTTTGGCTAAACGCGTAAGTTGAGACCTGGCGATTTCAGCGGGTGTGCTTTGGAGTCTTTGAACGGATCCCACTTCACTTTCAGCGGATCCAGCAGCACTGCCAGGATGCATAGCCTTGGCAGAGGAGAAAATATCGGAATCAAAAGTAAGGACGCCGGAAATATGATCAACACGAATAGCCAAATCACCTTTCTTGCAGCCATTCATGATGAATTTCTCGATCATTGAAGTGGTAACCTGGAATGGTTCTGGGAATTGGGCAAGCTCATGGACAAATTTAACTTCAACAGATTCGTATACCTGGGAGAGTTGTTGGAAAAGTCTTGTGAGGATGACTTGTTGAAGGGGAAGTACGTATTTTTCCATTTCGGGGTCGGCGCCAATTTGAATGAGGATGGGGGAGATTTTTTTGCAAATAGACAGTGGGTGGAAATCGACTTCCAGGATGTTGTACAAGTCCCGGATTTCTGGGCGGCAGCGAGTAAGTAATCCCTTATTCAAAGCATCTTTGAAAAGACCTGCCCGAGTTGGAGCTTGAGGCATGCCAAGAAGATTGGTCAAACGGGTATTTTTGTTCTTCCGCACTTCATCAACATCAACGAGCGCTCCGCGAGAGCGCGAAGTGCTAATGACTGGAATCGACAACGCTGAGAGAAGAACAAAAGAAGCGGTCTTGGTCATCTCAGCTTCGGAAACAACCAGGTTGTCCTTCTTTGAACCTGGTCCTGCACCGGAAGATTGGCGTAGGAGATTATAGTAACGGCTCCAAGCTGCAGCGTGAAAGAGGTAGTTTTCGCTGACCAAGAAGATCCGAGTGAGTTTTTCATAATAATTGGCCATCATGATATTCTTGGCTGGTCTTTTGCTGAGGTTGAGAAGAGTGTGGATATCTTCAACGCTGCGGAAACCCTCTTGCCACAATTCTAATTCAACAGCGACGTTCAGTTGTTGAAAACGGGTATCTAAATGGCGCTGCAGAGTTTCTGGGTCACTCAGGTTGATGGCGTGCATCTGGCTGGAGTATTTTGCTGCGTTCTGAACATGGTTGCGGAGCAGCTCACACAGACGACGGAACTCAGTCTTGCGAGTGTACTTCAAGCAAAATTGGAAAGCTTGGAGGGCAGTTGCTTGATACATAACCTCCAGACGTGCATTGTTCTTCAAGATCTCAAGAACAGTGCGGTATGTCTCCCACAAGAATTTCAACCATGGTGTAACAATGGCTCGATCGGTTCTATCACGAGATTGCTCACCAGAAACGGTTGCTAGAAGAATAGTCTCAGGCGTCTCGATAGCATCAAGATCTTCGATGTTTGTTGACGGCGCAGCAGATTCGAGGGACGATTGGATCTCATCAGCTTTAGCCTGGGCTTCTGTAACTTTTTGCTCCGCTAATTCAATAAACTTTTTCAAAACCATCTATATTCAAAAAGACACGCAAGTTAGCCGTAAGTGTCCAAAAACCGGTTTTGTTGCCATTTAACGATATCATCAATTCCTTCCCAAGTAGTCGGAAATATTTGAAGTATGTTCTAATAAATAATAAACGGGACATGTAGCAAATACAAAAAACAAAAAGCACCTACCTCAATGGTGCCAACATTGCTATTTTGCGCAATGTTCTTATATTGATAAAGGCCATCCTTTGCAGATTTTCCTTTTCGTAGATCCACACATAATTCGACGAAGAGAATCATAACCGGCTCGAGACTTGCAATGGGACTATTGCGTGATCGTTTGGAGGCAACTTGTTCGTGGAGAACCGTCAGCGCAGCCTGCTGCTGGCCAACAGCGATGAGCTCTTCAGCTCGCTATCCAAAAAGAAAGGATTAGTTTTGTAAGCCCCAAATACTCCATCCCCAGATAGGAATATATCTTACCCTGAGAACATTCTCAGGCCGGATATGTGGTGGAGGCGGCATATTGGGCAACCTCCCCGTAAACAGCGGACAAAGGGTGGATTAGGAAGGAAATCTCAAAGCAGTCAATTTAACAAGGGTGTCCTTCTGCTTCCCATAGAGTGACGGGGGACAGGTTCGTGAGTCTCGATAGAGCACACGCGTGCAGAGTATATCGAGGCAGTCAGCGATGCTGTGAAGGGTCCCCTAGAAACGCAGAGGGATTTGGAGTTTCTGTCCGGTGATGGGGTTTAGCTTCTTTGTGGTTGTGCGAACGAGAAAGAGAAGGCGAAAATTGTGTGGGTTCCAGACTGCGGCTCCGCTTCTTTACATAAGCGCGGCGCTAGCGGTGCAACTATCACATGACATCACGCTCAAGAGTTCAAAAGGAACGACGACGATGAGAGCTTGAATATAAATTCTAGAGGAAACTCACGAAGATAGTTTCGAGTGAAAAGGGAATTAGAAATGTCCTATATATTAAATTCCTACGGAGATATGCCCGTGCACATCAAACCACGATATATATAAAAAAAAAGGGGTGAAGAAATTGAACATAACTTGACTCAGCGTTCAGGGTTGAAATTGCATAGAGACAAGAACATGTGAGAATACCTCTTCCATCCAAAATGATGCTTTGCAAAAATCCATTCAGGTAGGGGTAATCAGAAGTTTCAGTCCATCGCAATACCAGCTAACCAATGCCGTCCAATAAGTTCGAGAATATACCTCGTTCGCCCAAGTTTGAGAATAAATGGACTCCCTTCTAATGTGCAGCATACGGGAAGAGAGTATGGCCATGGATAGAATTATATTTATTGGGGGGCTGTTCAGCTTTCAGCAAAAAGTGATCGGGGGATGGTTTTCAATGACCGAAACGGCTTCTCCCAAATGAGTTCCAGATCGCTGCCTTGTCGTGCTTGCGAACTCCGGTTCACAAAATAATGGTTATTGGACCCGCTCAGTCCTAAGACGGGTCAGCATCATCCTAATGCATTTATTTGCCAACCAAGAGTTGATGTCAATCCAAGCGTTTCAATATGGCCGACTTGATATTTTTGGTTGCGGTAGCATGGACGATTCCGACCATAACGCTTTGCTTTGAGCCATGTTGGTGACTGGTGAAAAGATCCGGCATGGAGAAGCAGGGCAGCTGTGACGGCGAAGCTAACAGAGTATAGCAGTGTCGACTCGCGAAAGCTTCAGATTTCACACAAAAATGACTCCACGCATTCCAGTGCACTGAAATGGCAATCGATCAATCGTAGAAGTTTGTCACAAAAAAAAAAAAAAAAAAAAAAAAAAAAAAAAGGATGAAGAAGGAGAGAGAGAGAACCACATTTTAAGTCAATTGAAGAGGGCGGTTTACCAACAATTTCCCCGTTTGAATTCTCTGGGCTTTTCTTATATATATGTATATATATATCCGCCATATCAAATGACGGTTCTAAAACATCTGCTCCCTCCCCGCAAAACGATTGTGGTAGAGCATTCAGCGTCAGCTAACCTTCTGCATGCGCCGATTAATCCCTTTTCGCCTGAGTTAAATATACTCAGGGTTAGGGATTGACTAGGGTGTGTTCTGCGCAATAGATGCCATCTTGACGAATCTGTCAATAAGCTAGGATGGCATTGAGAAAACATGCGATTGGAGGCTGAAACCAAAATTTGGAGTCATTGATAGAGTAATTCAAATTAACTGCGAAAAGAAAAAGCACAATTGTACCGAATCTCATTGCAGAGAAGGAAAAGGCGAGGAACTTGAGAGTCGGGGTAGCCGTTTTTGAAAACGTTCAATCTCAGAAATAGGCAAACTATCCATATTGCGCCCTCATATCTCAAATAGATGATAATGCGAAAGAGCCTTTTTCTCCAAAGGGTACGCCGTATTCTCTAAATTAATCAATGTGGGCAAAATAAAGGAGGGGGAAATGCGTTCAAAATTACGAACTTGCAGCCAGGACAGTTGAGAATTTTATGAATCATTCATTATATGCCCCTCCTGGAGGATCCATTCTGCTGCTCAGTTAGGAAATGAAGCAAACAGTCTGTGCATCGTACAGAACTGTGAGGGGGGATTAAAACCAAATGATTCCTGGGTTGAATTATTGGAGAGTTTAGTTGTAGGAACAGAGTCTACGGATGACGTCAAAATAGGCTCGATATACTTTTTGCAAAGACGCCCAAAGTTATTTCAATATCTTGAAGCCATGGAAGATAAAAAAATAGGCAATATAAAGAGCCTTTCTTACTTTCACTATCCGTCGCACTTTGTCATTGCTTCTCCGAAATCTAGTTCATGTTTGCAATTCGCCTTTCAAGCCTCACTATAGTGAGTTATTATAAAGTGCCTTATATAACCTCTTGAATAAAATATGTTGAATTGAGCATTTTGACCAACTTTCTTAGCCCCGCCTCAGGGAATAAGCCATCATTCATACGCCAAATATGGGGAAAATGGCAGGTATGCTCGCCTTTTGTGCAATAAACACAAAAATCGATCAAAACCCCTTGATTGCCTCCCGAAGACTTGGAAGAAAGAACGCGCTAGAAAGCCAGTCAACCACGGGAGTAGTTGTCGTTTTACAAGCTGACATTCTCGAAACCCTTCGAAGGAAACTACACTAAATGCAGAAATACGAAGGCTGTCCATGGATATAATATTTTCGGCTATTCTGCAACTGGCTGGCCGCGGCTACAGGACATAGGAGGCAGACCAGCCGGTAGCCAATAATAGAGACGGACACTCGTAAAAGGAATTATAAATACCGTTTGAAGAACGGAATGGAGTGGGCTTGTCGGTCTGTTTTCAAAGAGCAAGGAGGGAAGAAATTCCGAGTTTGACGTTGAGCTGGTCTGTCATAGTGGCTACATTATTTAATATGTTGACACTCATGCTTTGCTTTTGTAAAGAGGATATCACTTTGGGGGTTTGGAGTAGGGGGAAGTGGCTGGGAGCCATCCACACCATGTCGCAGGCGAAAGGTAGATGAGAAAAGCCAAACGCCCATTCAACTGTCTCAGTCCTCAAAATAAGCCCATAGTACGGAGTAGTATTTTTGAACAACAATGATCCTCGCTCGCTCCTCTTCCCAGTCTTCTTTCCCCTTCCACCCCAAGTCAATAATGTTTCAACATTTGACTAGCCTCAGCTAAGGAAGAAGAAATAACCCGCGGTAACAGCGTGTAATCGGTTAGCCAACTACCCTGGCTGGCGGGAGCAAAAAAGCTGCTGCAAACAAGGCTCTGATGTACCGTCGCTGTGGAAATAGGTGCGGAGTGACATCTAGCCGGCTTCTTTGCTCCTGTAGGTTTGATTATTAGAATACCAAAATGACAGCCCAGCCGCCGCTAATACAGATCCATACTGACTAATACCCGCTAGGACACGCTAAATATACTAGCTGCTCCACCTCTGCCCCCTTTTGGTACCAGCCGTACGAAAATACCCTCCTATCACGTCTTTGTGCTCGCTTCTCCCTCCTGCGAACAACCATCGCCCTCACTACTCCGTACCACAGCCAACACCTGTTACGTCTATCTTCACCACCAACATCTTGACCATTGTTGCTCGTCTCTGCGGCTCCAGCGACGGCCATTTTACGTTCTGCCAGAGTATCAACAACTGTTCCCATTTTCGAGCCGGCTCTCACCCTATCCTTAACATTCTCTCTGGTTTCTATCTGCCCAGGAGCCAGTTCTCCGTCGACGACCCCTTCATTTCGACCGCGCAGGTTTATTTCCTCCAGTCTCTCCAACCCCTCGTCTTCCTAATTCTTCGATACCTCCTAAAAGCCGTCGCAAACTACCTTTTTCAAAGGGTAGTTCGCGCCGTCACTTGCGCACCATGCCGCCTGCGTACGAGCTTCGACCTGGTGGAGACGTAAAGAACAAGAAACAGAACATGGCCGAATTGAAACTACGGCGTTTAAATGAGCTCAACATAAGGTTGAAGGAAGACTTAGAACGACCGCGAGTTAAAGTATCTGAGGCTGCCATGTCGTGAGTGTCTCCCTTTGCTTCCGCTCGGAAGCCCCATCAGTCTGGTTATGCGAGCAACTGCCCGCATTTGAGCCTTGGTACCACATGGCTTGTTCAGGATATGGGAAGATACATTGGCTTACTGCTCAAATCCCTTGCTTCTTATCCGCCATTTTTGCAGACTCATCAACTATTGCAATAATACGAGAGATTTCATGGTGCCTTCTGTGTGGGGTCAGGTAAATGACTTTCCCTTCTCCTTTTTGGTTAACCTAAACCAAAAGCTAGCAAACTGTGCACAATTATTCAATCATTCACTAACATCAATATCAATCCTCTCTTTGATTTTATAAAGATTGACAAACGCGAAGACCCATATGCGCCCCAACAGTCAGGTGGATGCTGTATGATCATGTAAAAAATGATGGATGGATGGATAACAATCCGAGCGTCCATCCATTTTGACGATCATCCAGACTCAGCACCTTTCATTTACACCCGAATAATTTTCGATTACACAAACCCTCTCTAGTTCTTTCTTGCAACGACGATCGGATTTTCACCATCACACGCTCCGATTGCATACCTTCATCATCTCACCGGCATTTTCG